CCCCCTCCCCCCAATTCTCCCTCAAATCCCCATCCCAATCCCCCACAATCCTCCTCCTCTTCATCTTCCTCTCCCCCACCATCAAAACAGCCGTTTGCAGCGTCCTTTGTAACGGCGAACTGAGAATATTTGATGGATATATATTCTTAAATTTTTGACGGAGAGTGGCGCATTGAAGGGTTCCTTTTGGGGTTATGGGGGGGCGTGGGGGTGTCGGGGTCGTGTTTGAAGAGGGGGTTTTATAAGGGGGTGCTGCGGAGGGGGAGGGGGAGGAGGGTATTAGTGCGTGGATAGTAGAGTAGAGTAGATTAGATAGGAAATAGATATATGAATAACTGTTATGCAGCAAACGCACCTGAGCATGTCTCACAAAATGCACGATAATTCTCGGAGCACGAGTTTTAGTCGTAGTCGTAGTCGTCGTCGTATTAGTAGAAAGTACAGACTTACGAAGCAACTTTTTTGAAGAAGCTCCATGTTGAGTTTTGGTATGTATTACTAGGGGGAGTGTTTTCTGTGACCAGAAACCCATGGCTGTGGCTTGAATTTGAAGACTAATTCGATATTGGTCTGGAGGTTGGAGTTTGGAGTTTGGAGATTGGAGTTTGAAATTGAAATTTAAAGTGCGAGGAATTGTGAGGAATTGTATTGTATTCTGTCACGGTATACTGATATATTGTAATAAATGATGGAAGAAAAACTGGAGAGATGGGAGAGTAAAGCTAGAGGGATGTATGCACTGCAATTTATAAGTGATATATATTATATTATATTATATTTGAAGCCTTACGATCAACTTAGACTGGGAGGAACTATCATATGCACGAACTTCATATATGATGACCCATCTCATCCCATCCCATCCCATGCATAACACAATATCTAGAAGGCGAATGGCAAATAGCGAATAGTGGTGGCCACATGCATTTTATTTTGCAGAGGAATTCCTTCCTGCCTAACGACTTATACACAGGCTATCACATCCATCACCCATCCATCCATTTATTGGTGTACTTCGACTTGGACTTGGGCTTTGCGGATACTAGCCGAGTATGTTGTATGTTTATTATTACTCCATGGGTATATGTAGGTTGGATGGATGGATGGATGGATGGATGGATTGGATGGAAGCGAGAGGCGGGGGCGGAGGCGGTATGGAGTTGGCCACTGAGGCGTGCCGTGATTAGGTCTATTGATGGGCTAGACTCCAGATTCTAGAGTAGAATTGAAAAGCAGAGATGAATTCAACTGATTGGTTGATTCATAAGTGGAGTGTAGTGAGGAAAGCTAATTAATGACGCTTTTTTAAATCTGGTCTATCGATGGGCTAGAGTTCAGAGAAAAATTGAAAAGTACGAGTATGGATGAATTCAATTGATTTATTCATAAATAAGTGTAGTGTAGTGAGGAAAGCCAACGATTGCTTGTAATAATTAGGTTTATCGACAGGCCAGAGTCTAGAGAAGAATTGAAAAATAGAGATGATTTCAACTGATTGATTGATTGACTTATTCATAACTGTAGTGAGGAAGGCAACCACGCCTTGTAATCTCATCTATCAACAGACCAGGACTCCCCATTATAATAATAATAATGAACAGACACAAATTCAACCACTCCTTCATAAATGTAGTGTAGTGAACCAGGTCAAATCTCCCCTTTTGGCAGTGACATATAATACAATAAGAGCTCAAATGAACTAAAACCAAACATACATACATATATACCTAACATAACCATAACTTTCCACCCAAAAATGCCTCACTCACTCATATCATCCCATCACCACCTCCTATTACATTCATGCTCGCATTGAAATTTTCTATTTTCCACTTTCCACTACTGGGTATCTATCAATCAATCAATCACTCAACCACTTAGCCCGCAAAACGGCCATTTATTCACCTCATTCGCCTCCCTCCTTTCCCTTGTAGATAGAGGCAATACAATGCAATGCAATATAAATGATCATTTTCGTTTTCAGTATCAACATCAACATCAGCTCTTTATCAGTTTTTTAAAAACTTGGGACTTAGTGAACTTTTTAGCTAGCTGCCGGTAGTTCATGAGCTCCAAAGGTGGGGGGGGATAAGAAACCTATGGATGAATAGGTATGCAGATACACTGCACTACTACCGTTATTGCGGTCTTAAAAAAAGAAAAAAGAAAAAAGAAAAATAGTGAGATGAGATGAAATAAGATGAGATAAGTCTTATTGGATTTAGGATTTCCAATTTAGACTTCAATAGATGAAGGAAAAAAGAAAAGACAAAGACAAATCAGATCAGATATAGAGAATACGGATAAATGACTGAATTTGATATAAAACCACCTACCACCTACCACCTACCCAAAATACCAAGGCACCAAAGCACCAAAGCACCAAAGCACCCAAATTCCTCGAGTTCTTCTCTGTCTCTCTCTTCTCTATCTCTACTTTGCAAAAACTTTTCAAATCTTATACTGAGTATTAATTAACAAATTCTTGTGGTTTTGTATATATTTCAATGGTATATTACAATGGTATATATTGATATTATATCTATATCTGTCTGAATTGTTTTCTCTAGATCAGATGAATAGATAGATAGATAGATAGATAGATAAATAAATAGCAGATCATGATATGATATGATATAATATGATATGATATGAAACTTATTGTTTGTTGTTTTTATGAGATAGATATACACTGTGCCTATTGTACTCGTCCATCTTACAGTACTTACAGTACTTAAAAGACATAAAGAAAGAGAGAAAGAAAGATGCAAATAGTATTTGTATTTGTATTTTAAATATATACTATATACTATTAATTGGAAATGGAACTGGAACTTGAGATAGAGAGATAGGTGAGTGAGTTGAGTTGAGTAAGTGAGTAAGTAGATTATCTACCTTGAGATACATATACTAAACATATAGTCAATATAGGTATATATTAATTTTTTCTATATCTCGAAAGTTGGAAAATTATTTCTACTACTGTTGAGTGGAGACTGGAGACTGGAGACAAATGCAAAGAGAGGCATGGCCATTACGAGTACTAACTTTTCACAAGAACGGATCTAGCTCAACTCTTTAAAGCCAGCCCGACTTATTTGGATAGAAATATATAACAAGATCAAGTAAAATCATTACAAAAAAGGCCATATCTCTAACTTTAAGCAGGAAAAGCAGCTAACATTGCATCTACTTGCAATCAAGAGTAATCACCACATAAAGTAGTCAAAATAACAAAAAAAACACTCAAATCAAGGGCGTAAAATGCGTCATTAGAGAGTCATATGCTCAAAACCTTTGAGCCATGTAAAATGTAAAGGCAGGTGTTGATACAGAGGGGTTCTCACACATACTTCATCGACTATTCCTCCATCTTATCTCCTTCAGCCGGTTTATCTTCTTCCTCATCATCATCACCCTCCAAAGCCTTCTTTGCCAACTTCTCCGCTTCCTCAAGAAGATCCTTGGGTACCTCCTCATGTCTTCCCTTTGTTGGTCCATCAAGATTACTAATCCAGGTCATCTCGAGCTCGAATTCCTTATCCTTACTGTCGTCATGCGCAATGTAGATGATTCGTGCAGCTTCCTTTACACCATCTAATAAACTCAACTTGCCAGCTGCAAGATCCAACTTCTCTAGCTCGGCTTTGGCGATTTGACGTCCCTTACCCGTGGCAGCTCCATAATATCCCCAGTACAATCCACTTGGCTCAATCATGTAAAGACCTGGTCCACCATATTTCTTGCCCTCAACCTTTCCTCCAGAACCAATGGATGGCCCAGATCCTACTTGTCCATCAACTGGTAATTCCTGTTCGGAATCATAACCTGCAACGATCGCAGTAATACCGAATGGTCGTACTGATGAATAGAGAGTGTATGCTTGAAGATATCCACCCATTCGACTAGCCAAATCGGCGGTTGTGATTGGAGTTTTGTAAACGCTACGCCAGCTTGCAGCTTCATCGCGTGCACGGGAAGTGAAGTGTCTACCATCTGGCACTAATCCTGAGGATACCTGCAAAAGGAACATTAGCCATTTTATCATTTAAAATGACTAGCCAAGTATCAAGATTGTACATACAGAACCCATATGTCTATCGATTGTCGCAATACGTTTGTTGGCTCCTGGCTTTAGGAGCTTGCTGGTGATGACCTTCTCAACTGCAAGCACAACACCATCTTTACATTTAATTCCAATCGAAGTTCCACCATTTTCAACCGCCTTCACAGCATATTCGACTTGAAAGTTTCGTCCATCGGGGGAGAAGACGGAATTGGAAAGATCGTAACCTGTACCTATCGAAGTCTAATACGAGGCGGGAAGTTAGCTTTGGAGCTCATTTACTTATTATGATAAACAATTCTGAGTCTGAACAAAATCAAAGCTTACCATGATTTCAAGATTTTAATGGGAGATATTTTCAAGAGCTTGAAAGAGAAAGAATTGGAATGACGTGGAGAGATTTGGGGAGATTTAATGAAGCTCTTGAGATTCTATACAGAGAGCTCCAGGCACCACGAAACGCGTTTAGGTTGGCGGCGGCTCTTAGCGTCATCTTAAGATCTTTGGCCTTATAAATAAGGTTTAAATTGATTATATAATGAGGTCACATGATGATAGAAGAATGATTAGATAAGGCGATTAGAAGATTAGAAACACGAAAGGAAACTGGACAAAGAGAGAAAGAAAGATAACCCAACCCCTGATAGAAAGTGGTACCCAATGGGTAGAGGAGGGGAAGACGGGATAGCAAGTCTCATGCAGGTCAACCCAGTCTTGTCTATCTTTCTATCTTTCACTCACAACTACTTACTAACCCTCCACCCTTCACTCTAAGATTCACTACTTGTACCGGTACCTTCTCTTTTGCCTCATTATTGATATTGTTATGCCTCCTTTATACTCCTTTTACCTGCGTATAAATTTCTCAGTACTTGGTATTAATAACTTCTCCTTGTTGATTCAAGTGAAAGAATACTTTACCTATACTTTGCCTACCTAGGTTATCTTTCTCCTAGATTAATACCTTTAATTTTCAATATATATGATCTACAAACAGTTGTTCGTCGAAAAGAAGCTCGTTTATACTCGTGTCATGGAACAATTGGTAGACAAATGATTAAATGTGTAACGCTAACAGCCCAATATGTTTCGAAAATAGAATATAGGTGGCTTTTAATAGGGTTGAATTTCAACAAAGAGGGGTTATTCAAATCTTTGATACACATTACAGATCGGAAATACATAAAGTGAGGGAACATCACATTGACCCCATTGACTTCATCTCTCCTTTCCCTGACTTTCCATTTTCCAACCTTTATAAACCTTCACTCTACAACATTATATTCTGCTTTTAAACCATCAAAGAAATCTCTAAACATTTCAAAGTTGCTGAAGATTAGAATTCGTTTCATCCATCTCTCTCTCTCTCTCTATTCTAATTCTAGCTTTCGCGGCTATTGAGTCATTCCAAATAAGCTCATTTCCCCAAGGTCACCACCTCCCTCCCCTAACCACGATCGCCCAACGCCTTTAATCAATCTTAGGATTCCTTTCATTTCTCTATAAGAGTAATTCTATCCTACCTTTACTTCAGTACATAGCATAGTCAATAATAACAAGCAAACTCTTTTTGCATCTATTCACACAAAGTCCGCTTCGTTCTTCTTGCACACTTGCATGTCCCTCTGACTCTAGGCTTTACTCCAAATTAGACAACATTCGATTCAAACTTCCACCTTTCCCAGACATCTCCAAGCAGCCAAATTCTTTGCAAGATCTCTCTTGTAAACCATCAGATCTATTTCAACTCAAGGTATGTTATCTCTCTTTCTCAAAGTAACTTAACTGACGTTTCTGCCATAGTTTCGAATCGCTAGTTACACACAGACGTCATGGCTACACAAGAAGAGCTTTCGATGCTTTTCGCCCGCAACCTTTCCCTCTACAATCCTCCTCCTCCTCCTCCAGCCCCCGTAGAAGAACCAAAAGAAATTGAACCAACTTACACATATTCAATCTCTCAACACTATAACCACTCTGCACATGTTGCTAAGCAACCATCCAGACCAGCTTCCGAACCACCCCAAACAGATCAACTCACAGTAGATATTATACTCGCAAGACATGGTGTCGATTCTTCCTCTTTATACCCTACCCAAATAGAACTCTTCAAAACCGCAGATGCTAGTCAGCAGATGCGACTGATTGAGTTATGGAGAATCTGCCCACCATACAATGGAGGACATGCGTTGGCACAAGATTTGTGGACTGGACCCTCTACTAGCTTGGAACAAGAAGAGTCCACAGCAAAATTGAGATATGAACGACAGATGTTGGAAGAAAGAATGTCTCGAACGCAAGATTCAAGTATGGATGATGATACTATGAGTGATGGTAGTAGCCATGCTCCTTTGACCCCAATCCAAGGTGGAGATGCACGTTGGAATCATCCAGAGCACGTTGAACCTTACATGGCATCTGGCTATGAGCTTTTGGCTGCACGAGAGTATGAACAATCAATGGGTCCTTCGAAAGACATTTACTCGCACTTTGGATCGGCAATCGGTGGACCTCAGTACAAACGATCTATCGATCCAGTTTATAAAACTGTCGAGTCCATTCATAGATATCCAAATGTTGAAGCGATGGAGAATCAGTGAGTATATATTCTACCTACCGAGTTCATGACTTGGCACATGCTTTTCTCCCCTCCCTTCATTACCCCACCTCAAACCCCCACTCTACTATGTTCCAATACAACCCCATTTTTTCTACCTCCTCACCCTAGTAATCCCCCCCCCCCCCCACGTATTTTTCGCTAACCTTAATGTCACAGGTATGGAGCATATCAGAATTATCAATTTGGCGGATACACCAATGGAGGCGAAGACGAGGAGATGATGTAAATTAGCAAACTTTTACTCTAGGTAGCAACAAGTTTAGTTAGCACTTCCATAGAGTTACTAGGTAGGCATACCAGGCATGGGATTTGATTTGAGGAAATTGTAATCGTTCGGCGAGACATTGCATTATCAGATATTTTTGTTCTTGTTCTTGGAGGAGTAAGGCTTACCAGGAGGAATTATTAGGTCATGGACATGGTCATGCATGCATGGAGTACATCTGCATCTACAACTTTCTACCCAATAATGTTCTCTTTTGTTTTTTTTTTGTTTTTTTTCTTCTCTAGCTGTTGGCTGTTCATTGGCAGGTCAAAGACGAGGAAAGCATTCCGTCTTGTCTTTCATGTATTTTTTCCTTTTCTGATTTGATTTGATTTGATTTGATTCTTGATCTACCTGTTTCGTGTGAGGTACGTATCTACCTTCTGATCTATCTATCTATCTATTCATCCATTCATCCCTCTTTCTTTTCTCCCTACGACAATTCATCCAATCAGCACGCCAAACATTATCACTCTTCACTCTTCACTCTTCACTCTTAACTCCTCTCGGACATTTCACTCCTACTACGTCACTCACTTCGATAACAATGAGCCGCTAAGGTACGCATACATCTAATTTTTCCTCAATTCTCCCCCAATTCTTCCCCAATTCTCCCCGATCTCTCTCCACCTCCCATCTCCCACCTCCATTTCCCATATCCATTTTCTGTAGACGCATCATCTTACTAGGTACTTACATCAAAGCATCGCATTCCATTGGACGAGCAACAGTAATATAACGACGACTTTGCGATTTACTGGATCTGGACTTGGATCTGGATCTGAACTGGACTGGATTGGTTTTTTTTCCTCTTCGCATCTTCTTTTGTGTTTTGGTGGTTGTGTTTGGTGGTTGTTTTATGCGTATATCTAATGATATAATGATATAGTGGAATAATGGAATTATTATTATTTGGCTAAGACTTGTTACTTGTGAGAATTGTTTGGTGGTTTGTGGTTTGTGGTTTGTGGTTTGGTGACTGGTGACTGGTGATTGGTGATATGATGTTGAGTGATGGTGGCTGGTGATTGGTGATTGGTGATGTTAAGTGATTAAGTGATATGATGTTGAGTGATAATAAGTGATAGTAAGTTAGGTGATAATAAGTAATAGTAAGAGCTATAGAATAGTAACCAGCAATTTTGGAAGGACTCGAGTACTATTAGTAAGACTTACTAGTAGTAAATAAGAGGGATATTAGTATCGATAATATAGTAGATAGTATTATATATCAATTATATATCAAATACTAGAGTATAGCATATACTACTCGACTACTCGTATAATTTTACTCTTTTATTATATGAGTACTTTTTCTGTTTTTCTTTTTTTTTTTTTTTGTTTTTATAGATTTGTATATATATAGACCTACTCGGGTAAAAAGGAAGCAAGCAAACTAATAAGCAAACTAGTAGAAGCGAGTGATTAGAAGCGAGTAGAAGTGTGTGAGTGAGTAGAAGCGAGTGAGTATATATCGTACCGTACTATAACGGTAGCGGTAGTTTGCGGGGCTTTGGGGGAATAGATTGGTTGATGAGTTGATGAGTAGATAGGGACTAGATTGTAGGGACTACGATGGTAGAGAGGTAAGTAGGTAGGGAGGGAGGTAGATAGGTAGGTAGGTAGGTAGATAGATAGGTAGGTAACTTGGTGGATAGGTAAGTAGGTAGGTAGGTTGGTTCATTGTACAGTAATCAGTATTTTGAACCAGTCGGGAAACTGGCAGTTTGAAAAGCTATAGTTTAATTGAACTCGCAGTTTGGATAGTAAAAACTAAACCGACTAGCTCTTGAATGCAATATATTAAACTGCCGGTCTAACCAGTGCACTAGTTCAATTGGTTAGTTATTGAATACACTGGGTGGGTTGGTAGGTAGGTAGGTTGGTATGTGCGATGTATTTGATGTGCGGGATGGGATAGGATCAGGTTTGGCTTATTTTTGGATGAGGTTTGAGGTTTGAGGGAAATGGTTTTGTATTGTCGGGGGAGGAGTGGTAAATTAATGAGATTGAGGAAGTTAGATGGATTAATCACATCTTACCTATATATTCAATCTATCTCCTCACCTTCGGTCGGGTACTGGTATATAAAAAGAGCGATGATAGGAAATGAAAATTAGCGATGCCTTTTTCTTCTACAAGTAAAACAAATTGGTTACTTGAGTATAGGTAGCCCTCTGATATATACTCGTATAGCAAATGTATATTATACCTAGTAATTCCCCAGCCAGTATTCTAATACTGTACGAATTCCAGTCGCAAAAATCGTCACGGTTTTCGTCACGGTTTGATGAGAAAGATGTGATATGTGATGTGATATGTGATATGATATTGAGGGAGGGAGTTCGAATTGGGCGGGGAGAGGGATGTTGGGTTGATATGGGATGAGATTTGGATTGGATGTGGGATGTTTGTTGGAGATTGTTCTCGTTCTAGATGTATATATGTAAGATCTTACATACAAGTAATTGGGGAAGATATTATATATTTGAGGGTTACTAGGTAAGGTTACTCGGTTAGAGGATTGATGTGTTGGTAGCGAGTATAGTGCTGTATGTATATATATATGATTGGATTTATACCCGGGTAGTTGAAAATGTTGTTTTGATATTTGGGTATGGTGGGATGGGGAGTTGGTGGGTTAAAATGGAATGGTTAGAATAGTTAGAGTGGCTAGACTTTAGAGTTTTGTCACGGCGTCTCTGTCTTTGTTTCGTTCGTTCATTTGCGACTACGTTTGGTTTTTGGATAAAGAGTGGAGATATTGTAGGAAATGGGGTGAAGGGTGAAGGGTGACGGGTGAATGGTAAATGGTGGAGGTAATAATAAAAACATGTTCATGGCGGCTCCTTTGAATTTGTAGGTCTGTGTTTAATGTTGGGCTTTTATGAAGTTGATTTTGCATATGCCAGTGTATGCAGTGTATAAATCTGTTTATAGATGAGCAGTAATATGCATAGTATATGGAAGGTGCTTGTGAATGAAGGAACTGGACTCGACTAGTTGCCGATAGCAAGTAAGGGTGGCTAATTCAATATATATGTGGTATTTAGAGTAGTTAGATACGAGTTTACTTGTGTGCTAAAGCAAGAAAGATACTTGCGAAAAGTTTGGGGACTTTTTGCCTCCTGTATGGATTGGTGCTTCTGATGATATTAGGTTACTGGAGTTTTCATAGTGGTTGTGTGGATCGATTATCAAATTGCTAAGTTAAAGGTCTCTGTGAGGAGTTATGGATGTAATATGGGAGAGCCATTGGATCCTGTGGAGGTCTTTAACAAGAGGTCTAGTATCTTATCGAAAACTAAACCGTACCTTGATATGTACTTTGACACCATATTAATATATAAAAATAAAGATTACAGTACAAAGATTGAAAAGAGTGAAAACCTAGTATCACTCTATCAAAATCCAGTGAGTAAATGGGATTATGAGTTTGTGTTGATTAAAAACATTGAGATCATCATGATGCTATTATGTTGTCACGGTCAAAACTCATGACTTGGCAAATTATATCGCATTGATTCTGGAAGATGAACACAAAGCGGATTGAGCTCGTGGAGAAAGTATGTATACACTTAGTATACATAATAGAAATATAGACTCAAAGTACTTTGCAATTAGAACCTCATTTATGATGTACCAAATTTTCAAAATTGGCAAGTCACGACTTTGAAACGCATGTTGTCACGCAAGCATGGAGGCGATCACGTGCATTGATTTACAGGAAGGAAGTATAAAACATCCTGCACCAATACCACTTCAGATAAAACAACAAATTCTTCATCGTTATGGGTGGCTTACACTGTGCATTTGCCAATATCATGTCACACCCAGAGTGAACATTACGTGAAGACTCCTCGAATATTACAACACTTGCTGTTCCCAAATTCCAACACTTTTGAACAGGTCATCTCATGTACCTCTTATTAAGTTATCGAATCGTTTGGTGCGCGAAGCAATGTATACACGAAAATGACGGGAAGGGTCCTCGAAAGGACATCTTTGATACCGGCTTTTACTTTACTGAGTATTCCAATTTCCTAATTCCCACCTAGTAGTCGATGCCATAGCCGATTGCATGAAAATAATTGACAGATACTTGGACTATACGAGTAGTTGGGCGACAATTCATCATACTGGGTAATGAATGCTCAGGCTCACCTTGCTGATTTCATTCTAGGTGACTCTTCATACGATGCAAACGAGCGCATGTCTTTGACACCCGCTGGCAGAAAAACGTATTGATAACTTGGTCATATCACGGAGAAAAGTGGATGTTTTGGATAAGGAACGGCATGAAGTGTTTTGCCTTGGATGAGCTAACGAATTGTATGCTATTACCACGAGTGGAAAAGATATGACCTCATAATCTGTACCACCGCATATGAAATCCCATATCATCATCCCATACGGTCTTGTGTGTGTCCGCCACGACCCAGGTCACAAAGTACCCTTTTCAAAGACCACACTCAGGTAGGTCTTGCGAATCGATCCTTTTTTCGCAAAATCATATAATCCCAAGTCCCAATCAAGAAGATATTATACATCTAATCAAGAGATCTTCAATGAGATAGCTTCTTACCGGTATCAGAAGCCTCCACGATAAGATATCTTCTCTTGTTTTCTTCGGAATTCTGACGCCACTTGTTCTTCACACCGATAGGTACCTGGCTTTGCAAGACAACCACCATATCATTCAACATTTGTGCTGGATAATCAGCGTCGAGCACCGCCGATGAAGACATGTCGTGAATATCCCAACATTTCTGCTCCACCGCAAGAGTTCTCAAAACACAATCCTTCGCTGTGTTGTCATACAAATACCGATAACAGTTATCTTCCATTGCTCCACAACCTCTGTGAGATTTCAACATGATGTTCATGGTATAATTTTGAAGCTTTCGAATCAGGAATCTATCCGCTAAGATCCAGAGCTGCACCAGCAAAATATCTTCCGCGGCACATTCTTGCTGCGTCTCTCCTTTGCATTCGCTGGATCCTGCCTGTCCTCGGTCTGAGTGGACATGGTCAAACTTTTCCTGGTAAACCCATTGCATCAACAATCGAAAAACCTCCACATTCGTATCCTCAACACAATAAGTCTGCGTCTGTCCCTCGATGAACGAACTGTTGAAAGCTCTATCCCAAATTTCCGAATGCTGGCAGGCCACTTGTTTGTGGATAAGAAAATTCTCCTGATCTTCGCCGACACCGATGATAAATGTAACCATTTCATTTGGAGAGGAAAATGCTTTACTCTTGAGTTTTGATCGACGAGCAGCCTCATCCAGTCGCGCGCGGAATATCTCGACGCATGTCACAGCATCCTCGAGTTGCGCGTTTATTTTCTCGCCGAACGAAGACATTGTTATTGTTATTCTTATGGTTGAAGGAGTTACCCGATGGATGTATTGATTGAAAGGGGAGTGTTTGCGGTATCCTGAAAGAGAGAGATTCTGATTCCACGATCGAGAAAAAGTGGTTGTAGGAGTTGGTGGGAGAATCAAAGAATTGAAGTGGGAAAAGAATCGCTGTGACAGGAACCACCTAAGTTAGGTAGCAAGTGAATAAATCCAAAATTCACCTTTTCTCAACTCGAAATAACAAAAGGTATATGGGTTCAACAAATCGATATCGATACTTCAAATCAACCAATTCGACCTTCTAATAAAGTTGAACATGCCAAACAAATTCCATTCAAATTCAAATTCAAATTCAAATTCAAATTCAAGCAAGCAAACATCAAACGACGAGGTTTCTTATCATTGCATTCAAAATTTCATAAATTCATAAACTCATGATCGATTGCAACGACTTATTACATTGTGACCCCCTTCCCCCCTCCCGACTTTTCTTCCAAAGCCAAGAATCAACTTCACTGAAAGCCAAACACCAGTCTGTTCCAGTCTAATCCATAATTTTGCCATGCACGCCCAAGACTCGAGACCCCAGACCCGACGCCGACACCGAAACCGAAATCCTATTCATTAACTTTTTGTTATACCCCAATATGTACACCTATTCGCCAATCCCATATCTCTCATCTCATCCAGAAATTGCAATCACAATCACAATCGCAAAACCTCATTATCATCATCATCATCAATCCTCTCACTATCTCCATCTCCATATCCGTATGTATCCCTTCCCCATATTCCCCTCCCCGAATCATTATTCTTCTAACTTCAAATTTTCCACCCACCCAGAACCCACTGCCGTTTCCCACCCTCATATATCAACCCAGAATCTTTCTCATTTCCCCCTTCCCTATCTTCCCCATCCGCAACCGCATCCCCATCCCCATCCCCAGAACCCTTCTCCCTACATTTGAAATCCAAATCCAAATCCCCAAAAGCAGGTCCTACCTGCATACATGATAAATCCGGACAGCACACGTTGATGCCAGTATTGGGATTGCAATTTACTGTTTCCTGATTAGCGTTTTTTTTTTCTATTTTCATTGTACCTCTCTGATTTCCCTCTTTTAAAAGAAAAAGAAAGTGGGAGAGTGGGAGGAAATAACATACTATTTATCGGTTTGCACTTTGGTAATTCGGTGACGTCGTCTATTCTGGATGGTATTTTGATCATTTGCAAATGTTCCCATTTATTCACTCCCTCCTTGTTCTTCTTCTTCTCTTCCTTTTCTTTTTCTTTTTCTTGCTCCCTTTCTGTCTGCTCGTCGATCTTCGACTTCGAGTGTGTAGTCTGTTCACTTGATAGATCTGGTTGTCGCAATACAGCCAACATCTCTTCATCATCAGAAGTTCCGTATGATTGAGCAATCACACCCTTTTCCTCATCGATAACCCCATCACCCAACTGAGTCCTTGTCGGTAGAATAAAAGAAGAGTCCAGATTTAAATAAGCCCTCTCTTTGTTTCCAAACTTTCGAAATATTTCATGAAAAGTATCGCGCATCGACTTCGGGGCCGGGCCATCATGCACCGAAACAAATTCGCAGATATGTATGCCGTGACTATGGGAGATACTGCCTCCTTGCTTGGTACATTCCCCTTGTAGAGCGATTACTTTCGCGCCGAGGTTTCTAACGGGATTAGGAATGGCAAGAGATGATATTAGGGGTGCGAAGAGGATGGTGTGGAGTAGTAAGATGGTGGAAAGTAACATGTTTCCTTTTCTGTTGTCTGGTATCCAGTTTGAGGAACGTGGGGGACAAGGGATAAGGGATCGAAAGGTTTTGAGTCTTGATAACACCACTTCCCCGCATTCCACATACAGTCATTTAATTGTTCACATTCCACACCCGAGGCTTTTTAGCTTTACTGTGGGAAATGGGATGCGAGTGAATGATTAGGAAAGCACGAGTCTTGTGATGGAAAGGTTATTCATATTGATTGTGTTAGATAAAATGAGAATTGATTGATACTCTTGCGAGAATATCAAATTTGTGGGATGATATTGAATTAAATATGTGGTTGTGGCTTATTCGATGCTATTTAGCCAGCGAATAAATTGATCTATTATGTATCATGCGGAAGCTTAGGCTAACTGGAGGAATCAACAACTAATTGACGTGTGCTCAGGGAAGGCTTTATGTAGGGAAAAAAATACACAAGCTTTTGAAGAGCTCCGAACATGAATTAGAGGTGTGTTGATGCACCGTTCAGAATACTAGGTATTCTTTCCAAATGATAGAGGAGGCCTCTGATTGAAAGTCTGTACAACAAGTGACTGGCTATATTGTATTTGGCAAAAACCATAGTATCCCGTTCTGCACTCAAGGTTATAACGAAACTTCGTTGCGAAATATTGTGGCATCAAAGAGGAGACATGCGATGAATAGATTTGATTCCTCAAAGACCTAGCTCCAGCAATTGTGACAGAGAAAGCTAAAAAAATTTCATATGCTAAAATGAAGATTTCTTTGGTTGTGAGAAAAGGGCAAAACTCTTTCCTTCTCTTTTTTTGAACCTTTCGCATGAGCAACTAGAGTGAAGGCATCAGCGACAGATTGTTGCCGAGTAGACACTAAGTACCGGTATTTGATATCGCTTGGACTTCAAGCAAAGGATAAGGGGCTCGAACACTCCACCGAAGTCAGTAGTTGCGAAATTTAGATAGAGGTCGAGTACGAAATCGGGATGATTCCAAATTCTAAGAAGTTCTATCGGATATGTTATGGTTGAATTCGACTTCTAGACCCGACAGATGCTATCATTATACTCGTAGTAGAAATGGTCCAAGTGAAGATCAAGGAGAAGGTAGAGAGATACAAGTTCTTGCGCGGAGTATTTGTGATGGAAAGTTCCGGACGGTTAAACACATAAATCTAGGCTCGTCCCACTACCAGTTCTCACGGCTTCCAGCCTCGGATATCGTGATATTTCCGTGCAGTAGGTTCCACTACAGGGATCATCTAAATGGCATGGGTGAATGGCACACGATCTTTGCAGCGGTTCCCAGTCCTTCGCTCATCGAAATGTCTTTTTCTCGATGTCTTTTACTGTGACATCCATGATGCCATTTTGAGGTGGTAAGTTGGTAAGTTGTGCTTCAACTTGCGCTTCGCATTGACATCCAAGAGCAAAGTGGCTGTTAACAAGGTTATCTGAGGTCTTACTATCTTTTCTTCAGATGCTTCTACTCAAGCCCTTACACTTAAAACACAATCTTGGAAGGCACCACAGAATTTGGGGGTTGCTCCCACCAATGAAGGGGCGGAAAGGGTTCGTACGGATGTAAGTAGGTAGGTACCCTTGGCTGATTGAGACCCTTAAAAACTTGTGTTTAGTCAGATTTCTAGGAAAGAAAAGTCTCCAGAAGCGTTGCATTGTGACTATTGAACATTGATATATACTCATACGTCATTAATAGTTCAAGTACGGTGATATGTAAAGATTTGATGAATGAAGAATAGAATTAGAATTCTTTGGGTTACAAGTTGATAATGTTATTGTGTTAAGGTTAGCTCCGCATGCACGGGCCACAAAACATTGGAAGTGTAATGATATTCTCTCTCTTGAGTTCTCAACTATTCTCCTCCCAACTAATTGCTAGACTCCTAATATATGAACATCAAGTACATATTGATTGATATGCCGATATAACTTATGAGAAGGTGTTTGTTTGTCAATTGACTATTCGAACGAGTAAAGGAATACATCTCCTGAAAGATACGAGGCCGCGGTGCACACACTATGGACGAAATCTTCATCTATATTTATAATAGGTTGTGAAGTTCGTCTTTGTCACTACTTTAGGCTTGTCGACATTCACTCTTTTGTAATCATGCTTTGATACATTTAGAGGAGAATCTGAAAATATGCTGCACAAAGATTCAAATAATCTATTACTGCAAGATCTATACCACATTGGATTCATTTGTTTGCCTTCGTGGAGCACCTTGTACTCCGCAAGTTTTAAAGGTTTTGAGTATCCTTGTCGCTACGGAGCAGCTTCCGTGGCTGATATGATTCTGAATAGGGATCTCACTTCGATTCCCATACCATCGCGGCTAGTTATGGGATCGCTCGCTGAGCGGTCCCTCTAGATTTTAGCTACATCAAAGCCCTGCTTAACTTGAATTGGTCTCAAATATTCCAGGATCTGTATTCCACATTTATCATATTTTCTTTTGTCCATGTTGACCAGACGTTTGGAGATGGACATTTCCAATCTTCGAACTGTTTGGTGGGATCAAATATGCTAAACAATGTCCAATATAGACCCAACACCTTCCATACCGGTGGTCTTCCCATCGGTTGAAGAGTTCAATGTCGAACGGGTGTTTCCTATTCGAAATCTTATCCACGGAGGAGATGTCGATACTGGAATTAGCACGCAGAACATCGACGATGCACCTTCATACGCTCCAAGCAGTCGAGATTCTATTTCGGTCCAAGAACTTCAAGATAGGGAAGACAATGTGACTGAACGCCATGCCGATGGCCGAAGCGAAACGACTTTTTTTCCTCCGCCTTACCCCTCTATACCTCCTCATGATAGAATTCGCAGACTACCTCAAATTTCGACAGAAGACCACACATCGGGAAATGGCAGTAGCAAACAGTCATCTGAATATGAAGACAATAGGAGGATATCACAACGCTCACAATTGGTCCCTTCAAAATATGGCCCTCCAGGTATTGCACCGGGCAAACCTGCGGGTACTGCGGAGCAGACATTCTACAGGTGTGAAGATGAACCTATACACATTCCAGGAGCAATCCAACAATATGGGGCATTAATCGCCTTAAAATACAATGATCAAGGAGATCTTGTCCCTCGGGTTGCCAGCGAGAATACATTTAAAATATTGAAATACTCCCCTGAACAATTATTCACTCTGACATCTTTTCTTGACGTTCTTGGCGTGGACGTTCGCGAAGATTTCATCGCACGGGTATCCCATGCTCTTCGAGATGCCAGCAAAAACCCGTCTTCTGATACGAAATTGGAAATCTTCTCCATGTCAGTTGTTGCACATACGGGGTTGGTAAACCTCTGGTGCGCGATTCATATATCCAAAGGCACTGATGATTTAATCATCTGCGAATTCGAAGACTTTTCTGACAACATGTTTTATTCTGATGGACTTCACACTGCGACAGATTTACCAAGAACGCCAACGCGAACGATTGACGATGATATAGTACTTGAAGAGCGGCTTAAAAGTATCTCTAGTGGAAGTCAACCGCTACGTGTCCTACAAATTGCTAAAAGGAAAGGTAGACACGCTATTGGTTCCCTGGAAATGTTCAATGCTATGGCACAAGCACAGGAACAACTTGCCGCATGTACTTCCGTTCAGAACCTTCAAGATGTCGTGGTGGGCCTCATATTTGACTTGACGGGCTTTCACCGAGTCATGTTCTACCGTTTTGATTCTACCAAAAATGGATGCGTAGAGGCTGAGTTAGTCAATCCCAAAGCTAGTGATGATATCTTTAGAGGATTGCATTTTCCAGGTCAGTTTTTGATTGGATTATCCCTTCCCTTATTTCACATTAACCGACGACAATTTACACATAATAGCTTCCGATATTCCTAAACAAGCCCGCGATTTATACAAAATTAACAAGATTCGAATACTATATGATCGGGATGAAGAAACTGCACGGCTGGTAAGCATGCATTCCATTCTTGATTGGCTGTTGTGTGAGACTGTCGCTATGTGTTTTTATGGCCATGCATCAGAAGTCTGGTTGCTCAATTCGTCGACGCGATTCCATGCTACAAATTCGGGTAGCTTTGCCTGTTTAAATAAAATCCGAGCTTTAAAATCGAGGTATATTGGAGGCTTGTATGTTACGGCCTTCAAATAGTCCCAGTTGATAGATATTTCGTTGTATTGCCCGAAACTAATAACTCAAAATCTTGCAGCGGTCATTCGTCTAATATTGCGTTGATGGTGAAGCGAAGCCGAACATTGCCGTGCTGACCATCTAACAGGTCTGTCGTGACCAGTCCGATTTCGAAAAGCCCCTAGATTTGACACATGCTTATTTACGCGCCATGTCTCCACTTCATCTAAAGTATCTTTCGAATATGGGAGTACGTTCAACGATGTCAGTTTCTATTGTAATTGATGGCGATCTCTGGGGATTGGTGGCATGCCATGGATATGGTAATAGCGGTATTCGTGTAACTCTACCAATGCGTGAACTAGCCAGAAGTATTGGAGAGTGTGCTTCAACAAATATTAAACGGTTGTTGATGCAGCAACGAATTGAAGCTCGTAAAGCACCACGTCACAGCCCAGGAAAGACGCCATCTGGTTTTATTGCGGCTTCATCCGAAGATTTGTTGCGCGTCTTTAATGCAGACTTTGGTCTTCTCAACATTCAAGATGAAGCACGAGCTATTGGAAAACTTCGCCCCTATCGCGAGGCCTTGGCGATTCTTGCGCACTTACAGTCTCGTCACTTCACGGAAACCTTTGCTACGCACAATATATTGAAAGACTTGCCAAAACTGAAAGACCCACCAGGAATCGATTCAATAGCCGGTATCCTCGTCATACCTCTCAGCACGGGCGGGAATGACTTCTTGGTTTTCTTCAGGAAAGGTCAACTGCGTGAAGTCAAGTGGGCGGGTAATCCGTATGAGAAAATCAAGAGGACTGGAAGTCAGTATCTAGAACCAAGAAGCAGTTTCGGGCGCTGGACAGAGACTATTAAAGGCACTTCTAAAACATGGACCACGGATGACTTCGAGACCGCATCTGTGCTGAGTCTTCTGTACGGAAGGTTTATCGAAATTTGGCGACAGAAGGAATCAACAGGACACGATCGAATGACTCGTCTCCTATTGAGAAATACCAGTCATGAAGTCCGCACACCACTAAATGCTGTTGTCAACTATCTTGAAATGGCACTTGAAGACGAGATGGGAATTCAAACTCGTGAGTTGTTGGAAAAAGCTCACAAGGCTTCAAAATCGTTGATCTATGTCATCGATGACCTCCTGAAACTCACCAAAGCCGAAACCGGTCCGGTCAATTCAATTAAAGATACATTCGACCTCTCAGCTACAGTGTCTGAAGTTATGTCAGCTTTCCGAACAGAAGCAATCCGGAAGAGCCTAGATTTGACCGTCACCATACATCAAGGCATCCCAGAAATGGTCATGGGCGATGCTGCTCGATTGCGACAGGTTATATCTAATCTCACAAGTAACGCGTTCCAAAACTCCGTGGCTGGCGGTGTCAAAATCGACATTCGACCTCTACAGATATGGCCGACGAGTACTGTCATTTCTATCACTGTTCAAGATGTAGGTCATGGAATGTCGGAATCACAACTTGATGAATTATTCCAAGAATTTGAGCAAATACTGGACGAGACTGATAACCCTACTCCTACAAAGGCATCACAATCATCGACTGACGTGCGAGAGACTCTCGACCTTGGCCTTGCTGTTGTAGCTCGATATGTTCGCAACTCTAATGGCCAAATTCGAGTACACAGCGAGGTAGGAAAAGGGACAATATTTGGCATTGAGTTACCTTTTGAACACGCTCCAGTTGTATCAGAGATACGTGAACCATCGATCATTAACAATGCTAAACTCATGCGTTCACTTTCCGAGACTGGGAGTTTCTATGGTGGGAGCGATAGGATAACTTCTAGTTCTTCGCTATCCGCTCTTGGGGGTACTCCACTAGCCACCCCCATCGAAGGAAGTTCATCTATTTCGACATCGCTCTTTGATCTCGCAGTGCTTCCGAAAGATGAACCTGTGGGTTCATCAACTGCAAGAAGGCCAAGTCCTGCTACACTCGATGCTATATCACCAAAGAAGTCACTTTCGATCTTGATAGCAGAGGATAATCCTATCAATGCAAAGCTTCTGCATAGAAGACTCGTCAAGCTTGCACATAAAGCTGAAGTTGTGAACGACGGGCAATCGTGTCATGATTACTATAAGTCTGAAAATAATAGGGTTGATGTAATCTTGATGGATTTACAGGTATGTAACTTGCTTGTTCAAAGGTCGATGTATACTGACAATCGACAGATGCCTCTTGTGGACGGTGCTATGGCGACGAGAATGATACGTCAGTTTGAAAGGGATCATCCTGAATCACATAAAGCAAGGAAAAGAGTTCCTATTATTGCTGCTTCAGCCTCGCTTACTGAGGAGAATCGATTTGATTACATCGAAGCTGGGTATGTATATGTATATTCTCTTTACAATTTTCCCCAAATTTCTTTTGAGAGTTTTGAAAACTAATGGCTTTAGCTTCGATGGTTGGATCTTGAAGCCTATCAACTTCAGCCGTCTGGACTTTCTCCTACATGGCTTGAGTAATCCTAAGCTTAAACAACAGGCACTTTATATTCCGGGTATGTGGGAACAAGGTGGATGGTTCTTGGCTTGATCATTACATTTTTTATCTTTGCAAAAGTGCAAAGCCAATGCTAAGGTATTTTGAGTGTTTACGAAACTTTACATTCGAGTCCACCTGCTGCGAAATTGGAATTTTTATGCTGGCTGGGTTTAGGCATAAATAAAATTTCTTGTTGTTGACTCTATAAACGAGTTCTGATCGCTGGGTTTAAAATGGGATTGGACAGATCACAATATGTCAAACAAACCATTGTTGACAGTAGGTGGGGAATGGAAGAGATTTGAAACGACGTATGGGATATAAACTGCACAATATGATGCATGCAAGGCTTCGATACGAAAGTACTCGAGTATGAGAGATCGAAGACTAGGTAACGATTCCATCTTAAATATTGGAGATTGGAGATTGGAGAGCAAGGTTCAGAGTTTGAAATCTCAAAAGTGGAATGGAATGCCGATTGAAAAAGGGTGGCTATCATGATTCATCTATCAGGGTTCTTGCGTGCGGCCGGTCGTATCTCTTGAATTCGCTGGTGACTGGTGATTGGTGACTAGAGTGAGAGAGATTCTACATGCATAGGCTGTGTATGTATAGACTCTGGGGGGGGGTGGGAAGGGGAATGGGGAATGGGGAAGGGAGAGGTGATATGGATTTGTCTAGGAGTATGAGGTATGAGTAGATGGATTAAATAAAAATTTAAGTTTATACTGGGATGAATTTTAAGGGGTTTTATGGATGGGGCTGAGATTTAGATGTAGATGTAGATGTGTAGTGAGAGATGTGTTGTGAGTTGTGATTGGAGGTGAATGCGATTGGAGGTGAATGATAATAGTGATAGTAATAGTAGTGATAAGTGGTCGGGCTGGCTATAGCTATGATTAGCTATGGTTAGCTGTGATTAGGTGTATGTAAAATTGTGTATAATTATAAGATAAATAAGTCATGGTTGAACCTTCCTTCTAATTACAAGCATCTCGGAATGAGATGAGATGGGATGAGATGGGATGAGTTGAGATGGAGGTGATTGATAGGTAGCTATACATACTTAAATCGGAGTTTTGGGGATGTTGGGTTGGATTGAATTGCGATATAACTAGGTACTAATTATCTGCAGGTGAATACGATTTTAATCCTGAATAAGCTAATTATCTGCAGAGTTCTACAGGTGAATACGACTTTAATCCTAATTCGGGTAGTAGGTGTCTAGGAGTTGAAGGTTGAAGTGAACTTCCTAAGAACAATCAATCTAAATAAAACTTCTCTTTACACAAACAAATACAGATACACTGATACATACAGATAACAGATAATAGAACATCCAATTTTAATACCTATACCGGGATTCTATACTTCCAAAACGAGTAGATGGTAAATATATAATATAATCATTTCCCCAAGAATTCTCAAACTCCTTAATCTCCAAAACTCCAAATTCTCCCCCACCATTCCGGTGATCATGTTGGTTAGATCCAACCCTATATTCCCCTTGTGCATTTGATTAGAGCATCACTTTATTCCATTTGTCCAAAATACCATCCATCCATTTCACCAAAAGGATTCCCACCCAGATCCCAGGTTCCAAATATCCAACTATCCCCAGATCCCAAATCCCAGGTTCCCGATATCCCCATATCCAATATCCCCATCCCCATCCCCTCTCTCATATCTTCCCATCAAAAACTCAACAGCCTCTGCAAATGCGCACCTTTATCACAATCACTAGGAATCGCCGGAAACTTCCCATCCTTCGACTCGAAGATCCGCAATATACTGATGACCGCAAAATAATAGGTTTCCGCCGTTCTTTCAAACCCCAGGTTCATCCACTCATCAGCATCTGACGCCGATTTAATTTCATCCCAAACCAATTTCCAATTGCGCAAGGCGAGTTTGAAAGGTGCCACGAGTGAAAAGATAGATGTTGTGGGTAGTTGAACCAGAGGATTGCAGAATGTGGAGTTCCAGATGTGAACGTAAAGAACTATGTCGAGTTAGCTTTATATGTGGGATTTAGTAGATGAGAAATAATCTTACTATGAATAAGCATCTGCATATCAAGGGCAGTTATATTGCGATTGCATAACGGCATTAGATCTTTGTCGGCAGTTTCCATAGGAGAGAATAGTAGCAGGAAAGCATCCTTTATTTTTATTGTAGGAATGGGAAATCCAGAATGGTTGCCCAAATCATCGTACGTTGCAGCTTTGAAATATTCATCATTACCAGGAAATGCTAGATCTATCTCTGCCCATTGAAGTCTTGGGGTGAGATTGTTGAATATTGCGAAAGCGTTGTCGAGCATCATCATTACAGATGCTGTTCTAATGTAAGATTCTGTTCTAATCCAATCTCTAAACGAATATTGGTCTTTGATGACAACCCCAGGAGAATGTTGTACAACATTTAATTCCAAGCTGCGGTAAATCTGCACATCGTCAGCTTATATTTGGAAAAAGGCGAGAATGACGGTACTTACAGATATTAATCTAGCAAAGCGTTGTTGTCTAACCCGGGTTCTTGCAATCTCGTTGCCTATCCAGTATTGCACAACTACAATAAGATACGCACCCTGAAATTCCTCCAACTGGTATTGCAGCCATTCTTGCGATGAATTGACATTACGCTCAGCATAGGTCTTACTAGGTAAATCGTATTCATCACTAAAACCAATAATTGAGTAGATGTAAGTTTCTATGGTGTCTAGAAGAAGCTTTATTTTCGCAACCTCATCGGCATGTTTAGAATACTATAAATTCATTAGCTATTCCATCCGAACTATTTTGAAATGTACAGAATTTGCTTACCATTGCACCAAGACTCATGACCGAAAGAACTAGAGGTAATGCAGCTGTACATGGGTTCAAAGTAGCTTCATGAACCATGGGTGCATGGTGATGCCAATGCTTGAAATACAACTTGATATATGCAGCAATTGTAATGGGCGTTATGAGCTCAATTGCTTCAATAATCTCTTTTGATGGAGCATTGACTCCGGCCTGTGAGCTTGCAGCATACCCCAACTTCTTCTGTATATCAAAGGCACGTTGTTCCAAGACGTTGCGATTGAGAAACATATCATCCGGTCCAGGCCACAGATCTGCGGGAAATTGGCATTCAAGTGTTAGTCGTTCGAATGTTTCGAATTCTAGGTTTTGAAGAAAGGCTACGTTTGGATCTATCTCCATACTTGCACTGTATCCAAAATTTGCCACATTTTGGCTCCTCAGATCTTCTCCGACCCATGGCTGTATTATACTCTGAGGAAACAAACTTGCATGTTCTGCGACTCTGTTCTCTGGGCTGACGGTAGAAACTTTTGGGAACTCGCGCATGAACTCTGCCACGTTCGGAAAATTCAATAAGAAGCTAATCGAGTTTCGGTCTGATGGAGGTTCCGGAGTGGTAGAGGGGGGTGTTAGAGACAGAGGAGGTGGCATCTCGGGGCTTGCTGATGCTTTTGTTGAAGAAGCGGAATCTTGATATGATGTCAGCGCATGTCGCAACATTTCTTTCAGCGAGCAGTTAATGCATACTGGAACTCCTCGTCTTTACACAACATCTTCCAAATTCTTTGCATTTGCGACACGGCACTTCATTGTCACATTTGACCTTCAGCCTCGAGCATTCGTCGCATGCGTGCCGTTTTCGTCCTCGTTCCAAAGAATCTGGGATAGCGGCGGACCCGCGAAGCTCGCATCTGCTGAAATGGTCTCGGAGAACATCACTTTGGCATGTTGTTAGCACTGATTCTTGAGAGTTGATGAAGGTACCTAATTATATGGTCTCTTGGGTACTAACCTGCGTTTGAAGGTTTTGAAACAAAATATGCAGCTGTATGGTCGAACACCGGAATCTAAATTTTGCACATGTCAGGAATCTCTCCACAACGGATAGATGACAGCATAGATCATCGCCTCGGTATCTTGAGCTCAGGGATAATTAGAGTAACATACGTTGTTGTTGATGTCGAAGGAGATGTGCTTTACGTTGGAACTTCTTTCCGCACTGGTTACACTCCGATAGACTTTGAGCCTGGCTTTGAGCCTCCATTTTGACGGAACCATTTTGGTTGGAACGTGGAACTTCGGATGTTAAAAAGAGATCAGATTGTAAGTTTCTTGCGCAAGAGAATTTGTGGGGAAGCAATGTTCATTGATCGAGGGCGCTCCTGCCGATGCAAGGCTGAGAACTAGGAATGTTATGAAGCAGGTTACAAAAGTCTTGGAAAGTCTTGGAATGGAGAAAATAATAATGGAGCTAATATAATCGGTTACCGTTGATGAGCTAGGCTAGTATAAGTATAAGTATGAAAGGGTATCCAAATCCAGAAACTAATTATTACTACAGGTTATATACACATCTTACAGCCTTGACTATATAACAGGACAACTCAAGCAATGATTTTCTATTCTAACATATAATAACCATCTAGGGGGGATCTAAAAAGAAACTCCAACCGCCTGTACAGTGTATATACGCTACTCGCCTACTCGAGTACATCGCTCCTTCTACATCGCTATAAACCCAGATATCAGGCAGGCTGGGGATATTATTTTTAATACTTCACTAACATTAACCTTAACCCCACTACCGGTACATCATGCTTTCAAAGCAGATCCATAACTAGGTACTGTAAAAAAACACCAATAGAAAGATTCAAATTTCCAACATCAACTCGTCCCGGTACAAGCGGCAATGAAGGGGTAATTAGGATCCCCCCCCAAGACAAGACAAGACAAGACAAGGCATCTACCAAACCACCAATAAGCAAAACACTACTAAAGCCATGCTATTCCCCGACCCTGCGCTTATTTTATATCCGGGATGTACAGTCTCGGTACCGTGGGGTACCAGTTTACCCCTACTGCACAGACTTCGCAAACATATCCCCATTTCCGTCCCCAGCCCGCCAACCGGGATATTTCACCTAAAAGTCAAACTCCGATTCATTCATTGGGTGCGTCGCATCCAACGGGAGTATACACCCACCCTACGAATCATCCATCTTTATCATATCCACTCCTCATCCTATATTTTCTATCCCCATCTCATCCCATCCATTTCATGATACCGGTATAATGATTTCAATCATTCCATGTGCCAGCCGTACGTACGTCTGTCTGTTCCTTTTGACTCTCAACCAAGAACCAACCTTACAACGACAAACGGATATATCGCGGGCACTCCCTAACCACGAACCCCATCACGTCATCACATCACCCATTGAGGCTAATCTCCGCCCTCGGAAGAGCGGAACGGGCAACAAATCACCACACACACACACACACACCAGCGTATCGGCTCTTGCCCCGGAAGAGAAACTTTCCATCTACTCTACAAGCGAGTACTCGGTGCCGGAAGACTCCCACGTAGAGACCCACCCGACGTATTTCGATCGGGGGATTCCCGGATTCATAGCGTAAGATGCGTATTTTAATATCGACGTACTCGTATACATTCTATACTCCAACTCCAAATCAAATTGACACATCGACATCGAGTATAGAACTACTCCCAAGGATCCAGAGTTCTCGCATCCAGCTGCGCGAAAGCATTGACTAACAATAGGCAACACCACACACCATTAGCCGATAAGAACAACAGAACAGGAGTGTGAAAGATCCATCCATCCATCCATCCATCCATCGCAGCGCTTAAGATACGATACAGACAGCTTTGCGTTGGAGATAGGGTAAGATAGAATAAGATAAGATATATACCAAACACATAATCCAAACAAAACACAAGCTAGAAATAAGGAAGGAAGGAAGGAAACCTTACACTACCTGACACTGCCCACAACTATCGTGTCCACAATTACCACATGTTTCCTTCCACTGCACATTTTGCAGATAACACTACTCGTACCGCCATTGTTCATTAGCAATTCTGCCCTGCCTGCCTGCCTGTCTGTCTTCTTGCAAGCTAAGCTAAGCTAAAGGAAAACAAAACAAACACACGTCTCGCAATCGCAATCGTAATCGCAAGTTGGTCACGTAACTAACTTACAATGCAGCATTCCCATCCCCACTGAGCATAGCCGATATAGGACATATTGTGTTGCAGCCGCGAGCGTGACTTGAATTACAAAGGTAAACAAACGTATTGTGTATAATAGATGTATATATGTATATATGTATAGGTATGCAAAGTATATCAAACAACCAAGATCCTGAATACTCAAACAAATGTCAAAGGTATGAGACATGCAATAACTTCCTGGGAATTGCCGGATATGAAGACACAATATTAGAACTGATTAGAAGAAAGTCATTCCATTCATTCATTATACATATACATATATATATATTCACATCCCTGCGTTAGCATAATATAATTCCAAGATACAAACATACAGACCTACAGTTAGATAGACAGATATCCATGAAGACAGAACAGACCACCATACAATTTTACACCGAGACAGCCTGAATATCCCATCCATATTCCCAAAAAAGCGAAACGTTGGATGCGAGTCCCAGTACGCTACACGTGAGCCCCTCCCACCCATCCCATCCCATCCACCCAACCTGCTCCTTCTCGAATCTCGAGGCCCTGTTTGTTTGTTTGTTTGTTTGAAACCCACCTTTCTCATGCTGCATTCCGACGGATGGCACGGTAGTATGCATAGCAATGGCATGTATATGAGACGTTTCGAAACCTCCACACAACTCCCAATAATATCCCGCGTGAAAATGTGAAAATGTGACGACGTGGTTATTGATTGCTACACGATGCCAAGAAATACCACATCAACATCACAACACAACTTATCCCCCGAAACGACAATTGCCGTTGCGGCAAAAGAAGCCCATTCGGCAGCCCCAAAAAAAACGTGCCTATATGCACCCCGCCTTTTCGTGTATCCTACCATTCTTATCCAAGTAATCACATGCGATGCGATGATATTCTCGGCTTTCGCAGATGTAGGTTTTTCGCGCTGCTAAATACGATGTGAGCATCTTTGTCCAGCGGGGCCCAAAATTTGGTAACGATGGTGATTTGTGGTATCTTTACAGCTAGCTGTCCAACTACCACGCTGGTGGCTGCAGGCTTCACAACAGTTTGCTATACATCCACAAATCAAGCAGTGCGAGGAGGGAGGCCCAAGTATACAAATGGAGGGCACGTAGAACGAGCCGAAGAACCGATGATATCTGATAGTCAGTGACAACGTTGACGCAAGCATGGAGGTATTAAGTGTTCATGACCAACGCAGCTGAGAAAGAATCAGACCATCTTTGAATAAAATCTTTCATTAAGCATTATCCCGTAGACTCGTGAGCAAATTCAACACTCCCTCAACCCATCCCAATGCAAGCAGACCCTCTGCCATATTCACAGCGCACAGCATATATCGTAGCAGCATTGTTGTACAGCGACCTCTTATCCAAACCATCATATACCATCATTACACATAACCATTTCTAGTTCTCCCTTTTCCTGGTCGGGGGAACAAAAGGCTGCGTTGTACGATTACCCCAGCCATTCATACTCCTTTTGACCCCAAGAGTCTTTTTTACACCACCCGATCCTTGTACCATTGCCATACTCGTAGTATGCAACGTTTTCGCGGGACGAACCAATGACATGATTGCCGGTTTTGCTGTCAGGCCAGGGAGGGGAACATTTGGCTCGGATTCAATAACAGGGCTTGGATGTTTTAGTCTCGGTGGAGAGCTAGACAAGAAAACGTAGCTATCTTGCTGCCGCCCTTGAACTCGATTGTTACTTGGCCGAGAAAGAGTTCCACTTCCCCCTACACGATGTCCGGTCAGCAGAGGTGGAAGAGTTTCGCTTTGATTCTGAGATGGCAGATGCATCAGCCCTTCAGGAACGGCATTTCGATGTCTGTGTAATTGCGCAATAGCCCGAATGTTTCCTTGTCGGAATTCATCGACTATGGGTGCTTGCATAATCTCCTTCTGTGGATCTTGTTTCCCAAGAAAACCTAACAGTGTGCCCTGGCCGTTAGGTGGACCTTTGAGAGCATTTTTAGAGCTTTTGGTTTTGGCTATTGTTGAAGTCGACTTGATTTCACCAATGATTTGGTTCGATGATTGCTCGCTAAAGACCTGAAGATGAGAACTAGCACTGACAAAGCCATTACTTGGGATCGAGTTAGAAGCTCCTTCCATGGTTGTCGCGGACGTATTTTTATAAGTCACGCTCGAAGCAAGTTCCGTCTTTTCCATTGTATCAGCTCGTCGACGTTTAGGCGGTCGTTGACCCATGGTGAAAGTAGGCTTATCATTGCCATGGTTCCATTTCGACTCGTCCTCTTTGTCGTCCTCCGCGTCCAGTGGGTAGTACGTATCCTCAGTCAGTTCCAGGTAAGCGGAAGACTCTGTAATTGACCCCTTAGACGGGAACGATCGCCGGAGGATTTGAGCCAGGCATTGAACGGTATTTGAACGCAGCGAAGGGCCTTTCTGGTCTAAGTGTGCTCTGAGACCACGAGCAGAAAGAAAGGGACAGGTGGTGGTCAATTCTCCTAGGGAACTTTTTAGAGGACAACTCATGTAGAGCAGAGCCTTTGCCCGAGTCATAGCTACGTACAACAATCTTCGCTCTTCGTCAGTATCTTCTGCTCTGGAATGTGGTATGGAGCCTTGATATGCACCAGGAATGAAAACTATGGGCCATTCTAAGCCTTTAGCAGCATGGATGGTGGATATAGTAATTTGGGGTGTGCTACTTCCTTGGTCTTTCTCTTTCTTCACTTCGGAAGCCAATGCTACGTTGGCTAAAAACCGAGAAAGGGAATCCGAAGCATCCTCTTGCTCCAGACCGTCGATTTGAGGAAGCGACTCATCCTCGTAACCACTAGATATTAGGCCCTGAAAATCTGAAGCCTGGGTGATGAGCTCTTTCACGTTGTCCCACCGCGCCTTATGAAGGTCACCATGGTGTAACTCCAACCACCTTTCGTAAGATGTTTTCTCTATAATAAACTCCGTAATCTTTACGATTGAGTTTTCACGATTCGAGGGATCAGCAATCTTCTTCATACCCGTCAAGATGATATCGACAAAGACCGAAAGGCTTTTCTCGACGGATGTTGTAAGCTTGGTTTTCGTCGTACGCCTTCCTTGTGCGGAATTGAGGATTAGTGCCCAAAGTGTTAATTTTGATTGCTCTGCTTCCTCAAGCAAAGCTTTGATCGTCGCATCGCCGATTCGTCTTGAAGGCGTGTTGATAATTCTTGCTAAAGCATCGTTGTTATCAGGTAGGTTGATCACTCTCAAGTAGTCTAATAACGTTTTTATCTCCACACGGTCGTAAAATCGGAGACCACCTGCGAAATGTTAGCCCAGGTTCAGCAGCAAAGCCAACTTTTATAAAAGGCATTGAGCCGGCTGCAAGCTGCAAAGTTGACAGAACAGAGAGACGGCTTACCAAACATGCGATAGGCTATACCTGCTTTACCTAGGGAGCTTTCGATGACTCTTGAGAGTGATGCAGATCGCAGCAGAATAGCAAAATCATTCAAGTCCAGCAGGTCCCCTGTCATACCCATCGACCTTTGTATTTCCCGAATAATCCAGTCTGCTTCTTTTTGGGCGGTTGCAAGCTTGCGGAGCACTGGTCGTGTGCCAATAATATGAATAGGCAAAAGAGACTTGGCAATTCTAGATGAATCTTGCTCAATCACATTCAGTGCTGTGAGAAGTATGGCACCCGACGAACGGTAATTTTCCTCTAATGGTATAGTGACAGTGTCCGGATACTGTCGAATCATTCGTTTGTAGTTTTTGGTTTCGGCAGCTCGAAACCCATAAATGCTTTGATCGGGGTCGCCGACAATTGTTATTCGTTTTTGGTATGCAGCAAGTAATCGCATGAGATCAAATTGCACAAGATTTGTATCTTGAAACTCGTCAATCAAAACGGCTTCGATATTGGATACACAGGAAGGGTGGAGTCGTAAAAGTTCGACACATCGTACAAGAAGATCGTCATAGTCGAGCAAGTTTGAACGCTCCAGGGTTGCTTGGTATTCGGCATGAACAATCTCAAATTCTTGCACATCTACTGTTTTCTTCTTGGTCTCGGAGGCTTTACTGACTGTTGCAGGACCCTTTGCTTTCAGAGAGCTTATGCGAGTCCGCGCGACTTTTGGATCTATATTCAAATCCTTGCGCTTCACAATCCTTTTAATGATGGCTAGGGAATCGGATGAGTCTGCGATTCCAAAGTCCTTTCGGACCCCTATCAAATGTCCGTATCGTGCCAGGTATCGTCGCGCAATGCTGTGAAAAGTCCCCAATATTAATTTCGATTCGAGGCCGTTTCCAATTAGCTTTCCTATCCTTTCCTTCATCTCCCGAGCTGCCTTGACCGTGAAAGTTGCCACAATTATATTCCATGGTTGAAGTCCTTGTTGCAACAACCAGGCTGTTCGTGATGTTAAGGTATGTGTTTTCCCACTTCCTGGTCCTGCCAATATGGCAAGTGTGTCTGCTTGAGATGACACAGCAGCTTTTTGTGAAGCATTGAGACCTCTAAGAAGACTATCGATAGTCATTTCCGTGGCTTGAACCTGCATTGGCGAATGTCTCAGGGTTGGCGTCGTTGAAGATGAGAGATGGTTTGGTATATTGAAGTGAAATAGGCATTGGTGATTTTGTTTAATCCGAGACCATCTGCAAGCATACCAATAGTAGTGCGAGAATATTCTATCAACTTTACTTATTTCATATTCAAAGTTTAGTTTTGCGATAGGGACTCGGTCTGAAAGCGGGAGGCAGTTGATGCACGACGCGATTGTTTGAATTTAGAATGGTCACTTTGACCACGCTAGTGTCGCGCTATCACGTGTGGATGTGTCATCATATTATGGTTTATATTGTTTCAGTTGGTTGCTTCGAACGTATGCTACACAGATTTTGTAAATCATATAAACCTGAACTCAAAAATAGTGATATTTACATATCGCATTTTGCATGCTACAATGCATGCATGTACCTCTTTAAAACAAGAATATCATATCTCACCCAGATGCAATGCTCATAATATTAACTTAGCGACCATGCAATATAATTAATATTCTGCTAGATAACAACACCTCCCTCCAAACTGTTGCAATTCAAGCATCGCAGCAAGCAACCGCCACCGCCGCCCCCAACAGTGAACTTTCTTCCGCATAAATAAGCTCTACCGTGCCGCATTTCGCACCACTTGCTCCGACCAACATATCGAGATATTTCTGAGTATTATTGCGAAAGTTCGGATAGTTTTCTAATACAGATCCATTGTACGCAACGACTGTATGGGCCGAATCTTCAGGAAGAATTGATTCCGAGGTATTGCGCATGTGCCAGAGGGAGTGGACACCAGCAGCGATGAGAGCGCTAGAGCGGAGAGTCACGAGAGAAGCTATGAGTCGAAGGGCACGTAGGTCGGCTATGGTGGGAAGATGAGGGGAGGGGTGACGGGTGGTGAATATTTGGATGGCGGTTGTAAGGCAGGGTGTTTTATCGCTAGGAGTGGTGTTAATCTTGTTTTAGTAACTGGTTGAAATGAAGCTGGTAATAGCTCTATGGGATTATGACCACGATAGGTGACTTACGCTTCAATATATGAGAGGGTTTCAGTATCTAGCGAGTACTTCTCCTTCAGATTTGAAGGCACTATTCCTCCAAATAATCCTGCACTTTGAATCCCATCGATCAATATCAATCGCACAATCTCTCCTATGTATCCGCCACTCGCGAAATGTTCAAATGGCTGAAAGTCTGGTGCTGGGTGAGTTGCTCTCAGACTCTCATCCCATCTTGTGTATGGAAGAATTTTACCACCGAACATCGAGAGCTCGGTGTTGACAATAACATGTTTAGCGCACTCGTGCCAAGATGGAGGTCGGATTCCAAATTTTGGTTTTGAAAAGATATGGACAGGAAGATGAGCTGCAGCATTTAACCCGGTTCCCAAGATTAGTGCGAAACGAGTGGTAGGGTCTATATATGCTTTGGAGAGTAATGTTGCCGAAGAGTCATTCACAATTGCGTTTAGTTGAACGTTGAGACCTCTTTTTGAACAAGAATTTTCAATGAGGTCGCCCAGATCTTTACCAATCAATCCATGAGCAGCACAAAAGCCTTTGCCCATTCCCATAAGAAGACCGCCCCTGAGTGATGTTTGTCTGTGAATCGAACGTCAGCTGACTTCCAATTTAATAGCGGTCCTGGTGTCCATACTCAATGGGGAAAGACCAGGACAATCCCACGGACAACGGTGCCTTAGACAACTCGTGTCCTTCGTTTTGCCCTGCAAGAGTTTCTGCGATTCGGTCTGCCATCCAATCGAAGAATTCTACCCCTACAAGCTGTCTCTCGGCAATTGCGATTTTGAAAGACTCTGATTGAATAATCTCAATCTCCTTTCCTTCAAACTCTTTCCCTGCGAGTTTGATTAAGGCCACACGAAAAGTCGACCCTCCAACGTCTAGGGCTAAGTATGTCCCACATTCACGACCGCTGGGTAGTTGGTGATTGTATGATGGTAGCATATTCTGTGGATTTTCCAATAAGCTCTCCGCGAACTCTTTTCTCAGACCATCTGATAACGCCACCAAGAAGGCCTCCTTCGTGGAACCTTTAAACACATCTTCTACTTCGTCTAGAAACTTCTTGGCCTTCTTAAGGGATATCTCTTCGAGGTCGACATTTTCGTCCTTGATGCGTATGGCAGATGACGAGATCCAGAATTTAATAATGATCTCTAGGATAGACTTCGTTTTGAGACAAGATTTGATAAAGGCGGCATAGAAAGCCTGACGTATCTTGAGCATGGCAGCGATGAACGACTGCATGGTATGAAGTCCTCATACATATAGAGAATCCTAGAGGAAGCCAACGCGCTAAGATATGAAAGTGCTAGGGTAGTACTGACATTGGCCCGCCTGCCTTGGATCACGACATAAGTATAAGATGGAGAAGGGGACTTAGACAATTGAAAGGTGGGTAACTTCAACGAGTGAAACAATGGATCCAATGGATGTAAAGGGAAAGACGAAATCGGTGGATAGTGGAATATTCGTATCCAATGTAATGGTAGTAGAAGTTCTTTTACTCTTGTTGTGCTCGTAAAAGTATGTACGTTGAAGATTTCGGTCGATTTGTGGTAACAATGAAAGGATCTAGAATAAACCCATACACAAGATATGTTGCTTTTCTTAGAAGGATACTATTGCGCCATCTTTCATGAGAAAACACTCACAAGGATGAATCGAATTGATGGGACAAGGAGAGGGTTTAGACCAAGAATGAGGAGATACTATGAATAATTGGTAGTAACATCGTATCCTGACTCGGTTCCTTTCCTATAAAGTTGGACCTCAATGTAGATGAAAATAAATTAATGAAAGTTACCTTCTTCAATTGAATGAGCCCCAGTTGGTCTCTCGGTGGAGGGGCAATCTGATTCGTCCCTCCATTCTGTTTAGGAGTATGTAGTCCTGCATTGTTCAGCAGGACAAGACTTCTCGACCAGACCATATTAGTTCAAGTATCATATCAATGTATTCAAACTTGGATGTGCCCCTGCATCGTGGCTTCCCCATTCTTGGTAACATGAATGCGAGCATGACTGGGTAAATTGGTCAAGGTAAAGATGCTCATGAGTGAAAGATTTACTCGTCGCAATTCGTATTGCATTGCACCTAGACCGTATGTAGTAATGCAATTGGATTCGATATAATCGAAACTACACAAAAGTTCGTCGTTTGTTGTTGAAAGCAACGTTACAATTGAAAAAGGCTCAACAAGCCTTTTTCTCCGCACTACCCATACCGAGCCGAGCATACGAGCATACGAAAGCTTGGATATTTTTGTACTTGTACAAAGCCCGCAAGAGGGAAGGATAGATTTGAGAGCTTATCTAGGTAAGCGTCATCTTCCTTTTCCAGGGTACTGGTTCCTTGTAGTACTAGACTTCCTTACCTCAAGACGGTGACGGTCTAGACTGAATAGCGAACAGCTCCAATGATGAAGGGGGCCGTTTTTACTAGCGTAATACTATCCTATCTAGTCCATCCTAAGCGAGTGTAACTGTACAACGAGAAGAAACATCAAACGAACTTAAATTTCCCCAATCTGTTCCCGTTGAACTTCACTACAGATTTTGAGACTTTCTGAAGCTTGTATCGTGCTGTAACTGTACAACCACCCAACTCTTTGAAATTGATGTGCCAATGAAATCATAATATCATTGGTCACTTATCTGAACTTACTACTCGGGGCTTCATTACGACTGCCGACATTGAAGGGTCTTCCCTTCGATTGATCACCAGCCAGGAGTTTATGCCCTGTGAGGTAAGCTGCAATTATGATCTTTCTATCAGAAGGCTATCAGTACTATGTCGTCGTGACGTTCCATACACTATCATTACGATGTGGAGGATAATGATAAAGTTAGAGGTCACAATCCTTGGTCTATCCAATGAATAACGCTACCATGGGAAGATGCTGTGAAGGTTCGTTGCTGCTGGCTGGATTTCCTTGTAGCAAAACCTGGAACCTGATACTCCAAATACTATCTTCTTGGAGCAATACTGGTTGGTACGGTAGGTCAAGCTCTTTGACCAATTTCTTTGATTGATTTGATTTTATATTCATTGTTCGCATGCCGCATATCTTGTCACCGAGGAAATTAAAGATAGCCAAACTTTCTGCAATCCTATACTACAACAAACAACCACCTTTATACTTTCCTGTCGACATTAAGAAATACCAATACCTCTCGACTAACATTCAACTACATTCAAAATGAGACTCATCATCAGAGATGGTAAAACAGAAGCTTCGGCGTACATTGCGCAGTACATTATTGGTTAGACTCTTCCTGCCGCTCACTTACGAACGCTGGTTAACATCTGAACAGATCGAATCAAGGCCTTCGAACCAACCCCAGAGCATCCTTTCGTCCTTGGTCTTCCTACTGGCTCCTCCCCTATCGGCATCTACAAAATACTCGTCGAAAAGTACAAGGCTGGAGAAATATCTTTCAAGAATGTCGTCACCTTCAACATGGTATGTTTATAAGCCTCGCATATAAGCTACATGCATTCTTCTACTAAAAGTCGCATCACTAATATGGGTCACTTACATAGGATGAATACATTGGCATCCTGCGCAGCCACCCAGAAAGCTATCATACATTCATGTACAAACACTTCTTCTCCCACGTCGATGTCCTTCCACAAAATGTCCACATCCTGAATGGCACTGCTGAGAATCTCGAAGCTGAATGCGTACAATATGAGGAAACCATCAAGGAAAAGGGCGGAATCGATCTGTTTCTTGGTGGAATTGGACCAGATGGACATCTTGCATTCAATGAGCCTGGATCTTCCCTCGCATCTCGTACAAGAGTCAAGACTTTGGCCTATGATACCATTATCGCTAACTCCCGATTCTTCGATAATGATTTGGAGAAGGTTCCAAAAATGGCTTTGACTGTAGGTATTCAAACAGTTTTGGAGGCCAGAGAAGTGGTCATCATCATCACTGGAGCCCACAAGGCATTGGCATTGAAGAAATGCATTGAAGAAGGTGTGAACCACATGTGGACCCTCTCAAGTTTACAACTTCATCCCCATCCAATGATCGTTGTGGATGAAGATGCAACACTTGAGCTCCAGGTTAAGACTGTGAAGGTAGCTAACCCCACTTTACCCCGCCATATACCCCTCCATTAGCCTCTCCAGCAATCGGATTTATACACCAAACTAACAAAATCGAATAGTATTTCAAATCCATTGAGAAAGTCGCCGCAGCTCAAGGTTTCGAACAGATTCTCCCCTCTGCTGCCCGTACCGGTCCCAAGCGTACTGCCCCTCTCCCACCAATGCCAGAGAGCTTGGTTAAGGAACAGCCTACCATTATGTCCCCCCAACCTCTTACAACCACTCTATTAGCCGCTCCTGCTACCGAGTATCCCGTTCGCAGAAGCCATACTCCGGAGTTGGTTCCTGACCGCATGGGAAGCAGAATCGTGACAGCTTAATGCCTCATGGACGAGCACCGTGGACGAGCATCAGGAATGCATTTGAGAGTACCAGGTATAGGAGCATCAAATTGTGATGGGCACATTTGTTCAACGATTACATGCACATGAGATATTAACCTCGTCTCTTTAAGCTTCAGCAGTGGAAATTGGTAGTGTGTTACCAGTGTCTTTTTTACGGCGCAATTCCAATCTTTTCTACTCTTTTCTTTCTACCTGCTACCTACATGGAATAGGTCTCTGCATTATCTTGCAAGATACTACTCTACTACTCACTCTGCGTTTTGGGGGAGGGATGGGGGGGCTAATTTCAGAAGGTTTTTTTTTAAACTAAAGTAAAACTACACACTTAAATAAGATTCTCACGGATACTCTGTAAAATTAGTTAGATGAGATGAGAATAATTAGAAAATTAAATACATGAACAGATTAATGATAATATCGTGGTTTGAGGTGATGTGATGTGTGTATTGCTTTTTATGTATGTGTGTATGCGTATATATATTTCTGATTTGTATACAAAGAATGTGTTGGATATACTCGAGTAGATATAGACAGTGAGAGTGAGAGTGAGAGTGAGACTGAAACCAAGACCGAGATCCTTCCTACTCGCGAAAAAAATAGACTTGTTGAATGGGTTTAGCTATAGCTACCTCAATCTAACGGGGCCCCTACCCCATTCATGGAGCTATAGGTGGTTATGAGAATATATTTATTTACGAGTACAGTAGTTGGATAGTTGGATAGTGATAATGAATGTATGATTTTCTTAACTTATCTACCTATCTGTCTATTTATTTATCTATAGTATAATACCGGTATTATTATTGTATCATCTAATCTTCATTGCTAAGAAGTTTCTGAAATGAAATGAAACTTGGTTTTGTTTTGTTTTGTTTGCATAGGTAGATATTGGGTTGTTATGGTGGATGGGTTTGGTGAATGGGTCTACTGTATATGTACTCTCGAGGACTTTCGCAATTTACCTTCACACTAGAATGAGTTTGATGTTTCGCTCCCTTCCTCACCCCGCTCGAATTCATGATCTTCGAAAACGTGCTTTAGAATCATATCATAAAGTTAAGAGGAAAATCTCTTAACTTACATTTCCATCTCCACTCTATTTCTCAATGGCAGCCCCTTTTCCCTTTCCCTTTCCTTCTCCAATTCTTCCCCCTCCCCCTCTACCTCCCCCTCCCTCTCAAAAGCCCTCACCCCAAACTTCCACACCTCATCCACCCGCACCCTCCTCCTCCCATCAACCTCCTCCACCACATCCAGCACACAAAGATCCGCATCCATCCCCCCCTCCAATCCACCTTTCGTCCCATGCACACCCAGCATTCTCGCCGGGGTCTCCGTTACTGCTTTGAGTGCTTGAGCTACGCTACATCCCGTCCAGTTTAAAAAGTTACTCACGCATTCCACTAATGTTATGCTGGAGCCTGCGATTTTGTTGTCCGATTCCAGACGTAGGTGGATGCCGGTTTTGATGATGAAGTCGCCGTTCCAGGCGTAGCGGCCGTCGGGGAGCCCGACTAGGTGCATGGCGTCGGTTACGAGGATTAGACCTGAGGGGTGTGCGTTGTAGGCGAGGGTTATGGTGGTGGGGTGCAGGTGGATGGAGTCGGCTATGATACCGAAGTAGGGGCGTTGAGGAATAGAGTTGGAGGTTTGGATTGGAGTTGAAATTGCTGGTTGGGTGGTAATAGGGGTGGAAGGGGGTGTTGTGGTAGGGGAGGTGCTGGTTGTGGGGGTTGTGCCGAGGAGACCGAAGATACCCGGGTTGCGGTGATGAAGGGGTCGCATGGCGTTGAAGAGGTGAGTAATCATGGTTGCGCCGGCGCTGATGGCCTGCGTGGCGTCTTCGTAGGTGGATTCGGTGTGCCCGATGCTGAAGATGATGTTGTGGGGAGGAGAGGTGAGAGTAGGGATCAGAGAGGTCATGTGCGGGAGTTCGGGGGCGGCGGTTATAAGGCGCACGTTGCCGAGAAGGTTGGAGGCGCCATAGCAGTCTGAAAGAGACGTGAGGTCATTGGATTTGGGGGCGAGGAGTACGGGAATAGGATGAATTCCATTTTTGGTGGGGGCAAGGAAGGGGCCTTCAACGTGAGCGCCAAGTGATTCTGTACCATTTGATGCACAACGATCTGTTCCAGAGGGACCTAGAAATGGGAGGGCCTTTGAACTTTTATTAGCATGGATTCCGCGATATAAACGCCATCGAGTACTTACATGATGATAAACCTCCGGACGCGATGATGTGATAGTAGGCAAATAAGAAGTAACACCCGTCTTGACCAACAAGCCATTGATTCGTCGAAACTCCTTGCCATAAGTGTTCGGGTCATCATCTTCTGGTATAGAAGAAAAGTCAAATCCAAAGGCTCCATTCAGCTGTGCATCGATGAAACCTGGCGAAATAATGCGGCCACCAAGATCAATAGTTTCATCCGGTACACATAATTGTGAGTAGAAAGCTTCCTGGCTTTGGATAACCTTGCCCGTAGAAGATGATACCCATAGATCTTGAGTGACTAAAGATTCACCCTTCAAAAGTCGACAGTTGGTGAACTTGGTGACTTTTGAAGTCGGAGATGGTAGTGCCGATGGCATGATTGTGGTTGTGGTGTTGTTGCTGTTGTTGTTACAGAGAAAAGTAGGAAGTGATTGAAAGAATTAGGTATGAGACAAAGAGAAGATAATTGAAAGTTATGCCGCGAATAATACCGAAATCTAATTCACTAGAAGATATTTCGTAGTTTGTCTATAGTTTGGAATCTATGGAACTCGCGATTCACTTGTATCCAAGTTACTTACTTACCTAGTACAATTTGAACATACCTACCTACATGCCGTATATGAATTGATAGTACAGTACAGTCCAAATCCGAACGTTGGAATTCGAATTCGACACATGATAACCTTAATCAAGGCTTCTAAAGACAAAACTCAGAAATTTTAAATGATACTATGGATTGTACGGTTTTGTGGTTAGTGACATAGTATCATACTATTACATCACATCTATCTACCATATCCACATGGAGAGGAGATGAGTTACCATCAATGTTGGGATTGATCTTATGGTGAAGGGGCTCGCAATCCATATGTAACGTCGTATCCTATTATACATAGGGTCGCCGGATTTCGGTGGTCAATGAACAAGATGATTGTCGAATAATAATCCATTTATCAAGCACACTTGAGATAAATCCATAGTAATCAGATGCCAATGCCAAGTCGCCGAGATGGCATATTCCTGTTTGAAGAGATGTTGGGTCTTGGGTCGTCCTTTTGCAATCAATGAAATGAATGAAATTCCATTTGATATGAAAGCCATGGCGCACGGGCTGGAAGTTGTAACCTGACTAATTCCCGATAATTTCCCGCTATCACATCATGTGATCATCAAGGTTATCGAAGGAGGGAATTTCAAGTGACAGCATCCCAGCCAACATCAACCACTTACATCTCTTCGAGGTACACCAAGATGCTGAATATGTGAGGCTGATGATTATACATCAAAACAAATATTTTGCAGACATCTCGAAAGGTGGCAAAGAGGCATCGCTTGTGATGAAACATTCATCTTCACTCGTATCGTACAGTTGCAATCATATTCTTCATACGAGTACTCGAGTATATCATGAAACCTTGATCAAGCAAGGGAAAGCGGAGTAGAAGTCTATTCGAGCGAACGTTGCGCCGAAAGTTCAAAGCCTTGTTACACTCCCATATTACGTTATTCAAAGTGGAAACAACGACATTTGTGCAGCAACAACGACTAAAGATGGATGTTACCGAGGAGGAATTGGATCCTTTATGGAAGGACCTCGATTGGTAGGTTATGAGCCAATTCATTAGAGGCTGAGAAGTAGGCTGACAGAATTAAGGGCCATGGGACAGTGAGTCTATTCTTAGTTTGCTGAGCTGTGCGTTGTAACAACTTACGGCTTTGTAATCATGTGTTTGGTCATGTGTACTGATGAGGATTCTCTGGCTCTAGATGCTTTATGATGGGATTCGAAGGGACAGAGGTCACGCCTCAGATCAGGACCCTCATTGAAGATCATCATCTAGGTGCTATTCTGTTGACGACGAGGAATCTGAAGAGTATTATTTGCATTTCTTACTTCTGCTTGTAATTCAAATTCCTATCGTTTCGTGATCAGCCAGATAGCTTGACACCAACTCTGTCACGTTGAAGGCTATCGATCGGCCATGTGATTTGTCTCTCACTCTTATGCATTTCACGTGCATTCTTTTCATATCAAATCATTCTTTAACCTACTCGGCAACAGACGTTAACTTGAGTAGCTGCCCATGAGACAGCAAATCTAGTCCGGGAGCTTCAAACGATCGCGCATCAAGCCGGTCATCCAATTCCCTTGATCATCGCTCTCGACCAAGAAAATGGCGGCGTCAATAGTCTTTTTGACGAAGATTATATCTGTCAATTTCCTAGTTCAATGGGTATTGCAGCAACTGGATCTCCCGAGCTTGCGTACGAAGTAGCCAATGCTACCGCCAAAGAACTGTCAGCTGTTGGAGTTAACATGATTATGGGTCCCTGTCTCGATGTCCTGACAAATGCTCGTCATCAACCTTTAGGGGTCAGAGCTACTGGTGATGATCCTCAGGAAGTTTCTCAATATGGTATTGCTGCCATGAATGGTTATAAGGACGCTGGGATCGCTACATGTGGAAAGCATTTTCCATCATATGGGAATTTAGATTTCTTAGGGTCGTCTCTCGACATGCCTATTATCACAGAGACTCTGGAACAGTTGAGCCTCGGCGCTCTTGTTCCATTTCGAAATGCTATTCGTGAAGGGATGGATTCCATAATGGTTGGTGGATGTGCAATAGCAAATGCTGGTTTGTGGATTCCCATATTCATGGAGTGGCATTATTAACATCAGATAGGGATGAATGTCATGCACGCTTGTCTTAGCGATCAAGTTGTTGATGATCTCCTACGAAACGATCTTGGATTCAACGGAGTAGTTGTTTCTGAATGTCTTGAAATGGAAGCTTTGAGTCATGATATTGGTGTCAGAGGTGGTACTGTCATGGCTGTAGAAGCTGGATGTGATCTAGTTCTTCTCTGTCGTTCTTATGCTGTTCAAAGAGAAGCCATTGCCGGTTTAAAGCTCGGTCTCGAGAACGACATGATATCTAGGGATCGTATCAATCTCTCTCTTAAACGAGTTCTCAGAGTCAAATCACAGTGCACATCTTGGGCTAAAGCTTTAAACCCTACAGGAATCAAACATTTAGCAACTTTACATCCCACTCACCTCGCTCTATCAACTAAAGCATACGATCACTCAATTACTATCATGAGAGATAAAGGTCATTTACTCCCGCTATCAAATAGTTATTCTGAAGATGATGACGATCTTCTCCTTCTCACACCCTTGGTAAAGCCTCTACCCGCATCCGCCGCAACCGCAACTCTCAATAACGAGAATGCGAAATCTACCAGTACTGAGTCTGAAAAATCATACAAATCATCCATCATGAGCGGCGAAGGAGTATTTAGGGAACTGGGTAGAGCCTTAGCACGACAAAGACACGGACGACTTCTTCACACCTCATATACTGCAAATGGTGTTCGACCTGTCCATGAAAACCTAATCAATAGAGCAGGAACCATTATCGTCATAACCGCTGATGCAACTCGGAATCTGTATCAAAATGGATTTACAAAACATGTTGCAATGATGTGTTCAATGCTTAGTTCAGCCGGCAAAAAGAAATCCTTGATTGTGGTTTCTGTTAGTTCACCTTATGATTTTGCTATGGATAAGAGTATTGGGACATATGTTTGTACTTTTGATTTTACAGAGACGGCAATGAAAGCTTTGGTGAGGGCATTATTTGGTGATTTCGTTCCTCAAGGAACATTACCTGGTACGCTCAGGAAGAGTAGGAAAGTGCAGAAATCGAGGCAGCATTGGTTGGTCGAAAGTTATAATAGAGATAGAGATGCGAGAGGCCTTCAAGCTCTCATCAAATCTATTGAGAAAACCGCGCTGCCGAATCAACAACTGGCGTTGGCGGGCGCAACAGCAGATTCTTTCGAATTGGTATGTCTATTCTCACGCTGTCCATGACAAATTCTCATCCCTATCTACATATACAGTTACTAACTTTTCCTCCCTTATCCTCAGCCATCCAAAACAAGCCACTATGCACTCGAAGAATCCCACTACGTCGTCCGCAACAGCAGTACCCAGGCGCTCTTCGGATTCTGCTCCACTACCTACTCCTCCAGCACGCACCTCGGTACGCTCTCCACCCTCTTCGTCGATCCCTCCAAACGCAACCTCTCAATCGGGCACTCCCTCCACCAGCGCGCCCTACGCCACCTCCTCCAAAAACCCCACATCACCCATCTCCAGCTCGGTTCTACCCTACCAGCCCTCTACCTCGGTATCCCTATGAGCGATCTCACCGAAGGTGCACGTCTCAAACGCTGGTTCGCGACGACTGGCTGGGATGTCTTAACCCCTCGTCTCCTCTACACTCTCATCATCCGAAATCTAGCACTCTGGACCCCGCCCGAAGGTTTACTCGCTACAATTCAACGCGTATCCCTTCAATTTGATTTAATTCACGGCCCCAGCAATTCAGCAACCCAGGTCCTCGATTTCGTACAGATGCATTCTTCGAGTGCGGAAATACTTAGTATTTATAACCTCGCCATCACGGATCCCAAATCCTGCGGTATCGTACGCGCTAAATCACCTATCGATGGGTCACTGGTAGGAACCGTCATAATTTCTCGCTCGGACACTCTTCTTTCGCGCTGGATGCCTGTTCTCTCCTCATCCTCATCCTCATCCTCATCCACTTCCACTTCCTCCTCTCATTCCCAATCCAATTCTCACAATACCAACACCAACAATTCCAAAGGTAAAGAAAAAGAAGGAAACCGAAATGGAGATGGAAATAATCTAGGGGGAATCCTAGCCCCGATCATCCCATCGAATAATGCGCAGCGAGAAACGATCTTGCAGGGTCTAGTGATGCTGAGTATTAGACAGAATAAGAATAAGGGGGGTGGGAAGGGTGTGGTGTTGAATTGGGTGGTGGGGAGTGATAGGGATGTTTTGTTGGGCATGGGGTTTGATGTTTTGGAGGCGTGGGAGGAGGTTGTTTGTGGGGTTGAGAGGGTAAGTTTTCTTTTTCTTTTTGGGGTTTGGGTTTAGGTTTGAGTCGGGGCTTGAGTTTGGTTTATTTGAGGGGGTCGGTGAGAAGAAGATTGAGAGTGTGCTAACTAACATATTATATATAGTGGAGTAAGATGAACCTAGGTTGAGAAATCGAGAAGCGAGAGGAAAAAAGAGGAGATGCAGGATATCAATTTACTTGCTAGCATGATTATAATCTTACCCATATCCTCATATATGAAGATACACTGTTCTATTTATACTCGAGTACTCACTCTACGGGTATCGGTAGAAAATAGAATAGTTATAATGATTATAGTATACTAAGCATGGCTTTATATATAAAATCAACTACAGTACGATAATCTACCCCTTTCTCTTTCTTTTTTTGCTTTTCTACTCCTGATGTAATACTCGAGTACACCTCTCTTCTCGCCTCACCTCTCTCTCCAACATACCCCAATCATCCTTCATCCACCTCAAAAAAACTTTCCAATCATACCCCCCATCCCCCCTCTCTCTCCATCCATTCACCTCTCCATCCCCCAATCACCCTTCACCCTCCATCCATCCATCCATCCACCTCACCAATCCCCTCTCACATCCTTCTTTTCTTCCCCTTCCCAATTCTTTTGTTGCACATCTACCAACGAACCACAACACTCCTATAAACTCCTATAAGAAAAGTATGTCTCATATCTCACTCATGTCTCATAAAAATCAGGATCAGTAATTTTTCAACATGTTTGAACCATTGACCATGACGTTTCTTTTTTAAATTTCAAGGAAGTCTTAGAGGTTGGAAGTTGGAACGGAGGTGTGTGTGGAGAGTAAAGATGTAACCTAAGAACGAAGCGAATGTAACCTTCTCTTTATTGGTGTAGTTTCAAGGGTCGAATACAAGGGGCATCTTTTTAATGAATCATGCATGATTGGCTTCCAAATCTCGTTGTAGAAACATTGATAAAAATCATTCATAATTCTATAAGAAGTAGGTACAGCTTATGATCCTACCAAGCAATAACCTTTAGACCCATCAATCGTAATCCATTCATCTCATTCATCCCATCAACGCTACCAATATCTGATATCATAAATAATCGCTCTAAAACTCGCATCCTCTACTCTACTCGCCAGCCTTAACAATCTTACAAATAAGATCAGCACCACCAACTGAATCTCCCTCCTTAATTTGCATACTGCTGACTTTACCAGCATGTGGTGCGGAGATAACCATTTCCTATATTGACGATTAGTACATAACTCATCTCAACGATAATCTCAACCCAAACGGAGATAAAACTCACCATCTTCATAGCACTCAAAACAGCAAGAGGGTCACCCTTCTTGACCTCACCACCATCCTTAACCCTCAACTCAACAACCACACCGGCCATGGGAGCTCCGACTTGGCTGGAATCTCCAGGATCTGCCTTTGCTCTGCTTGTGTTCTCAACAGCTGCCTTGTTATCGTCAACAGTAACTTGTCGAACTTCACCGTTCATCTCGTAAAAGACTTCTCTCTGTCCAGTAGTATCTGACAATGGACCAACAGCAAGAAGCTTCAAGATCAAGACCTTACCCTTCTCCAACTCCACATGGAATTCCTCACCAATCTCTGGTCTTGAGAGGAAGTATCTAGTTGGAAGGACACTCAAATCACCGTACTTTTGAATGAATTTTCGGTAATCGTCAAAGACCTTAGGGTACATGGCGTAACTCGCAACATCACACTCAGTGACACTGCCCCACTTAGAGTGGATGTCTTTCTTGATTTGGGTCAAATCAAGTGGCTCAAGAGTGAGACCAGGGCGCTTATCGAGCTTGCGTCGGCCACGAAGAGCATTGGTTCTCAAAGGTTCGGGGAATCCACCATATGGTTGACCCATCAAACCTTCAAAGAACTCCAAGACGGAACCTGGGAAATCCAATTCACCAGCTCTCGCTTGGACAGAATCAAAGTCGAGTTTGTTGGAAACCATGAATTGTGCCAAATCACCAACAACCTTAGATGTTGGAGTGACCTTCACGATATCACCAAGTAAGTCATTTGCTTGCTCGTAAGCTTTCTTTGTCTCGGCCCATTGAGCACCAAGACCAAGTTGAGATGCTTGGAACATCATGTTGGTCAATTGACCACCTGGGATCTCATGGTCATAGACATCCGGATCTGGTCCATCTTTAAAGAAGTCAGTAGGGTGTTTCTAGAGTAAAATTAGGAAATAGAACTTACGTAAACCAGCTTCGAATGGAGAGTAGAGAAGACGGAGTTGAGACCAGTACGTATCAATAGCTCGGACATGATGAACGTTCAAACCTGGCTCATGATCGGTACCCTCCAAGGAAGCAAGAACAGCACCCACACTTGGCTGAGATGTCATACCAGACAAACTATCAGTAGCAGTGTCTACAGCATCAGCACCTGCATTGGCGCAAGCAACCATGGATGCAACACCAGTACCAGCAGAATCGTGAGTGTGAACGTGAATTGGAAGATCTGGGTACTTCTCGCGAAGGGCGCCAATCAGTAAGGTAGCGGCTCTTGGCTTGAGAACACCAGCCATATCTTTGACACCTAAGATATGAATCTTAAGCGCCACTAACTTCTCAGCCAAAGCCAAGTAGTATCCTAAGTTGTACTTCTTCGATGGATTCAACACTAGAACACCAGTGTCAGTAATTGCTTATCAAAGAAGGCTTTGAAAGGAAGACTTTGACAGGATAATAAGAGACCAATACTACCACCCCACAATGCTTTTCAACGTTCGAATTGTTGTCGATATTGAAAGACACTTCGATGTGGAGGAAGGAGGCAGGTAGCAAAGGGGGATATCAAAAAGTGAACATGGGCAATAAAACATCCAAGCAACAGGTAGGTAAGCACTGGGGAGCATGGGGGAAACCAAAATAGACCTACTGTCACCACTGTAGCAGATCGTTCCTTCTACAACACCGCCGGCCTTGTGTACAGCCTTGATACCAACCTCGAGTTGATCGATATCGTTCAAAGCATCGAAAACTCTGAAAATATCGACACCATGTTTCTTTGCTTGCTCACAGAAGTGAAAGATAGCATTATCAGGCAGAGAAGAGTAAGCGACACCGTTAGCCCCACGCAACAACATCTGGAATGGAATGTTTGGAACAAGCTTTCGCATCTTTCGGAGTCTGTCCCATGGATCTTCGTAGAGGAAACGCATGGCAACATCGAAAGTAGCTCCACCCCAACATTCCAAACTGAACAAGTTGCTGTAAGCGTGACTGGTCTCCTTTGCAATGTTCAAAAGATCAACTGTTCGAACACGCGTGGCAAGAAGCGATTGATGAGCATCACGCCATGTTGTGTCCATGAGAAGACATCCCTTGTTTGCTCTGACGGCCTTGGCGAATCCTTCAGGACCTTCGTCAAGAAGGATATTTCTCCATCCTTTCTTGCATGGTACAGAGGTATCAATCTTTTTTCCAATATCATCAAAGAGTTCTGGCATAATGATTTCGCCCTTGAATTTTGGCTCTCCGATTTGTCCCTTAATGCTACTTCCATTTACGGCAACATCTCCAAGGTATGCTAACAATTTCTGGGCACGGTTCTGACTACCGACTAGATCGAACAGTTCGGGGGTATCGTCGATAAATGTGGTCCAGCAGCTACCATCAATAAAGGTAGGATGAGTGAGCAAAGTAGCCAAGAAAGGAATGTTAGTCTTGACACCGCGAATACGGAATTCGATCAAGGCGCGAAGGACCTTTCTTCGGGCGATTTCATAAGTAGATCCTTGACAAGTACATTTTACCAACATGCTGTCATAATGAGCTATATGTTTAGTTAGCAAATGACCAATTTTAATAAGGCAAATTGAAATATAACTTACGAGTGATGACTGCGCCAGCGAATCCATTACCACCATCAAGACGAACTCCATTACCACCAGCCGAACGATAGACTTCAATCTTTCCAGTATCTGGCGAGAATCCCTGCGAGGGGTCTTCTGTGGTGATACGGCATTGAATAGCAAAACCTCGAGTGGAAATGCGATCTTGTGTGAGTCCCAATTGAGCAAGTGTTGCACCAGCAGCGATTTGAATTTGTGCTGCAATAAGATCAATTCCAGTGATTTCTTCGGTGATGGTATGCTCGACTTGAATACGTGGGTTGATTTCGATAAAGTAATGTCGGTGTTGTTGATCAACCAAGAACTCAGCTGTTCCCGCATTGCGGTAGTTGACCGACTTGGCAAGTTTGACAGCATCATTCAGGAGTCTATCCCTAACTTCTTGAGGAAGATCCTTGGCTGGTGCGATTTCCACCACCTTTTGATGTCTTCGTTGCACGGAACAATCACGCTCGTACAAGTGAACAATGTTTCCATGGTTGTCTCCCAGAAGTTGTACTTCAATGTGCTTTGGTTTGTCAAGGAATCGTTCCACGAAGACAGTTCCATTACCAAAGGCCGACTTGGCTTCGGATGTGGCTCGGTTGAAAGAATCTTCAAGTTCTGATTGTTGACGGACAACACGCATACCACGTCCACCACCACCATATGCTGCCTTGATGATGATTGGGAAACCAAATTCATCCGTGAATTTCTTTACATCCTCAAATTTTTCGACAGCACCTTCGGTACCTGGAACAACCGGTACGCCGGCTTGAATAGCTAAAGTTCTGGCAGACACCTTGTCTCCAAGGGCATCGATAACGGTTGGGGAAGGACCAACGAACTGAATGGAGGTCTCATGAGCTACAATCCTCACATGTCCAAGACGATAGGTATTCCACTTACAATAAGTCCAGCCTTCTCAACATTTCGTGCAAACTCGGCATTCTCAGAAAGGAATCCATAACCTGATGATATATTAGACCACTGCCTCAGTAATTGTGATGAATCAGATTCTCATACCAGGATGGATCATTTGAACGCCATGTTCAAGAGCAATCTTGATGATTTCGTCTCCTGCCAAGTAAGCACCAACCGGTGTATATTGACCCCGCTTGCCAATAACATATGCTTCATCGGCCTCTGTAATACCATATATCAGCCTCTGTCTTCATCGTGTATGCTTCGCAGATTGTACTCACTCTGCCTATGCATGCTAAGACGATCCTCATAACTAGAAACTCGGTCAGTCCCGTATCCATTACATGATTATCGCCAAGGCGTTACCTAAAGACCGCAACTGTTTGTAGAGAAAGCTCGTGGGCCTAGAAAAGAGACGAGTCAGTTTGATGCATGCGAAATCTCTTGGAAGACGATATGTTCAGCTCTTGGGGAAAGGACAAACAAACTTACTGTACGGAAGATCTGAAGAGCAGAGGAATCGGGTCAGCACATTCTGCAGTTATCAGCTGAAAGCAATTGGACGACAACATACACGAATAGCTACACAGAGTTAGTTGAGTCACATAACACAACAGCAATAAGAACTGATTGATGAAGGGAAAAACTTACGAATTTCTCCACGATTGGCCACTATAGATCACAAGAGAATCAGATTAGCATATACTGCAGGGACTTTGAAGTTTGACAGATGGATTGTGGTTTGATGGAATGATTGCTCACCAAGAATCTTCTTCAGTTGCATTATAGAGGAATTAGCTCTAATGCGATGGACTGTGTGTGGATGTTTGATATCGGAACCCTCCTCAAAAACCTCACTATAGGCTCCATCTCCATGAGGACCTTTCTCATCGTGGTGAGCCATATTGAAAAGTTGTAATGTAGTTGTTTGTATTGTTGAGTCTGGCTCCTTGGTTTTGATAAAAGGGATGGAGGGGCTCTCGGTTTAGGCTCGGCCCAAAATATAGCGTTTAAACTCTTGGTATTGGAATTTGGAGGGGTTAAATTGAGTGAGAGAGCTTCAAAAAAGCTAAATATTGTGAATTAATGAACGCGTACGTACACTGTACAGCGAATCACTTTTAGGAATGAATTGTACTGTATGGTTTAATTCTTTATTTTGAAAAGATAATTGAATGTCTTTTCGTGTAGGGGAGGAGGAAGATGATGGAGAAGAAGAAGAAGGAGGAGAAGGGAAAAGAGAGAGAAGATTGAATATTCAAAATGAAGGGATCTCGACTTTAATGGTCTTTTTAATTTTCTCAAGTAGTGAATAGACCCGAGTTTTATTTGGTGATCTTGAGGCTTGTGCAAATAGTGAGGGGCAGGAATCTGACAAGGTTTATACCTTTCTAACGCATAGCATTTCTTGGTGTTTCTTGGTTTAAATAATCACTCACTTGGCCAGGTGCATTCATTTCAGAGTCTGTACTCGAGTAGTTCTTGGGTCTTGAAGGGAGGGAAGGGGAGGGGCTCTGATCATACAAGAAACGCAACTTCTCTTTGGTTTGCTTCACTCAGCGGCCAGCCACTTCTGATACTCTGTTCAACTATTCATAGCAACACGTACTCCGTACTAGATAAGTTTAAGTACGCGGGAAAGAAACTGAACTAATTTGGTAGGTTAGACCTTATTAGAGTTTCTAGCCCAGTTTCCATGACTAGTACGTTCCGCATATTCCTAAGAACTTCTAACGCTATGTATACATCGCCAAGTGAACGTGTTTTATGATTTGTGCTCGAGTAAATCGCTTCCTCTCCAAGCTTGCTCGAAGAATTAAAACCCACTATGAAAGGCGTCACTGCTCTAAGTTTCGTTGAGTTAATCTAAGAGCAGTCATCACATTCTAGCATGATACCCTTCAAGTTTCCTCGGCTTCTAGGTTTGTACTTAGCACGGAAAGCTAATTCATCATCTACCAAACTTGCCGCTTGGAAAGATTTAAGTTTCGGATATGTCCACCCCTGTGGTTGTGATGATCAGTCCCGAACCAATCAATTGGCTACGATAGCACTGATCTAAGATCTTCAACGACAAATTAGGAATAATATCAACATCAAATCCGAATTGAAAAGATAGCGTGATTACTGTACAATTGTCTATAAAATTCTTATATACTTTTTAAGCGCGATAAGGCTATACGAATGGAGAATATCTAAAGTAGTAAATACAAAACACCACTACCCCTTCATTTGCATCGCGTACAGTATTGAAGAAGATAAAGGCGAAGGCAAAAGTGAAATGTCTTATTCCTTTGACTTTTTCCTTTCAACTAACCTATGTCATAACCGCCCACCATATGCATTTCTCCGCGTCTACCCCTCCACAACACATCAGCCAGCCATCAGTCAGGCAGCCAGCATACAAGCAGCATAGCGCAGGGACAAGTAACCTCATGTACTCGTGCCATCACACTAATACATTTACATCAACTTATCTAAGAGAAAACACAGCTCCGTAATACCTCACCCTCCGTCCCTCGCTCTCACTCTCACTCTCCGATTTTTCGCTTTTTCCCATTCAAACCTACTCATACAATCACATCTGCACCTCTGACATCCATAATATCCCCAGCTTCCCTCACAAACAAATTGAAGTCACAGCACCAGCACCATAAGATGTCAAACCCCCGGGTCCTGGCCCCGACAACACCACCGACCTCGGCATCCCCCATTTATCTTCCCCTCCCCACCCCACCACATTACACCACACCACACCCAGCATCACACCACAGTGCAATTCATGCCCCACGAAGCCAATCCAAACTTCATAAATAATCATAACATACATAACATAACATAACATAACTCTTCACAATACATATAAACATCAACAAGCGATATCGCCATACTGTATATTTCGCTTCGACTGCCGAGGCTAACTAACCACCACCCCAGTGCTCCCACCACTCACCTCCCAGGGTACCCTAATACTCCTATCTTAATCCCTCGCCATGTATTCAGTAAATAGTTGACCGAAGCCGCTTTCACTTTCATTTTCAACTACCGGTATTTATCTAGGTAGGTGTATGGACCTGGAACTGGAGTGTCGTAGTGCAGACTGGTCAGATTAAATCTCACCTACTACCCCTCTACCTCCCTACCTCACCTAATCACCTACAATACCACCCACAATACCATACATCCACCATATCACCAATCTCACCCATCCATCCATAATTAATCGCCCCAAAACCAATTACCATTTACCAACTACCATATCACCCACCCCTCTCTCTATTGTCTGCTCACTGCTCACTACTTACCCCCCTAACTGCTTACCCCCCTTCATTGCTCACCTCCAAGTATCTCAGCACCCCCAAGTATCTTAGCATCTTAGCATCTCATCTCCATATCTCATCACAAGCACAAGCACAAACATAAGCACAGCCATCCATCCATCCATCCATCCATCCATCCATCCATCCATTTATCCATCCATCTCTCCCTCCATCCTTCCCTCAATCCCTCAATCCACCCCCCACCAATTTCCTTCCACCCCCCTCCCCTCCCTTCCCTCCCTCTTCCTCCTCCGCCAAGGCGGTACGCCAATCTGCCTATCTGCATCTGCCAATCTGCCAATATGCCAAGTGCTGTGTAGCCTGTGTTGTTGAAGTTTGCCAAGCAACCTTTTTTCAAGATCTAGCCTTCATGTATTTATATACTCGAGTACCGGTACTTCACAAACCAAACCTTCTCTAATCCCTAGCAGCCTAGCTGGACTCCTAATGTTCACTCCCTAGTAAATCTTGTTGTCAAAGTCAAGCAGCAGCAGCAGCTTTCAGGGTATCCAATAGTCCAGACTGCAGTTCAACAATAAGACATTCTTATTTCCTAAATACATTTCAAATATGAGTTTAATTTAAAACATTGAATACATCAAGAACATTTCAATCATCGAATATATTTGAAATAATTCAATTGTTTTCAGAGATTGAACATATCTCAAACATCATTTTGGTTTAAAACATTGAATATATCGAGGATATTGATAACTATTTCAATCATTAAGTTTATGTGAAATAATAAACTATTTGAGATGATTCAATTGTTTTCAGAGATTGAAAATATGTCAAACATTGGAATCTCTTTAATCGGACTACAAGTCAAAGCCAACCCAAGCTACTTGGCATCAAATATTATGTTTTGGCAAAAAGGTTAGTGAAACACTGTAGCGGATTGGCATTCTTGGCCTTCACATCAAGATCAAATGCAGATCATCTCACTCTTATCTATATACTAAGACGGCATCAACGGGACGGTGCGAGCACGGCACCAAAGCATTTGTTTTTAAATGTAAAATTAGCTTTTCGCTTTTCTCATTGTTCAGAAATACATCAGAGAATCTAAAACCAGACCAATCCCAGCACGCTCCTCAAACTATCAGTTACAAACATGGTAGAACTTCCCTTCCTCGAGGGAAAATATTCCACCCAGTAAATGCTGCACCAAGCATACAACAAATTCATCACCATGGGAATTTTCCGAGATGCAAACCACACGAAATCCCAGAGCTGATGAAAATTAAGAAAAGTTACAACCCAAATGCAGTATCATTATGTATAAGCGTAGCCTTCATCCTCCAGCATCATTTAAAATCCTCCATAACCTGTCGGTTGTGGTGCAAATCCGTTGGTGTGGCCAAACTGGGCTGGAGATGCACGTCCGGTTGGTCCAGAGGTAATCATAAGACGATTGCCCCCGAGAATGGGAGTATTGTCCTCTTCTTGAACCTGTGACTTTTCTCTCACCTTTCTCTCCTCGTTATCCTTCTTCAGCTCAGCAATCGTAGAGCTTTGTTGGGCGAGGTAGTTGATCATGAATGGCATAGTAAAGTCTGTAAGACCGTGACGCCACGAGATTTCCATGACAACATGAATAGGGATAAGGTCATAGCAAGCATAGAGCATGCCAACATAACACTCGCGACTACCGATGTCGACAAACTAGTAAAACAATTAGCAAGAGAAAAACAATACCGCATATCAGTTAAACTTACATATCTAAGTAACTCCTCGACAACATCTGCCTTGCTAGAAATAGCAGCAGTCTCGATTGCATCTTTAAACAGCTTGTCTTGCTTCGAAAGAGCGATCGACTTCTCCCAGCGCTTGTTCTTGCGGTAGATGTTGGCAGCGATTTGGCGGAAAAATACCAAATCGTGACGCTCCAATCTCTGAGCAAGCTCGACGGCATCATAGTTATCATAATTCTCGACTGAATCACGAAGAGTCTTGTAGTCTTCCTCTTCGATCAACAGATCATTAATGGCAACGTTGACAATCTTCTTGTTCTGAGTTTGAACATTGAGAAGGAAAGGCTTAATGAGAGGAATGTTGTCCGATTTCTCGAACATCTTGACAACACGGTTGACGTCAATTCTTGGTGAAAGTGCCTGAAGAAGATCTGTTATGAGAGATGGTTGCTCTTGAAGATAGAAATTTAGAGCGCGGTAGTAGATCTCCAAATTTGCTACTTTGACAATGATGTCTTTGAAAGAGTGATGCTCCCATGCGTCGGCAGCTCTCTCCATCATTGCGAGAGCGGCATTGTCCCACTCATCGTAATGACAGTACAAGAATATCAGCTCTGGCCAAAGGTGGGCTTCCTCGCAAGCACGAATCATCTTTGGGATGTTGATTCTGCTCCAGAAGAGCTTCAAGTGCTCCATTGTGCGATCTGGGTGGTACTTGGAAAGGGCAATGCCCAACTCGGTAAAAATTCCCATATGACTCCTCTCAAGACCTAGACCTTGCTCGAGTACTGCAATAAGTTCATCGAAGTAACCATTGCGCTCGTATTGCTTGACCAAACTTTGCAACTCCTCAGCATCAATAATCAAATTCAGACCACAAATTTGAGCAAGACGGAATTCCTTCTTTTCCACACAAGCAGCATTGACTTGCTTCCAGACCTTGATGTTATTGGCCTTTCGTGCGCACTCGACAGCAGATTGGTACTCCTCGAGGTGAACAAGAGTGGTAGCAAGCTTAGCCCAGTTTGAGATACTGGTGAAGAAGATTTTTGCAGCTTGGTGGAAACCTTCGGCGTATGCCTTGTCACCTGACTCTTCGATATCAGCAACATTTGTCCCTCGGAGGAAGTCCTCAAGTTCACCGAGTTGATCGGTACGAGCGTATGCAAAAGCAAGTCCAGTATCAATGGCAGGCTCGCGAAGAGTCTTCCGGGCCATACGAAGGTATTTGATAAGGTCTTCGTCCTTGCCAGCGTGGGTAGCAATTTCAACGACCTCGAGGTAATTGCTTGGATCGTCTGCGCGAATATAAGAGGCGATACCGTCGCTTACGCGTAGACCATCCAATTGAGCCTTGGCAACTCTGCTCCATACTTCAGGTAGCTCGACGCGCTCAGCATAATCTTGTGCACGATCTATGCTGACAATATGCTCAACAAGGACGTTAGCAGCACTGGTGTGGTCGTTGATCTTCTTGTAAACCTCAAATGCCTCCTCGTATAATCCAACTTCAATACAAATGTTAGCTACGTCTGGAGAATTATATGCTTCGAGTTTATGAATGTAGTCCATGACTCGACCCTTGTCAGCTTTAGTGGCAGTGAGAATGAGGAGGTTTTGCAAGCTCTCATTGTCGCTGAATGGTGAAGGCTCAAGAACGATTTTTTCAAGCAATTCAATCAATTCGCCAGGAAGATCAGCACCAAGGAAAGCAGCAACCGCAACAGAGACCTTTTCGGGCTCGGTTGACTCGGGAACAGCTGTAGAGATGACTTGATCAATGACAGATCGACGATGTATGTTGTTCTCGCTGAGAACGAAAGTCCAAAGCTCTCGATCAGCTCTTTCCAAAAGGTAACGTGCTTGAGCCTTGTACATGGAGTTCTCATTGGTGACATTGACAAGCTCGAGATCGTTTTTGCCCTTTCTGTAACAGATATAGGCTAGATTTGGGTCGCGCTTTTGACAGTACATTCCAATTTGAAGAGTGTCATACATATCATTGACCTTGAGGAAGTTCTCCGGGTCATTGTTACTTTTAATGTATGTTAGCTATAATTTACCACGCACAGTGAGACAATGAACATACCTGTCAATGTATATCTTAGCAAGAGCGTTTACGATTGCCTGTTGTTGATTGCCTGCAGCCAAGGTTGCCTCGAGAAATGGTAACAAAAGCTTAAGACGATTTCGTGTTTCTACCTCCTGAACAAGTTCATCGATGGGGATGGAAGCATGGTTGACAGTGCTCAAGAGATTCTTGATGATTGCCTCGTCACAATCAACATCAAGCAAACCACCGATGACAGCGGGTGTTCGAGATGGGTTAACACGCTGAACATAGACCTCGATGGACTGAAATTGTTGATTTTGGTAAAGGTAAAGTACCAACTCGTGGATGAAATTGAATCGGTCGCATACAATGATGAGTGGCAATTGCTCAGTCAATTTGGCCTCCTTCAAGAAATTTTTTACCTTCTCGGCATTGTAAAAATCTAATGGAGAATTTGATATCAGTAAATATTTCAAGTGAGATGTAATAAAAATTGAAGATGTACAGTGGGGTGGGAAGGGCGAGTGAGATAAAAGAAAACCCAACTTACTGCTATCTCGGCAAATGCGCTCTACTTCATTAAATTGACTCATCTTTGTTGCAGCTTCAATATACTTGAAGTTGACATCTTGGTCTTCACTCAAATTGACAATGCTACCAAGGTAGTGGAAGAGACCTTCAGCAGTCTTATACTTCTCGAAAAGATCGATCAATCTGATAGGACCAAGTAAATCCGAGTATTTGACGGCGATTTGAACTACAGCTGCAAGGTTTTGACGAATGTTCACCTTTAGCATAGCATCCAGACAATCTAATGATTGCTCGAGGGATAAGCGACCAAAGTAACCGGTGAGCCACTCTTGATTGAAAGATGGGGACGCTACAATATTGACAATAACGCGTTTAATAGCCTCAGGATCTTCGTAGTGCTCCAAAGCTCTTTGAGCAAGGCCAGCCTGTTCACACAACTGTGCGATTCTAGGCTTGTCGTAGTGAGCGAACATATCATTGCCAAGAATGGCGTCAGCGACTTGAGGGGCATTCATAAGATTCATTTCAAGAAGACGAGTCTGCAAGTGTCCCTGCTCAGGCTTGTTCTCCTTTAATGCATCGAGCAAGAACGCGGTGGCAGGTTGAACCATTCCTTGTGACTGAAATACGTCGACGACACGCTCAATATCGACAAGAGAGCCACCTTCGGTATTTGCCAACTGAGTGGCGAACTCAGCTCCCTTTTCAGGGTTAATGGAAATAATGTTACGGAGCAACTGGACATAGTCTGGTTGGTATCCTGCTTGTTGAGCGTAAGGCAAGATCTTCTCGAATTGACCGCTCTCTGCAAAAGCAGCAACAACTTTATGAGGAACATTTGCCTTAAGGTAGATGGCAAGTGCAAGTTGAGTATCTTGTACGCGGACAATGTCACCTAATTCCTCAGAGCAATCGAGCTTATTTTCCTTCATCCACTTCTCAAGGAGATGCTTTCGGTTCTGGGCCAAAACAGGTCGAACAAGCTCCAAGGTCTCATGTTTATTCAATGATCCCTTATCAAGCAGCATGCCGAAATATTGCAAGATAACCGATAGTTGACCTGGTACAGGCGGTAAGCTCTTTAGACGTTCGATGGTTTGTGGAGTTCGCAAGAAACCGCGGGGAGAGTTTGCCGCAATCTTCGAGGCCTCAGAGTAGTTGCCAGCAGCCAGAAGCTGCTCAAATTGGTTGGCATAGAGGTTGTCCGCACCGGGTAGGCCAGCTCTTGAAGCAAGCTTGACCGCCAATCCGGAATTTGCAGGGTTTTGGAGGAGGTATGGAATGATTGTTGTTTCATCAACAGATACGGACAGCACTTGTCCTCTTCGGTTGACACCAACAAGTCCCGCAGATTCCGAGTCGCCAGCTGTAATAAAAATAGTCTCGCTCGAAATACGGTTCATGAAGATACATGTACCAGTCTCAAGGTCGTAGAGGTGGATAAAGCCGTATTTGGTGACCAAATAAATAATGCTGTATTTTTGTGAAACTTGCATGGCGACTGGGAAATCGTTTACTGCTTCGGCAGGGAAATACACATCGACTGCCTTCTTCGAAAACGTTGGGTTCGAAGCTTGATGGTCGACCTCGACTATGTGTAGCTTTGCGCCAGTAGCAGTTCGAACCGAAAACGTGAACACCTTCGTGTCTGCTGGAGCTGACTCTAATCGTAGTGTACCGAATGCTGCAGCATGACCCTCGATAGCCTGACTGATGCCTCTGTCTTTCGAATAAAGTTGCATCGCTCCAACCACTCGTCCTTGTTGTTGTGTAATACCCACGACCACCATCCACTTTCCATCACCGCTGACACGATAATTGATGATTTGACATCCCTAACATAAAATCAATGTCATGTCTTCTAGAATTGCATGCCCAGAACTTACAGAAAGGTTTGGGTTCCTCTTAAAGACCTCTACCGGAGCTGCTTGGGTTGGGTCAAAAACATCCCAGTGGTAAACTGTTGTGTCGGTAACCAATCCCAAGCTTGTCTCACTGAACCATTTCCAGAAGACAACATCTTCATTCATGGTAGCAGACTTTAACTTTGCCTTGGCGCCCAGGTCAAATATTTGTAAGGTCCTCGATTGTGCCTTTAATGCGATAACCTGCTTCGACCAGTGCATAATGGCACTATCCGCCTTAATAGGTCTCCGAGTGACAGCATTGTTTCCTTTTAAATCGACGATGACGACTTCTGGCTGTGAGGCTTCATTCTTCTTTTCTCGTACGCAGATGAAAGAATCTGACTCCAGTGTCTGTTCAAATAATCAGCACATGCCCAAAGCTGAATGTAGGGTTGCTTCAGAACTTACACATGAATTAAAACCTATCGATTGTGCCTATAAGATTTATTATTAGCCAAGTTAAATCAAGATGAAATACTAAAGCCTAAAGTTTTATGGCAGAAGCTGGCGGAAACAGCTGTGTTGTGGCTGGTACATACCTCAACTCCGACACTTGTCAACTACTTCAATGTCAGTAAACATAAGTCAACAATTCCATCACCCCAGACCCTATATCATACCTGGAGAAGCTCCGTAAACTTGATTGGGAGTGGAGCCATCTTCATTAATTCTCTGAAACTATGCGATCAAAGAACAAGGACCTTTCTTAATTGTTGACCCAATGTAGTGTGCAAGCTATCTGCGCAAAGAGGCGCCGTTTACCCAGAAACGTGCTCAATTAAAAACAAACCCAAGCTTGAAATTACAAGTGTTGTGGAAATTAATTAAGTGAATTTGAAAAGCACCCAGAGGAGAGGGATTCAATGAAATTTGAGATTGAAATTTGGAGAGGATATGTGGTTGTAATGCTTCTAAAACTGGCCTTGTCACTCGCGACGACAACAATTCACGTTGTAGACGGCTGGACCAGCGAAGCTAGGAACGCACTAGTCCAATTCAGTCACTTAGGGCAGCCGCGTCACATGATTTAGTATTTAAGGGGCACGACCCTTTTCTCGTTAGCACTTCATTCACATCATCACTCGTTCTTGATGAGGATGTTGGATTCATTCTTCCTTGGAGTTTTCAGCAACATGACATTCTTCTAGAAGTTGGTGGAGATGCTGGTACACCAACGAGCCGGGCCGGCCGTAGTCAATATCAACTTGCTTGGCAATATACTTTTTTTTGAAAGCTTGCTTGTTGAGATTGGCAATCACTTCGTATCGGATTTTCTTCTGACAAACTGATGTCTTCGAAGGTGGCATAGTAAAGATCAATGCCTTTCTTCCTCATTCCATTATCAATCAGTACATAAAAAGATACAGTCACCCAGCGGATCTCAAGGCATTGGTCTAATGGCTTAAAGTACCGTTCACGTCATTCATATTATCTCATGTTATCTACTCTCAAACTCTGATATATACGCAAACTTACATCACAGTCTTTCTTCCGGGCTTGTTTCATCTCAATCATCGAAACAAGCACGGTTTATCAAGCCATTACTTCTTCGCTGGAACGTTGGTGCGAGCCATTTGCATTTCTCTCCAATACCAACAGCCCACTAACGCAGCTCCCGGTCCAACAACCAGATTAGCAAAAAGCAAAAGCACAGCAGCTTTTCCCACATCAATAGTTGTTCTACCGACACGCTTGATATCCCAAACTGCATTGCAGCTCCACGCAAACGATGCAATATACAAACTCCAAAACTCAACCAAAAAGTAATTTCGGAGCCCAGCAGTAGCATTGGGAATGAACACCGAGCTAAGAGATACATCTGGGTTGCTAGAAAATAAGATGCATGAGAGGACTGTGATGTGAAGCGCTACGCCTAGAGCAAATGTAGTGAGGTAGATACTCTTGAGATATGGGAGATCCTTTGGTTCATCTACTGCGTTAGGTGTCCCAATTGGTGGAGGAATAACTTTCTTCAAAATCTTTCCAACAACAAAAGTTAGGAATGATGCAATCATAGGCGAAGCCCACCATACTGCCTCAAAAGTATGAGCGGTAGCCTGGCTCTCCCAAGGCACGCACATTAGAATTGTCGGAAGGATATAGCCAACAATAACGGAGAGCAGAATTACTTTAACGTAATGAGCTGGTACTAAACGCGATAGTGGCCACCAGTATGGCTCGGCGTTGGAGAACATAGTGTATGCGGTATAAAACACCGGCATGACGACTCCAAACCCAAGCCATTGAGATAGTGCGAACCACACTGTTGGTCTGAGGTAGAAGTCAGCTACGAAAATGCGGGAATGGAACCTCCTGTCGGAACACAGGATTTCTTACATAGCTACGAGGTTCATATCATTACGCTTGCGGCAAGCCTCGATCAACCAGACTGACATTGGCTGAATCAGCATACCATAGAAATATACACTCAACGGGCCGAGGCTATTATCATTTTCGGCTGCAAGTCTCGGGCTTCGCAAAACAGTTGCGAATTGGACCGCAAGGCCCTCGTTCTTGGAACGAACCCACATGCCATAGTAGGCAGATACAGCAAGGCCAATGTAGAATAACATTTGCAACCATCCTAGCGGACCTCTCAATGATGGAGACTTCGCGAGCTCATCCTTATACGGAATTAACTTCGGGCGCGGTGGAAGCTCTACCATGTCCAATTTTTCAGCATATGGCTGGTTCCCGGAGAAGTTGAACATGACATCTTCTGTGTCTGTCATTGGCAGCAAAGTCAAAGCTATGAATTTGTGCAACGGGTCTTCCATGGCTTCTGTGCGTTGTTGTTCGTGAGATGCGTCTTTCAGGGTTATGGCTCGACTCTCGCGCAGTTCCTGCAAGTCTTGAAACAGATTTGTTATTTCTAAAGTCGTTGGCTTGGGAGATATCTTCAAAAGTTTTACCAAGGAGTTAACAAATGCTGCGGAAGTCTCGAATGCCGAATTCCCTCCATGACCTCCAATTGGATTAAATTTGTGTGCAGAATCTCCAATCGTGACGATTCTCTCAAAGTACCATTTCTTATAGACATACTCTGGTAGTGCCGTCAATGTTGAAGAAATCGTTCTTTCTTGAAGGACCTTGAAGCTGATCTCTGGTGTGATTGGGTCATTTTCATGTTCCTTCAGCACTTTAGCCTCGTCCTCTTTGGTATAACGAGGAATATCGGATCCATAAAGCGTTTGTGGGTGCTTGAAAAAGTAGAACCAGTAGACACGTCCTTCCGGTCCGCCGTTAATGAGATAACAATTTTTCTCTCGAAAAACTGAATGCAGGTTTCCAGGTTCAAGTCCCTCGATCGGGTGTGATATGCCGAAGATGCAACTGTAATCGCAGGGGGGGGCTAAGATACAGTCAGCTATGGATCCTCAGATCTTCCAAGAAAGACTTTAGTGTCTGGATCTCTAGTTCCTCTACTTCAATGTATGTTTCAAATCCAAAACATTAGTGGATCATCACACCGCAATAATCAGTGAACAAATAGGGACGTACCGTTATGTTCCCCGGCAGGTATATAACCCGGGCTCTTCTCTTCCGCCAACCGCCACATCTCAGATCGCGTCTTGCTATGGATGCCATCACCACCAACCACTACATCTCCTGTGAACTCGGATCCATCGGTCGTTGTAACTTTGACGCCCTTTTCGCTCATATCAATTTTCGTCAGACGCTTCTCAGTCAAAACCTTGGACTTGTCCTTGATATTATCATACAGAACCTGTAGTACCGCTTGTCGATCGAGGAACAGGATAGGATATCCATGTCTGCACGAAATCAGAATATAGTTTATATCTTCGATTAGAAAGTGTGTTCACCTCTGGACGAAGGAGTGTCTCATTCCCGAGTGCCCTGCTAGTCTCTCTCCCTTACTATTGCGGAAGTTAAATCTCTCAACAGGCGGTGCCAGACCCAAAATTGTGTCAAATAATCCCAATTGGTCAAGAATTCGATTGCCGTTTGGCAGCAGTCCAATACTAGCCCCAACTTGAGGGGCTATATTTGGGTATGCTTCCAGAATGACAAAATCGATGCCATTCAGCTGCAGCATATTCCCCAACACTAGACCGGCCACACTACCTCCAATGATAACAACTCTAAACGGTTCATCGTGGGTCATCTTTACAGCTGGTTCTGCGGATACAGTGAAATTTGCTAAAATTTTAATATTTTGCCAAAGCAAAGTAGAATAAGGTCACGTCTATATACCTGAGTCCTTCGATCCATATCTGGAAAGTTAACACCCTGCCATACACGTGGAGACGGAGCCATAAACTTAATCTACAATTCCGATGCTTGAAGAACAGAGGATCGCTCCGTATATTCGCCGTTCTAGTAGAAGTTTTGCAGATAACACATGGTCTGGTTGTCAAACTCGCATAAGCTACAGGTGTGTTCCACTCCCATTCCCCTTGTCAAAACTATGTAGACCCACCTCAAGTCAAGATGGTTAGGTCAATAGCAAATGATTTTGGAGCTTGATGTTTCGGGCAGCCATTAAAAGTGGATAGTGGGTGTATAAGTGGGGATAAGTACACGAAGCAAATCAACGAGAATAACTTACCGGTAGTTACTGGTTCCGTTATAAACTCGAGTACTGTAGAATAATCTGAGTGGTTATACTTATGAGAGAGAATAGGGGGAAACTAGGTCAAATAAGTGGATACATTTATAACCTTAAATCAACGGTTTTGCCCAATAAGTTCATTCAGTTCAAAAGCTCCACTTGATTGAGTTTTTGAATTAATATTCCATTTCCTCTATCTTAGCAATGATTTTGATTTCTTAAACTTTAATCATTAGTACGGTTATTAGTATCCCGAGTATTTTCATACTTTCTGGCGGTATAAGTACGTGCATTAGCAAAATCTGTATCCAGTGATACATCTTACTTACTCATCTGATGTATATGGGTCAACACCGCCTTATACCCAATCTTTACCTAGAAATATCTGTGGCATCCAAAGCTCCCGGGAACTCAAAACAAGTCTCCCGAGTCCTCGAGGTCCAACAGTCTCCAAATTAAAACGGTTTTTTCTCGGCAAACTAGGGTGAAGGTCTACTAGAGCGGATCCCCAGCGTTGACCCATTCCAAATCTGTCATTAAAGTTTTTCCTCGTCTGCGTAGTTAGATGACCTCTACAAGCCTTGTGCAAGGAGCCATACCCTCGCCGGCCGTTAATCTCTTCCTTATGGGCGTAGCGGTCGTCTATAGGTCCCGGCAATTCGTCGTTGCTAGGTTTGCACAGATCAACCCTGTGTAATGTGTATTTTTTCACGATGTTTCGTCTTGGACTTGGCTTGGAGGCTTTCAAGGTATGGCAGGTATGGAGCCTCGAGGTTTTCTTCAACGGTTTTATGTTCAAGAATGGTCTATTAGCCTATATACTCCCAGGGAAAACTTGTTGCGTTAAACTCGGAATCGACTTTTCTTCTTGATTCCGGAAGTTGTATCCTACCGGTATTCTGTTGCAGCATCATTCTTGGATTAATCGTCGTCGGAAGCTTGTTGGTGCCGTGCTTGGGATAGGATACGTCGTGTCATTATGGCTTTAGAGCAGAGGGCTCTGACTATTGTCATTGTCAATTTTGTCTTCCTCGCCTTATCGACAATTACATTAGCACTGAGATGTTTCGTCCGCACGACGCGCGAAGTCTTCGGCTTGGACGACTGGATGATATTGTTGGGATGGGTATGTTGAATCACCTTTCCTGTAGTTCGGCGAGTTTTCATTTGCTGATTCCATACAGGCTATGTTCGTAATAAATGTCTGCATGTCAACCATGGCAGCAGTCAATGGTCTGGGTGTCCATAACCTGACTATCACTGCCGCAGAAATGGCACCAGCAGTCAAGGTTAGTACACGAATTTAGAAAGCGGTTGGGGTCTGAAGGTGGCTAATCAATAAGTGTAGTATTTTACTATGTTCCAATTATTCACATTGACGGGTACATTACCCGTCAAAACGAGCATTTGCATCTCCCTAATGCGCATCACACCCAACCCGACCTACAAAAAGATTCTCTACGCAATCATGGCCGGATCCGTCATTACCGTCCTCATTTCCGACGTCGTCGTCATCGTAACATGCCGCCCCATGTCATTTACCTGGGATAAAACTATACCCGATGGAAAATGCAGCAGCATCAATGCTATCCTCGCCCTCAGCTACTGTTTCTCCGCCATGAACATCGTCACCGATCTATCCACTGCCGTTCTCCCCATATTCATCGTCTGGAATTTGAAACTCTCCCCTCGAATCAAAGTCGCCATTAGCATCCTCTTAGGAATGGGTATGTTCGCCAGCATCGCCACGATTATCCGCCTCAAATATTTTCCAAACTACGCTAAAGCCATCGACTATCTCTACGGCGTCGCTCCCATCGTCTGGTGGTCTACCATCGAAACCGGTCTTGGGATCATCGCAGCTAGTCTTAGTGCTCTTCGACCTCTCTTCCGTTTCGCGCTTGGAAATGGTAGTTATGGTCCCTCGGACGACAAAGCTAGTCCCCCCACAATCGGTACCCCGCGTCAAAAAGGCTATATGAAAGCTCGCGCCATAAAGTTGCAGAATATTGAAGATGGGTTAGCAACGACGATGGTTACGAGGACCGGAAATGAGAATGAGAATGGGAGTCATTATAATGAAAGTTCAAATAATAGCGAAGGAGAAGGAGATGGAGATAAATCGAGTCAAAAGGGTATATTGCATCATATCCCAGAACAACCGGAACAGGATTATACGGGAGAGGAAAATGGAATTATGGTTTCGCATAGTTATAATGTAGAGGATGGAAATGATGTCGATAAAGCTCATTCGAGGAGTGCAGGTCATAGACATAATGGTAGTCATGGCTCGAGGGAAAGGAAAATTCAGGATATAATATGAGTGTAACATATCATATCATATCATATCATATGTGAACACGATATTGGGGGAATGATTCATGTACGATTACGATTTGTATGAATAGTGATGAAAGTTCAACAGACGTTGATTTATGGATTAGATGAAGCTATTTAGTACTATAATTTACCTAATATCTCAAAACTATTGAAACATCTATAGCTTTCTGGACATGCAAAACTTTACGAACATTTCTAACGGTCTGGACATCCAAAACTTTTTCGGAATTTTGATGTATTGGACGCATTATACTCATCCATACACTCCTAATCCCCAAACAACCATTAACAAATACTGATTTTGTAATCCTCTCGTTTCCTCCTCCCTCCCCCTCTCTTCTTTTCTCCCTCAGGCTCTACCCAAATCCAAACTCCAAACCCCCAGATTTCAACAAAACATAACACAACTCTATCCCAATGTTCCAAACTCCCAGAATTCAACACCGTATATACCTACCATACCATACATGATATTCTAACTATCCACCCATAACCCCCCTTTTTCCAATTTCCTCATCACAGCTTCTCTTTCTCTCGATGCTTTCGCTTACTGGTTTTCTAGCTATTTAATTTCCTATCTTTTCCAGCTGGAGTTTGAACGAAGTTCGAACTACAAGTATTATTAGTATTAGTATTAGTATACTCGAGTACATGCAGTATACTCATAGCCAATAGCCAATTGTCAATAGCCAATAGTAAATAGTCAATAGTCAATAATCAATAATCAATAATCAATAGGGGATAGCCAATAGCCAATAGCCAATAGCCAATAGCCAATAACCAATACCCGATAATCAACCAGTGCACTATCAAACCAATACACCAATTAGTCAAACTGATACTATACTAGAGCTTAGTTTGGTTTGTATACAGTATCAGTAACTCCTACAACTTCTCAAACTTTATCTCTCAGACTATTAGTTTCCCATTTCCCATTTCCATTTCCCAACTAGTTCATTTTCCAACTATTTTATTACTTTATTCTTTCATTCTGCTGACTACTCGTACACTGTATACATACACATATATACGATATCATATCCTATCCCATTCTATCCCATCCCATTCTATCCCATCCCATTCTATCCCATCTCATTCTATCCTAATATCTTCACAATCCCCATCGCCATCCCATCTAATACTCACCTGATATCTTCACTATCCTCACAATCCCCATCCTCATCCTCATCCTCATCTTTATCCTCATATTAACTAGATTAGTCAGGTCATTTGTTGTTTTCCGTTATATCTACTCGAGTATCTAATAGTAAAGTAAGATCTTTCTTTCTTTCTTTCTTTCTTTTTTTTACCTCCCCTTTACCCTCCCCTCCCTCACCTCCTCCTCTATCATCTCATCATTACTCATCATGAGTAAACTATGAGTAAACTATTAGTAAACTATTAATAATCCCTCTGCTTTTCTCTTCTCATTCTCTTCTCTCTCCGAACTAAGCGAATCCAGCCCATCTGATATAATATAATATAAATCTATATTTTGTATTTTTACTTCTACACAAGTTATACTCACTTTTATCCTATCCTATCCTATTCTATATTATCTTATATACTTCTATATTCCTATTTTTTTATTTTTTTATTTATTTTTTTAATCCATCCATCTATTCATTTATATATCCATTTATTTATTTATTAATCTATTTATCTATTTATCTCCTCTCTTTTCTATCTCTATCTCCATCTCTATCTCCATCTCTATCTTTATCTTTATCTCTATTTTTATTTCTTTTTTCTTTTTCTTTCTATTTTCATTTCTATTCCCATCTTTATCTCTATCTCTATCCCCATCTCCTCTTCCTCTCCATTTGTTCTTCCTCTTCCTCTCCATCTCCTCTTCCCCTCCTCTTCCTCTACCTTATCTCCATCTGCATCAAATACTCACTTTTTATACTCACTCACTCACTCACTTACTCACTCACTCATATATATCCAACCCTCTTACATCCAACCCTCTTATATCCAACCCCTCTTACTCGAGTACATCCAACCCTCTTACATATCCATATCATAATACATCCAACTCCCTTAAACTCATAAAAACTATATTATACAAAACTATTTCATACAAAACCAAAACTTACCAAATCAAATCAAATGAAAACCTTGATTATTCTACTCGAGTATTATTCTATTCTATTTTATTCTATTTGAATTTGGTATATAAATAAATTTGGTATAGTAGATATTGTACTCCACTTTCTAGAATCTGGGGCTGTATATCACACCTGCCTAGCCGCAAAAATGATTTTAAAATCCTGATCTTTCTTTTTCTATTAGTTCCCCCCCCCTAGCCAACCAAAAATAACAAGTAGTAAGTAGATAGTAAGTAATTAGTAGATAAGTAGTAAGTAGTAGAGTGATCTATTATAAGCCCCTCCTCTTTTGTATCCCCTATACTCTATCCCCTATACTCTATCTCATTAAAATTTCAAAAGTAGAACCGTAGCTACCACCGAGTAGCAAGGTCTTCCAACTCCATCCATCTCCATCCTCATCTCCATCCCCATCCCAATCTCCATCATGAAGATCCCAAACGCCAATATGGTATAGGGTATAATGTACAACCAAACAAATTAGCCGCACACGCATGATCATCATTCCCATCCACCCCTCACCCCAAAAGTTCTAAACCCGAACCCGAACCTTAACCTTAACCTTAACACAAGATCAAAATCAAAATCAAACTTGCAATTAAGCACCACCCATCTCAATATTCTTCCCCTTAACACTCTTCCACTCAATTGCTAAACTTCCAATTATAGTCAACGCCGCCATAACCGCTGCCACCAAAAACGATTGCGTAAGCGCATCATTATAAGAAATGGTCACACCAGCCAGGAATTCCGGATCAATATTTTGCTGAATACTGGTAGCACCCGTGCTCAAGACTACTGCTGGATTTAAATCCGGTACATAGTGTGCTAAGTTCTGAGAAAGTTTATTGGTAAAGACATTTTGACCGATAGAGACGAAGAGGGCACCGCCAAGAGTTTGGCAAAAGATGATGACGGAGGTACCGGTTGGGACTTGGGAGATGTTGAGGATGGTTTGTACGGCGATGAGGGGTTGTTGCATACCGAAGCCGATACCAATACCTGCGAGACATTGGTAACCGATCCAGGCGGAGTGGTTGGTGTCTGGTTTGAAAGTGGTGAGAAGACCGATTCCTATTGATGCGAGTACTGACGAGATAATCATCAATGGTGCGTAGTAACCGATAGTTGTGACACCAATACCGGAGATGATGCTGAAATGTATTATTAGTATGACAGTATGCAAAAGATGTCGAGGATTATACGAACCTGACGATTACTAAGGTCAACACCATAGGAATATTAGAAATGCCAGATTTGACAGCCGAATCGCCTTTTACGGCTTGAAACCAAAGGGGGAGGTAGTAGATCAAAAGGAGAAAATATGATCCGAGACAGAATGAGAACCATGCGGCAGACCACATGCTTCGCTTCTTCATCATGCTGGGTGGTACAGTGGCGCTGTCCCCTTTCCAGAATTGTATGGCAATAAAAATTCCGATTAATAACCCGAAGAGTACGAATAGTGCGATTATACGACCATTGCCCCATGGGTATTTGGTACCACCCCATTGAAGCGCAAGCAATAAACAGATGATGGCCGGAATGAAGAATGCGGTTCCGAGAAGATCAAACTCCTTTATGCGCTCGCTCCATGGGAGGTCTGCGATAGCTTCTCTATCAGGTGCTTTGAAGAAGACCAAAATGACAAGAACGGTCACTAGAACATCAATATATCAGCAATTGCTTATCATGAAGCAGTTCTGGGAACACTCACCAGCTCCGATTGGGAGATTGATCAGGAAGCACCATCTATTGTTTGAGTTAGAATAAGACATTCGAATCCGAGTTTCGAGGAAGGAGGATGGGAGACACATACCTCCAAGTAGCTAATTGAATAAGGATATTAGCAAAATACAAACTGGACGAGTGAGCGGAGGAGAAAGCTTACCTTTATCGGTGAACACCCCCCCAAGTAGTGGGCCAGCCACAGAAGCAATGCCATACATAGCTCCAATAAGCCCAGTATACATTGGTCTCTTGACTAAAGGTACCGAGTATGCGACAATAATCAAAGCACCCGAGAAGATTCCGGCACTCCCCAAGCCAGCGATGGCTCTACCCACAATCAAAGTAACCGAATTTGGCGCAACACCACAGATCAAACTGCCGAGCTCGAAGATAGCAATTGCAACAAGGTAAACCCATTTGATTGAGAAATAGGAATAGAATTTGCCAAAGAGAAGTTGAAAAGAGGCGGTTGTGAGGAGGTCTGTAAACATAAGATGTTAGTCATTAAGTTCCTAGTTCCTAGTTCCACCTAGTTCCTTCCCCACGGGGAAACTCAAACCCATAAAAATAATAGGGAATCTTACATGCAGATCCGTACCAGCCAACATCAGCCAACGAGTGAAATTGATCCGTAATCTTAGGAATGGCCGTAGCAATAATAGAATTATCCTATTCACCAATTAGCACTTAGAGTAATATGTAATATATCTCAAGAGAAAACTATAAGAAACTCACCAAAGCCATCAAGAAAACCGACAAACATAATGCCAAACTAATCAACTGTAACTTAAGTCCCGTTGGATATTCCACACCATCTGCACTTGTCATAACCCTGTTCAACTCCTCCTGTGCTGACTTCGCTGCACTTTTCGTCTTCCTCAATTCTATAGGATTTTCATCGTCGCCTTCATGAACAGAAGGTACCGCTTCAGAAGGTTTCTCCGCTGATTCAGAATCCGATTTCAGAGCTCCGCGTGCAGTGACTGCTTTCTCCGCATCCAATTTTTCATGTATCGTACTTGAAGAAGTGGACGATGCACTTGTCGTAGGTGGCACCTTTTCATCCGCCATCATTGCCGTTTGTTTCTTCTTGGTTGATGAGACTCCTTGGAAGAACAAAGTAGGTAGGTAGGGTAGGTAGGTAAAAGATAACTCAATGAGTTGAGGAATCAATCTTTGTATGATTACTCAAGACTATATTTTAAGATGTACAGTAAGAGACAGTAAGGATATCCGTTTGTTTATATTCTCGAACCTAGCTAAAGTAGCTTACGGTCGATTTCGGCGGGGTGATTTGGCCCACGAGCAGTGAAGAAAAGAATAAGGTGAATGGAAGGGTCGAAAATAAACGGAGATAGAGAGACGCTCAAAATCCGATTGAATATAGAATTAAAATTTCCGGTAGAACTAGAGCGACCCAAGAATCTTTTTTGACAGGTACTAAGGGTCGTAGGTCCAATTAAAACCCAATTAAATCCTGGGGTAAATATGGTTCACCAATTAAGGTTATTTTTGGTGTCTTGTTTTATTGAATCTTCAGTTATGATAATCAGATCATCAAGATTCTGGGAAAAGAGAGAATGAAAAAATAGATAAATAGATATAATACTTTCTTTTATCAATTGCGATCCATGACGAGAACATAAACTTTCATCCCATCCCATTCCATCCATCCATCTAGATTCTTCAGATTCTTCTCTTTCCCCTTCCAACATCAGCCAGCCCCATGGAATTTTAGCATACGAATCTACCAATCACAACCCGCGCAATCCGATCTCATCATGAACAACATGGACTCTGGAACATACAATTGTCCGGTGGTGTGTCCCCACCGAGTTAAGATTGACGCGAATAACTCGCTTTGATCATTATGGGTGAAGAGTCTGGCCTGACTCATATCGAGTGTTCATACTCAGTAGAGTCCGAGTAAGCAACAACACATATGTTTCTATTCTGCCTAGAAATTTTCGTCTTGGAAGGTGGAATTTGAATAATTGCATCATTGTAAGGCTGTAAGATCTGATGATGACTAGGGAATTTCGCATCTCTATTGAAATATGAGAATATGATGGGTTTGGTTGAGGTTAGTCTAACGGCGAGCCTGTTTCGTGAGCTAAATATAATATTGGTCGAGTATACGGTTGTTGATTCATAGTACTGGCTAGACCGGTATTTGACTCATAATGACTAACTTTGCATACAATACAATACTATGTTTTTGTTTTTCGTCCTACATAGAGTCTCAAGGGCGTGCATAGAGCTTGTCACACTTACATAAGACATCTGCAGGACTGTACGTAAGCAAGCACAGCAATCTGTATAACATCTACTCGAGTAATCACTACTCGAGTATAACAAACAAACAAACAAACAAACAAACAAACAAACAACACTAGTAGTCAGCTACTACACTACTATTATACTCGAGTACAATACAATATAATACAATACAATAAATACTCTAACATCATACTATATAGCAAAAATCTCTATCTTCCTAACTCTACTATATATATATTTTCAAAACTCGTACACACACCTACCTACCTAATCTTCAGCCTAACAAAGGAAAATGGCAGATTTATCCACAACACTATAAATTCCTATCTATATACCTACTAATACCTATCTATCTATCTACCTACCATAACCCATCATACTTCCTCATATAACTCACCTAGAACTCACTATATCCCCCTCTATCTCAGTTCTCATTCACTCACCCATTATATTACAATCCTATCATATAACTCATTATATAACCCACTTATTATATAATTTATTATATAACTCACTATATGATATACTTATTTCTTTACACTTCCCTCCTCTCCTCAATCCCCTTCCTCTCCTCAATCCCATTTCTCTCCTTCCCTCCTCTCCCTCCTCTCCTTCCTCTCCTTCCTCTCCATCTTCTTCCTCTCTTTCCTCTCTTTCTTCTTCCTTTCCTTCTCCCCCCTCCCCTTCCTCTCTCTCCTCTCCAACAAACACCTCCAACACACATCCCCCTCCAACAACAGTTTTATATCTCTCTATATCTTATATCTCATAAACAGAAAGCTAATAATAATAATAATAATAATAATAATAATAATAATAATAATATCAATAATAATATCAATAACACACTAACGGACGTACCTAAATAGCCCAAGGTAGGTAGAGTTTCAAATACCTACTCAGTACTCGTATATCACTTCCGATTTGATGATTAGTCGATATACACAAGATGACCTGCATTTACAGAAGGCAAGGAAGGAAATGACATATTCTGTCCGATAGTTCAATTCAACACAACTCAACCAAAATCATCACAAATACTGTACAAAAAAAAAGTTTTTATTATCGAGCTAACTTTTTGTATGGCCAATCTATCAACTCTCACTCTCCCATGAAATGCATAAAATGACCAGAGCATGCCAAAGAGCCCAAAGACATCGAGACTACTTTCTTCCTTCCTCCCTCTACTACAACCCACAATACGTTGCTTGCTGCTTATCTTTCACTTCCATCTTGAATTATCTATGGTATGAAAATATCGATCCCCATTCACTTAAGAAGTGCTAGGATCAAGAGTCACACCGGCTGCGATGGTGGCCCAACCAATCAATCTCCAATGCTTTTCAATACGACGACTTAGCGCAACCTTCTCTCCAAGGTTTGTGCAAGCAGGGTTGGTCAAGAGCAATTTAGCTGCATCTTGTTTGACAGCCATGACCTTAGCACCGGTAGCAGTAGATCCAATGTTGACCATGAGAACCTCGTTCTTTGTAAGCTTGGTAACCTTGGCTTGCTTACCATCAGCGGTCTTAACACCCAAAAGACGACGCAACAGATAATAGTTGACTTCGATTTCAATGTAGATATCAGGGAGTCGGCCCTTGAGACCGAGAACGAAACCGACGAGACGATCGGCACGGCAAAGAGTTGGATCAATTCGGGTACCAACACCAATAAGTCCTCCTGGAACAGCATATTTCAACTCATTGTTCTCCGAGTTAAGAGTAATGATTCTGCTGAAAATTGGTTGGCACTTAACACCTCCCTTCTCGTCACGAGAAACGATTCCAGGTCTAATCTCGATTTCGTCACCCAACTTTATGACACCGTGCAAGATACTTCCACCAGCAACACCACCCTTCAACTCGTCAATTTCAGCACCTGGCTTGTTAACATCGAAGGATCGAATAACAATCATATGTGGGTCCATTGTGAAATCTCTTGGTGGAACAGGGATGTTGAGTACAAGAGCTTCGTTAACAGCGTCGATGTTAAATTTCAATTGGGCGGAGATAGGGATGATTGGTGCTCCACCTGCAACAGTTCCTCGGATGAACTTCAATATCGATTGGTAATGTTGGTTTGCGCCTTCTTCTCTCATTAAATCGACCTTGTTCTGTAGAATAATGACCTTGTCGAGCTTCATAATTTCGATAGCTGCCAAATGTTCCGAGGTTTGGGGTTGCGGACAAGTTTCATTTCCAGCAATAAGTAAGAGCGCGGCGTCCATGACGGCTGCACCAGACAACATAGTACTCATGAGAATATCGTGACCAGGGCAATCGACAAAGCTATTCATGTTAGCTATTTCTGCAGCATATAAAGCTAAGCAATAATGACTTACGAAACGTGTCTGAGAAGCTTATATGTACCACCACATCCTTCTCTCTCACACGATGGATCAACCTCCTTCGAACTCATGTAACTTTTATAGCATCCTGGTCTTGGGCACTCCTTGTTATCGCACTGATAGATCTTCGCGTTGGCATAACCAAGCTTAATCGTAATATTTCTCTCCAACTCATTCTTGAATCGAACCGTTTGTACTCCCGAGATAGCCTTAACCACAGTTGACTTTCCGTGCGCCACATGTCCAATAGTACCAATATTGATTGTTGCTTGTCTCGCGATAATTTCTGGTGTGAGGGGATTCAGAGATTTCACATCCAAATCTTTTGGTTCGGTTTGAGGTGGTAAGGTAGGTCGGACGATAACTGGCGCAGGTTCTTTATGTGACGATTTCTTTAATGCGGATTTGATAGGCTTCTCGTCAATATCCTCGACATTGTCGTCAATCTCTTGCGCCTCAAGGTTAGGGGAACCTGGGTTGGAATCGGATTCAGATTCCAGATCATTTCCAAACTTATCACCGTTCGAAGCCATGTTGGGTGGTTGTTATCTGGTGGGGGTCTTCTTTAAATATTTGCGTGGCGGCGGGGTAATTGGGGCTTCCCTTGATGTTGAGGTATCTGGAGTCGTTGAAGTAATCTCAGATAATTCAATACGTTCCCTAATATCCAATCTGGAGTTCGAAAAAGGACTTAAATGTTGCGGGTAGCTGTCCTCGTTGACTTGTGGATGGGCAAGATTTCGAATCTAGATAATATTCTTTGAAGTGGGTGACTCAACCGAGAAAACTAACAATCTCGGTCAACGTAGTTCCGCGATTTCGGTGGCTAGCGGGTACGCAGGGCATGTGTGACGATGTGTATGAACACAACTCTCCTAGCAAGAATTAGAAGGTTTACACAAGGTTTGAAGACAATTTTACTTTTCAAGATAAATATAAAACAATGTCGAAGTCAATTGTGAATTCCGCACAAACGTTACCTCGATTTCTACTCCCAAAGTTAAGCTGGCAGACACGATCCTCATTACCCCCCCAACACACTGTTCGAGCATTAAACACGGCAATAAACAACAACGGAAGGTCTAGAACTCCAATTTTAGGACAGCATATATCCAATAGAGCACGATCGGGAGAATATGGAAACAATCCTCGAAGTAGCATATTACAAGACCCTTCTTGTCGAAGGGCATTCCATGCAACCCCTCGTCAGTCCAGGGACCACCATTTCGATACCTTGAAGTTTGTCCAAAGGTTACGAGATGAGGGATTCACCGAGCCGCAAGCTGTAGCTATGATGAAAGTGCTCAGCGATGTCATTGAAGAAAGGTAATCTACCATATCTCTTTCCTCTGCTTCCTCAGTTAAGCTCTCTCACCGCAGTCAACTAACACCTCCCCAGCATCCAAAACCTAACTCGCACAATGATCCTCCGCGAAGATGCCGCCCGCGCAACCTACACGCAAAAAGTAGATTTCGCCGCCCTCCGCAGCGAACTCCTCTCGGCCGATTCCACGGAATCCTCCACCACGCGGGCCTCGCACGAGCGACTCACCAATGATCTCGCCAAACTCAGTGCCCGTCTGCGCGACGAAGTCTCTCGAACCCAGGCTTCTGTTCGATTGGACTTGAATTTAGAAAAAGGCAGGATAAGAGAAGAGGCCAATGTGCAAGATCTGAAGATTAAGGAGACAGAAACGAAGATTGAGCAAGAGGTGGCTGGGTTGAGGGAGAAGTTGGAGGGTGTTAAGTTTCAGACGTTGCAGTGGTTAATGGGAGTTTGCACGGGTACGGCGGCGTTGATTTTGGGTGCTTGGAGATTGTTGATGTAAGGAGCGTTGGGTTTAGATGGAGAAGAAGAGCAATGATACCTGGGTGTGTTTTGTGTTATAGATGGAACTGGATATTGTTTGAAACATTAAATTCATTTGAGTTTTTGATCACATCAAGTCAATGTGATTCAAAGAATTGTGGTTCTCGATGACCTTTAAGATTCGTCGACATATCTATAAAGTAAGAGGCAAGCTAAGTCTGATCACTATGGTTTTCTTCGAGGTACGTTTCTCAAGGTACGAGTCTGTCCTCATCAAGAGAAGTTGGCTCATAACACTGCACAACTTCCGTATGACAGTCATCATTTTCGTTCCGATCGTAACTTAATGAATACTTCTACTCATTCCCTTCCTCATCCTACCTCATTTCATGCACTCCAAGACCGGAATGAAGAGGATAAGGAGGACAAGAAGGACGAAAGGGGAGATCCAAGAAGATGGCGATATTTTGGCTAATATTAAAGACAATCCACATCATCTCCTCGGCTCCCACCATTATCCCAGATGACATCATATCATATCCCTAAGGGAACTAACTTTAGACACTTACCGCTAGTAAACTCACTTACTATAAATGCTGTTTGACTATATATAAACTAATTAGGGGAGGTGGGTGGGGGTTGGTAATGAGTTGATGGAAGATGGAGATGGAGATGGAGATGGGGTGTGGGCTTGGGATATAATATAAGTCTATAATAGTAGAGGGAAGGGAAGGTGTTGGATAGAAGATTAGATGAATCATGAGTATCCATTAGACATTTTTCAGACGTGCAATATGAGCTATTGGATCAATTAGATGGAAGTGAAGAGCTGAAGATGAGATGAGATGAAGTTAGTAGTCACTAAGTTAGTTGTTCACTACCTACATCAAGTTATACAACAAAAAAACCTAAACATTCACACACCACAATTCACAAGTTAAAAATAATCATCTTCATCATTTTCATCTCTAATCATCTCCTCATCCGCCCCATCTCATGTCTCCGCTCCACCCCGCCCCGAAATTTCCCTCCATAAATAGGGAAATTCCGCTCATCGACTTTTTGCTCATCACTAGGAGGGTATACCTAGTATTCCTGATGCGCTCCTGAAACTATCTGTATCGTATCAAACCGTATCATATCGTATCGTATCGTATATCCTCCCTTAAACTTTTCCTATTTTCAAAAAAAAAATACGATGATAACAAAGAAGATAAATTCCCGTCAAATGAGTCAAGCAAGGAAGGAAGGTACTGCTTGAAACCTTGCCTAGTCAAAGAAAGCAGATACCTCCCAATATTCTCTGAACGTGACGAGCCCACCCAGGCCTAAAAGTCCAAGGCACAACCAAACCACTAAGACCACAAGTCCCGCCAACGCACCAAAGCACCAAAGCAACAAAGTAATAATGCACAAGGATAGGAAGTGCCTCTATCTAACAGCGCGAACACTGTAACGACACCCTAACGAATGAATGCATGCATCCCATGCTGACCAAGCACTAGCCATTTCTACTTCCAATATCTGAGTAGAATTGAGCACTTGAGCCATGAGACCAAACCAGAGAACCAGAAAGTCGCATATAGACTGATCACACCACCGCGTCGAAGCAAAAAGAAAAGCCACCTCAAAGGGTAAACTGACTGCCATCAAGAGGATCCGTAAACCATTCGCTGAAACTTTTGCTGTTCTTACTATTTGGAAATATTGGTCTTCTTTCCCTATTCCGATTGGTTTGATCCACTTTTGCCAATAATGCCATTCCGAAGTCCCTATTCAGTTTCCAAGCGAGATGCGCCGGTTGATTTCGAAAATCAACATCGTCCGCATCAACTTCGTATTCATCGTCCGAATCGTCTAGGATGACGTTATTGTCGTTTTTCTCTTTGATATGGGGTCTCACAGATGCTCTGACAAATAGTTTTCGAATAGGGTGATGCGGATCATCCAGATTCGAGAAGATTTTGTGTACATGACCGACTTTCAGAACGCTGGGGGGATGTGGCCCCTTGCGATCCTGTTTTAGGATGGCCTCGAGTGTTGGATACATGGTAGTGGCTGGCCCTGCAACTTTAAATTTCTCGGCGAGAACTATGAAGTTTACGATCGATGTGATGGCTTGGATTTCGCTCAACTGGGGACCAAACGAGACGTTGTGGCACACCATGTATTGGATAATGGCATCAAAGAGAGTTGGTTCGACGTCTAGGAGATTGATTTCCTTTAGTGCAGCATCTTGGTCTCCCGTAGGACTGATCAGATCCTTCAAATATTTGGAGTTGTCGCACATAAGCTTGGTCGGAATCGCATGGGTTTCTGTACCAGAAAGATGAACAAGGGTAAGATTGGTTGAGTTCTGGCAAAGATCAAGAAATGTGGTCCTGTTAGATATGATTAGAATGTTTTTTGGATATCTAAATAATAAAAAGTTCACCCTTACTTGATCCACTGGCTTGCAGGCTGTAGCCCTGCTTCTGTGTCGCCAATTTGTGTGCGAGATCTCTTGGTGACCCGCTCCACATTGTCAGAAATTATCCTACATGATAATCAAATGAGCTCAACTTACAGATGGGCTTCCTAATTTCCTCTTTAACGGATTTTCCTGCTGGCTATACGAACCTCGATCATCGTCTTCTTCGCCTGATGTTGATGCCTCCATCTCTAAGTGTACGGCATCCTCAACATCACCGTCGCACAACTGTAAGGCCTGCATGCACTGGTCAACCGTCAGATGAGGAAGTATGTCTCGTATTTTGCCCACTTTTTGAAGCTCTTCTTCTGTAGGAAAATCCGAGTCGATACTTGGAGAACTACCACGAGAAACAGACTTTCTCCTCGAGTTAAACATGAATACATCGCGTTCTGCGAATTCTGAGCCATCGCGTCTTGGATTTCGAGGACCATCACATCTGGACTCATGCCTTCTGATATTCGCTTTTGATACTTCTTTCTTGCATTTTACACACACTTGCCTTGTCCTTCTGCGGCATGAAGATTCATGGTTGTTTCGCGCCAACCAGCTACCTAGGTCTTTGCCGCAGAACTTGCAGTCGCCGTTTTGTTTCTCATTTTTCTTTGCTTGAGACCCTTTCTTGAAGGATAGAACACCATTCATATTAATATCTGAGCTATGGTCTGGCTCTGTTTTGGCTACACCTTTACCTTTGTCGATACCCACCACTCGCCGGTTATTAAAGTAAGGGCTGGCAACAAGGGTATCAGTTTCTTCTGCGGTAGAGTCTTTATCATCCTCGCTTGTGTTGACCAATGGACTATTTGGTGTTTGGTGTGATGGCTCAATTGAGGACAGACTGGTATGAAACGACTCTTCGCCACTAGTCTGGCTGGGCGTAGTACAACCGAACACAGAACTATCTGAATCCGACGGCAAATCGACAGGCAGTTTTCCAAGCACATTGCGTCTGGCTGTAGGAGTAGCTGGCGAATAGACATGGGCACCAGATACTGGAGCTATCTGTGGCCTGGGGTCGTTAGAAGCATCAACGGCGCCTTCAAGTAACAGACTAGTAGCACAATCGATAGATCCATCACAGACCTGTAGGGCGTAAAGAGCCCACCAAACAGTCACCCATGGAGCAACTGTCCTAATCGATTCAACTTTGTTGCGCATTACATCATCCTTCACATCATCAATATTCGTGATAGAAGTGATTGGTAGATATTGAGCCCTGTTTCGGTGTGTATTTTCGAGAAAGTCTCGGGCCTGATCCAACGATCGATTGCTCCTCACGAGGACGTAAATAAGATATAGAAGAGGATAGGATGGATAGGATGACCGGATCATCCCAACTTCCTGGCGAATATCTACATCGATAATATCGCTAAATTGCATATCGTATCCCCGGCTCGCTTCTCCTTCTCGCTGTCGAAGAACGAGAGTGTTTGAGGAAGAAGAGGAGGAGGTAGAAGACAGACTGCCCCGACTACTGAGTTCAGTTTTGCCCGCGATCATGATGAAGTAGATTGTAAAGTCTCAAAGGTGTGTTTTGCGATACGGGAAAGTATGCTTCCGAAGATAGTAAGATGACGGACTTGAATAGAGATGACTAGATGGAATGGAGCAGCAATGAGATTCCTCACTCGGGATCAAAAAGTTGAACAGGCAAAGCCAATCCTGAGAAACCAGAGTTGGTAGTCTATCCAGATATCAGTGCCGTTGACGACAGGTGATCCAAATATGTATTCTTTTTGCAGTATAGATAGCTCTTCAAAAGCGAAAACGATTAACAGAGTCAACGGGGAAGAGCAGGATGATGTTGATGAAAACCGATTGTCGAAGTCGGAAGTTAAATGTTTGAAGAAGAACTCAAAGGTCGAAGATGATTGAATGTTGACAGCAGAGTCGTTGGATAGTAAGTCGTGCTGCCAAAAGATGAAAAAATAATAATAGCAATGACCACAGGTCAGATTACTTCTCTAGAAGTCAAAAATAGGAATAGAATATCAACACGAAGAAGTAGAATAATGCTGATAAAAAAGATATTTTTAAAGATGCCCAATTGTCCGAAAAAAAGTAGAAAAACTGAAGATGATATGGAGAATGGCAAATCAAACCGTAAAGTAGAGTAGAAGGGCTTGAACGCAAACGTGAATCCCAACGGTTCAAAGATGATTTAAGCAATGGCCGCAAACCAATCTACTACTTTTGCAAAAGCAAGAGCAAAAAGATGTAGTAAGTCAACGCAAGGGAGCAAGATAATGGGGGACGAACTTATCATTGTAGAAGATACTGGAAGTCTTTGAAGAAGCAATGTTGTAATATGTGAGGTAATGAATGATGTTGAGGAAGAGGAAGAGGAACGACAGCGAGGAGTAAGTAAATGAGACGGGAAGCGGGGTAGAGCAAATTTCAGTTTTTGATTTAAAAAGAACTAAACACACCGAGGAGAGGAGGAGCGGGGCGGACCACCAAGTGAATACCAGTGAATCCCAATAAATCCCACACAATATCGACCACCCCAAAACAGAAAGATGAAGTACTACCACAGAACCAACGAAGAACCTACCCAGTACAAGTACAAAGACAAGAAAGCAGTAAGCTAAGATAACAAATGAATAAATATCCCACAAGAGACACGAGACACGAGAAGAAGTTGAACATCCATCCACACCTTACTTACTTACTAACTATCCTATGAAAAAAGTGAAGTAAAGTAAGTACTCACTCACTCACTCACCCAGCCATCCGAGTCTACGAGTTATTTTCCAACCCTAGATACTATTTCCACATCAAGTAAGACTTACGGTTTACGATCTACGATTCTCAAAAGCTTGATGATCATTGAGAACTTTCTCGATCCATCTAGACGAGATAAAACATAGCATAGCATAGCATAGCATGCGAACCTTAACAAAAAGTGACTTCGAAACTCCTAAACCATCCATCTACCCGAGACCATACTTAGCTTAGCACACAAAATACCAACGATTTCTTTATCTTGACATCCGTCAACCACGAATAATATAAGCATAATTGAATAATCGATTCTAGGGTATTTACACAATAAAGCTCATAAAGCTCCTGCAAGCTGAGGTACGTAACTTGAAAACCATCAATTCCCTCTTGGAATATCAAATTCAGCCGACCAACGCCTCGCAACATATCATTAGTACCTAATTGATCCATCCATCCCTTGCGATAAACTTTGTTCCTCATTCCTCATCCCTCATACATTCCAATCGTAATTCCATTTCATCATCTCACATCAGGGTCTTCCTCATCAGCCGGCTCAACACGGACTAAGATTTCTTCCAACAATCCTTCAAGAAAGACATCCACGTCTTTCCCCATACCTACTGGTTCCTCTTTATCCCAGTGGTCAATTTCTTTGCACACATGTGCAAGCTTGTAAACTAGTTTTCGTAGCTTGTCGTGGGCAGCTTGCGCTCTTGTGTGCTTTGGTGTGGGTCCACTCGCCCGGAAAGCATGTTGTAAGCGATACTGGCGTCGCTTGAGCGCTTCTTCAAGTGCAGGAAAGATCACATCGTTCAATGCATCAAGTTCTCCAGTTGGACTAGTTGGTGCAGGTGAAGGCATAGATGATGGAGTTCTTGAGGATTGAGATGAAATGCTTTCTTGAGAAGGGGAATTGCGTAATTTCTTTGATGGTAACGCAGGTAATGGCTGCTGACCTGCCTGGCGCAGGTTTATGTTTTGAAGGCCTGTAGGATGAGGAGGTAAGGGAAGCGGCTGAGGCTGAGGCTGTTTCCGAGGTTCTGCAGCAGGCACTTGGTTTGGAAGTCTTTGTTGTAGTGGTTGAGGCTGGCCGCTGCCACGGAATGGAGGAATTTCAGGTAATTTGATGGGGGCAAGCTTTAGTAATGGCTGTTGTGTATATGTCCGTGGTACTGCTGCAGGTGGAGTATTTCGATTCGTGTAAAGTATTGGTATCGGGGCGGTGAATTGGGGAATTCGCAGTGGTGGAGGAGATGGTTCACTGAGCTTCAGAAATCCCATATCCTGTTGGAGTTGTTCTTGCAATGTACGATCATAATCAGGAGATTCGGAAAACTGCCTACTTGAATAGCTCGGCGCGGCCATTCTAGGTGTCTCTAATCCAGGAGGTTTGAATTTCTCCGGTGATGGTGGGAGTGGGACCTTGGTAGGTGACATTGGATTCTGCATACTCGGAACAGGCCGTCTCTGTGGGGAGGGTTGCCTGGGTTGTGCGTCTACCGGAGAGTTCATTGCCTTGACAGTTTCAATACTTGAGACATATCCAAACTCTTTCGCTTTCGAAGGTGATTGCTGTCGCGGACGCTCTGCATAATTGTCCTCCTCTGATGCTCTCGATGCCCTTGCATTCGTGGCAGATTCTCCCATGGCATTCAATCCAACCCTTACATTCACCTTTCCACCAGCTGGTCGGACTGTACCAAAATCCCATAAGTCCTCGTTCACAGGTTTGGGTCGGGGGGCTTCCTCTCGTTCATTATCCGAGTCATCGTCGTCGCCCTTATGATGTACTGCCCAACGTTCGTATCTCTCTATCAATTCCGTCAAGTATGAAGTCTTCTTAGCTTTTCGCACAAAGGGGTGCTTGAGCAATTCTCTGGCAGATGGTCGTTCTCTCGGGTCTCGTTGAAGGCACAATTCGACAAATTCCTTGAAAGCTTTTGTGAAGTTACCTTCCAATTTAGGTGGTGCATTTTTGGGAATGAGGAATAGAACTTTCATTGGATGAATATCTGAGTATGGAGGTTCGCCATTGGCAAGTTCGAGTGCCGTGATACCCAGAGACCATATATCCGCTTTGTGGTCATAACCAGATTGCTTGATAACTTCCGGGGCCATCCAGAATGGTGTTCCAACGAATGTATTCTTCTTAGTCATGGTAGCAGACAATTGGCCGGAAACGCCGAAATCTGCGAGCTTGACTTGTCCATTGGCGCCCAGTAGAACATTTGCAGCTATTCTCAAATCATTAGCTCCTCAGATCTAAAAGCAAGCTACAAGAGGAAAATTGTGCGAACCTTTGATATCTCTATGAAGTTTCTTGTCCCCATGAAGATAATCCAAGCCCAGTAGAAGTTCCCGTATGATGATTGAAATATATTCCTCCTGAATCAAACCCGGCTTCATCAAGTCCCCACAACTCCCACCCGAACAGAATTCCATGACGATCCAAAGATCTGAACCTCTAAGATATGATCCATAGTATTGCGTAACGAACGGGGAATGTAATTCGGAAAGGATAGAGATCTCTTGAATAATATCTTCAACTTCATCTTCGGCATTCTCGACATCGATGACTTTTATGGCCACAGCCTGCCCGGTGCGCTTGTCAACTCTGTTGGAGATCAGTACATGGCCTATATGAGGACTTGGATTGGCAATTGCTAGAAGCAAGAAAACATACCCTTTGTAAACTTTACCAAAACTGCCACCGCCTATAAAGATGAGCCTTTGCACAGAATCATATAAAAGTATCCGCACACATACCGATGCAATTCTGTTTTGTGTACAAAGTCTCAGGATCCACGACACCACTCATCTCATGTGCCATCATTCGAAATCAAACTCGATTTGATTAGGAAAGAGAAATGAGACAACACCACTGGGGATGGCCTTTTGTGTTGTCGGTTTGATGTCCGGAATTTACTGGGAGCACCCCGCAGATATTTTGTTGCTTTCGAAGCCAGGGAGCAATTGTGGAAGTGAATTGACCCGATCTATTGTCCGAGGTATCGAAGACGAAGCGGATGAAGTTCCTTATCGTCTCATGAATCTATATCCGGTAGAAATTCGTCGATTCCTTCTCTTCCTCTTCTCTGCGGAGGATCAAATTACACAAGGGAATCGCGGTTTGGGCCTGGGAACGCGGTGTACGGTATGTATGGTATGGTGGGGTCAACAGCTTCCGAGGGTGTATATCGCTATATCAAATAGAGAAGAAAGAGACTGAATGTCGAAGCTTGTTGTTGTATTGAAAGTCGTGAATGTCGTTAAATCTTTTCAAGGGGCAGAAAATGCTGTGTATGAATCGAAGAGAAGTAGCAACTCGAGCTATCTTTTAGAGGAATGCAACTTTTGGGAAGCGGCATGTACGAATAGAAGTGGATATGAGTTACGGTTTCATTAATCCGGGGAGAGTAGGCACCATTGGCTGCTGAGTAACAAACGCGATTCACAAGTACAGTTGAAGTTTGTTTTTTGAGATTTATGGCTTTTCGTATAAAATCCAAAATTGAGGTTCAACTTCGAGAATATCCTAGGAATAAATGGAAAGTTTAGAAGATAGTTATACTTATCAAACCTATATACCGGTACTTGTAATCTAATATTGATTTCCTTGCTTATTTTCATGAAAAGGCTGTTCTTAACGTTGTGTTAATTTATTAGACAAGTGTATCTTGTCTACCAGCCAACCTTCTCATCAACCAATCCTTTTTACTCGAGTTATTTATTTACCTTGCCCACTTCGCCAAACATCAACAATTTCAGGGGTTAAGCGTAGCAGCGTAGTAGCAGCGTGTCAGCATCTCAGCGTGTCAGCGTGTACACAAGCGCTTCTGCAAATCAAAAATGCACTTCTTTTTCGTGAACCTCGTGAACCTGCATAATAAACCATGAACAGTTTTAAGCCTTAATGATTTGAATTCATCTTATCATATTGCATTGAGTGGTGTGGACGTTATACACTAGTTGTTACCTCATATCTTGGACTTGAATTCACATGATACGAAAGGCCTATTATTTTAGATTAGGCTAGATCTAATGCATATCACCATTATCATTCAAGCTTTAAAAGCTCAATATCGAGCCAATAGTTCAGCACCGGAGAACTTCACTAACCGTCCAAGCAGTTCATACGTCAGTGTAAACTGTAATTTCATCAATATCGTAATATTCTCATTCTCATAAATCTATAGCTCAGCAACCCGATTATCCTTGCTGAAAGCCCCGTCTATGCATGAGGCGAAACTCATGTGAAAGTAAGAAAAGTGACATGTCTTCCCTCTATGCTATTCATAATGGGAATGACAGGCCGTGGAATTCAGAAGAGTGGGTAAATCATACCATGTACTATTTGATTAGCCCACTATTACCTCAACCCGCAATGCAAGCAATCCCTTTGGTATCAACGATCCTCAGATGTAAATTAAACCTCAATAATCGATAATTTCCATCATCACCGTGCTATTCTTGAGCCCCGCAGCCTCAATTGTTTGGTCCAAACAATCCATCAAATCTTTCCCAGAAGCTTTTAGCTCAAAGGGGAATCCTGCTTTGCCATCCAGTGGATCCGATTTGAGCCATTCGTAAATGCGGCGTACTGGATCGTCAAGTCTGAATTTATGAACAACACGACCATCGGCATGTCTAAACTGGATGCGTGTGTTTTGCGAAGCGGGGCCTTCGGGTTCAGTATGCGGTCTGTCGGAAGCAATTTGATCGAAAGGCGAGACTGCTTCGATATAGCTATCTTGGGAGGACTCAGCTGCCTCTGAACTTTCTTCCTTAGCCCCTTTGCCCTTTTCTTTGCCGGCATCTCCGAAGCTCTTTGTAAGGTCATCTGGATCATCCGCCTTGGGTCCAGCCGTTCCATTGTTTGCGAGACTATTTTGCAGTGCCAAGTCGAGCATTTCCTGCTCGGTGAGCTTATCGACGTCAATCGACTTCGACTTCTCTGGTTTTCGTCTAGCAACGGGATTTTTCTTGGAAAGATCAAGACTGTATCGATCTAGAAACTCAACCAATTGCATGAGGAAATCTGCAGGCTTTGGTACTGGAGGTCCCGACCAAACTTTTACTTGCTCTCCGGTTCTCGGGTCGACGATCGCGATGTGAGGATATGCAGCCTCACTATCTTTTTGTGGAAAGTAGTACTGAAGGTATTGGCTTCCCCTGGGATCGTCCTTGGAATACTGCATGAATATGAAGTTTTCCTTGACGACATCTCTGATGCCAGAGTCTTTCCATATATCGCGATTCAATGATTGGCAGTCGAATATAGAGTTATCTTGTATGTTGACCAAGATCCACTTTCCACTCTCTTTTCCCTCATCGCGAGCCTCATCCCAAGGCAATTTGTACATTAGGTCGAATGGTGGTCTGAAAAGTTCCGCAAGGCGGGCGGTCTTGCTAGTTCCTTCCGAGGCCCCTCCAGTCGCCTGTGCCAAACCATCGTTAGATTCATCCCAAATCGATGGAGTGACTCGTTGATTGAAGACTCCCGATCGAGCTTATTTATTGTTAGCACATAGAGTCTGGAAATGTTATACTCGCTCTTACCTGAGCCTCCGCCAGCTGCTCTGGCTTGTGCTCGAAGTCTCATCTGCTGCATAACAGCTTGTTGTGCATCATCTGTTTCCCAGTCTCCTGAACCGCCAACAAGTGTCTCCGTTGTTCTCGCAATAGGAGCTCTTACGCCATCTGCATCTAAACCGCCACCAGCATCTCCACCACCGTATAGCTCTTCTTGCATTCTCCGCGCCATGGCTGCATCGTCCTCCACCTCCGCGGCGCGTGCAATAGCGGCAGCTATTGCAGCATCAGAATCCGCATCACTACCATCATCATCCACTTCCACATCAGCATCAGAATCTATATGTACCACCCCAGATGAATGTTCCATGGCACGGGTTGTGGATCTTTGAGGCCTGGTAGAAGTAGGTATCTGTGGTGGCGCTTGCTGAGGAGTGTCATTTTGACTTCCGGCGAGTTCAGGTGCTTCAAAGAATAATCCTATTGCTTGTTCATAGTTGTTGTCTGTCATTCCCAAATAACGTCTTGCCACAACCTCCGATTGTCCTGTGATGGACGTAAAAGCTTCGATGGGGTCATCCATGATCAAAGATCACTCGAGAAGAGTGGACTATATGGATTTGTAAGTGTATGTGTATTTGTGTTTGTGTTTGAATAATAGAAGAGATTGTGGTAATTCAAATTGGCAGGAAGATGTCGAATTCGAATTAGATGGGAAATGTGGTTGTTGAAAAGTAAAGGTTGGAAGGGTATAGAGATGAGGAATTGAAATAGAAGTTCGTAGACCGTAAGGTAAGGTTGTGTTGGCTGATCAGAAATAAAAGTATGTAACGGTTCAGATTTGCAGGTGAATGATCTGAGGTGACTTCTACCGGCGCAACTTCTTTTGTACAAGTGGGTAAAAGATTATAAGGTTATTAGGTTGTTTCATTGACATTCGATGCAGTTTTTGATACAGTTATGTTCAAAATCGTCACCCCTCTGCAACCTGATAAGTACTGGTACTACTAGAGTTTGGCAAGGTTGAACATAAAGTGGTGGGCAGGGGACAAACATGAAGCGTCCAATCACACAATAGATAATGTTTGCGGTAATTCGTACTAAGCGTAGCCTTACGGAACAAAAACAAGGCTATTAATTATCGTTTCATTGGGGGGATATTGGAGTGAAGCTTGTATGGAAGGAAGTAATCTTACAATGCTATTTTTTCGCTATTATATATTCACCTTTATATATACATGTATGTTATTCTTATTAAGTTTACTTAGAATACTTGATATCATTCATCTGATATTCTTATACCTCCCAAGATCATTGGATATTCTAAATCTCTTGAATATTCACAGCCATTTATTTACGCATTCAAACATTTTGGATCAAACGCCAAAATATCGAACCACAAACGCCATACCTATCTATACGTTACAAGCCTAAATGATCAATTGCTCCCTATTTGATTCCAGTTCTCCTCTCCAGCTGACGCCCAAATCACTCACGGTCTGATTAATTACAACTACCTGTTATCCATATAATCGAGTATCGTTGCAGTAATTTCCTCGTAGTCTTTGCCTTCGACTAAAAACCTGTCTCCTCCGAACTCTGAATGAGATCTTGAGCAATTTGTTTCTCCTTCTTGACCTTGGACACGATACCCGCTAGAAACATAGGAAATGTTAGGAAACGTAACTTCAAACGTTGTAAATCTCAAGTCGTTCTCGCTATCTGAGCAATATCTTTGGCGCATGAAGCAGTTTGTCCTTCGACTTCCGCTGCCGGTATCAATATTTGGCCTTAGTATACTTGAGGGGTAGTAAAGCATGCAAGCTAGATAAAAATAAGTGAATCTGAATCCGACAGTGACTCCTGATCCATCATTCGAGGGAAACTGACATGTGTTCTGAAAGTGAATGGCCCAGCTGGAAGTTTTGCCAGTTCATCAAGTCAATCATTTTCCGGGTTTGTGACTTTAGGAATGAGGGCTAAGGGCCATGAAAGTGAATCGACAGCGTTGTGTATCTCGCATAGATCAGAATAGGCGTCTCCAGGGGTTTTGAGCTGCATTTTGTAATGCCGGAATAAACTTTTGGTAACGCTCCCTAGTTTCAATGCCAGCTCTCAATTCCGAGCACATATCCATAATTATTGTCTCAAGACTTACTCACAAAACGTCCGCAAAAGACCCGTTGCCAAACGAGATAAACTTAGGAATGATAGGGCGACTATTGCAAGGTATAGCTAACCCATCAGTAAATGTAAGATTTCTTGTTGACTCACTGGAAGCTAACCCTCAGAATATCTCAAAGAGATTCGGCCTTAATTTCGAATCAGATAATCAGCGTATGGGTGTATCCAGAAGATTCCGATGATGCTGTGTTAAGTGAGCATATTTTCTTCCCTACCGTTATAGTGGCGGGTTGCCCATAGTTGGAATATCACTTTGTGAGTTGGTTGTTTGCAAGTGCCTATGGTCTGACTGGCCATAGTTATCCGGTTATCCTTCGAGCAATTGGAGAAACACGTGATCTGGCCCGGTTGGTTGACAGTGTACAACTGAAGAGGGCCCCTGTACATACAAGCTTGTTGAGGTGATCGTGGTTTGGGATTGATACGGCCGGCATGCCTATATCGCATATGGCCTCGGGATCGTAGCTCTAACGACATATCAATCCTCTCCACATCTAAGAATCCTTTGATCGTCCGCTTGGACTGGAAAGTATATAGTGATGTTGGGGCCCAACATTGCACTTTCGACAAGGACACCGAAGACTCTTCGGTACAAGATAGTCATGCGGCTCATGGTAATAAAGGGGCCAGTGTACAGCACCTAGTGGCTGCTTTGGTTGAAATGATTGTAGTCGACAAGAGATCTTGCTATGATGCATGTTCCAACCATGCTCAGGCGGATCCACGAAGGTGCAATGATCCAAAGGGAAGCAACAGGAACACGGATTGAAAGATCTTGACTTTACCTCGTCTCGTACCTTACCTTCCAGAAATGTTTAAGGCACACTACCAGTGTAATGAAATGGTGCAAGACTGAACTGGACTGACTGAGTCGGCTGATAGGTACATGTGATAGAAAGGCCAATAAAAATGGGAGGTCAGACTCTTATTAGATACTTCAAATCCAGATACATAACCAATTCAAAAGCCTTGAGGCAATAATCGTAGGCCTACTAGCCCTCCAGCTCGCCCAACCCACCTGCCACTCAACGAATTCGAACTTGGAGGACCTACGATTTATAGTGATTGATCTTTTGATCTTTGAAGGTCAATCGTGAAGTACCAGTATAGCAAATGACTCGAGAATTCATATTGAAAATCGGGAATGTCCAATCCGAGCATGGATATTGAAACGAACAATCTCACAAGCTTATGAACATAGAGTCTCGACTATCTAGTCCTACATAGGTAAATTCAGACAAGTGGTAGTGGTACACCGTCGAACAGACGATGGTTAGGTAAGTAGATGTGGTAAATCTAGAAAGTCGAATAAACCATCTACAGCCTGAGGCACCAACCCACATCCCAACCAAGCCCCATCCACACTAGCCCCCCACTAGCTTCATCCCGGCCAAAAAAAGTCTATAAACCAAATTTTCCTCCCAGCAATAGAAGTCTTTTCTTCTTCAACTTATTTTTTAAGTGCGGCTTGGTACCTCGTGTTTTTCGCGCATCTGCTTCGCCATGATGTAATCGAGTGTCAATGGTACCATAGATCGATCTCAATTGCAGCCGTTGCTCTCTCTTTAACTTCTTTCCGCGGATTTCCTCCGCACTTTTGTGTTTGGAGGGAATTCAGGCTGTGTTCGTCGGTTTGTCTGAAAGGGCCCAATGGATAACGGTTGGTGGGGAAGAAGATCGAGAGAGTTCGGACATTCTTTATTTAATACTACGTTGGTTTTGGTCCTGGGGGAGATGGGACTTATGGGAATGCCCTCTTGAGGACACAAGAATAGGAATTCTCTTTCTGGGGTCTATGGGTGTGTTTCGGTTTGCGCTAGTCGAGGTTGAATCTGCGGATGGATTTATGTAAAATCAGTAGGATGCTGCTTCACATATTTATTCGAACATCACAATCAAATTCAATTTAAAATTACTGCCCATCACTTATTGTCATTCTCAAACTGCGGCAGAAAAAATAATCTCTTCGTGATGCTGATTTATAAACCATATTGACCAAATGCCGCGTTGAATTGTTAACGCCATCCCATGCCTATTATTATGTAACTGTAAAGCTCATCATCATAAACAAACATCATACTCGTTATCCTCAATAGCCATCATCAACCTTCTCCAGCTTTCCCTGATCGCGCTTTTCACCAGTTTCTCCAATAATCCTGACCCTATCAATGCGTACCTTCTCACGATCCCCATCACCATCCACAATGAAGACAACCAAACTTGTAACATTCTGGAACTTGACAAAGCGGAGTGATAGTGTAGCAGTGCCGGTTGAATCCCAGTCTTTGGCTTCAAGGGTTATGGTTTGTGTGGAAGGAAGATCTTCAGCCTCTTCGAAGCCAACGATGTGAGTTCGGTTTGTGTAAAGTTGGATCGTCTTTGGTCGCATTGGCTCTTCGTCATCATCGTCATCATTCTTGTCGTCCGATGCTGAAGCTAGGGAGGTGATCTAGAGAATTGAAGATTAGCACTATCACTTGAGAGGTTTGCGCAACTGACGAATGCTTCTTACCTGAATAGTATGAACCTTTAACGTAGATTGGAATGGCACGAATAACATGAGCTGCTCATCCGTATCACTGACAACCCAGTCTTTAGCCTTCGAATCTGCCCCCTTCCCCTTCGACAAGGCACTGGGTTTGTTTGTATCAATCAAAGTTCGGACATCTCCAAAATCACTGTCGGCATTCAACAGTTCCAAACCCTTGATATCGACCTCGTTTGTCACATCGCTGTAGCTCTTTGGTAGAGTTCCTATGCGCCATTCGCCGGAACCACTTGCAAATCCAGATGCCGAATCGCTTGAATCATCTGCCTCTGCAGCTAGCTTCTTCACGATATCTTGTAGTTTCTTTGGGTCGGCACCTTGGACTTTCTCGACTTGCTTGCCTTCCTTGAAGATTATGAAAGTTGGCATCCTGTTAAGGTTCGTGTTAGCAACCACTTCTAACAGTGACCCAAAACGATTCCACCCTCCCGCTTATCCGGGAAAATGCTATATAAGGAAGACATACGCAGTGACACTGTAGGTTGATGCGATCTCTTTCTGGGTATCAACGTTGACCTTGGTAAATGTAATCTTATTTGGACGAGACAGCTGTGCAGACAGCTGCTCATAAATGGGCGCAATAGCTTTACATGGCCCACACCAGTCCGCATAAACTATGAACAAGATGAAGTATTAGTGAGAGCCAAAGCGATCCAAATCGATCCAAAGTGGTAACCGCAGGTAGTGTGGAGGGGGGAAATATTATAACAGGAGAGGCTTTCGGCGGGGTAGCTTACAATCTGTCACCACAATCTTGGAGGTCTTCAGTAAACTACTGAATTCCGCTGGTGACTTGACAACAACTGTTTTTGACATCTTGTCTATGATTAAGGTGATGAGAAATGGCTAACTGTCGAGAACTGAGGGTACAAGATTTGTATGGAAATGTATCGGATTCGGTTCTTGCCGTTGGTTGGAAATCAGTCTCTGGTCATGTGATCTGGACAAAACACATTCATTGTACTTCTCTCAGTGCTAGGTTGCAAGTATCTTTGAGGCATTGAACAACTTTGAGTGAAGTTTATCACTTATCAAGATCTGATTACTATAGTCAGAGTATATATCCAGTTATCCCAGCTAGTGTATGAGGCACTCTTATCAAACATCCACAACAAAAACCCTTCTCTGGTTCATGCCCAACTCATCTACTTATTGGTCTGAGATGTTTAGAACAATCTGCAGCCAAGTACCAAGTTAGCGTTTGCTGAAGAAAATCCTACTTGCTTATGTGGTGCTGGCAAATTATCATTGAAGAACCTCATCTGAGTTTGCGGTACACAATCATATCTCTCAATCTTTCCATTGCCATCTTTGTCCTTTCTGTGTCATGGGTATCATTATCCAAACTCTCAAATCACTGCATTACAACCCATCACAACCCTTGTATGCTCAACCATCGGTGTACCAGCCATCAATTCCATCCACCCAAACTTCCATCATCACACCAGACTAACTCCTTCGTCCGTTCTCCCCAGTTCCTTCATTCTTCCTCAATAACTTAGCTGCTCTCTCTAGCCTGTTCTTCCTTTCTCTCAACCACCTAGCCCTCCCACTTTCCTCAGTACCATCAAGCCCCATGCTACTTCCTTCGTTCCTGTCCCCATTTGCACCCTTTCCCTCCAAACCGCCTCCCTTGCCAGACTCATCCTTATCCCTACTCCTCACAGTATACATCCCTGTTCTCTCGATCTCTCCTTTCACCAGCCCAATTTTCCTTGCTATGCTCACATTCTTACCACTACCGCTTTGGTTACCACTTCCACTGCCACCACTTCCATTTCCACTACCACCATACCCCAACCCAAATATCCGTCTCCAAAAGCTCGGTGGTTGCACAACCGGCGCATTCCACCCCACATCTCCTGTCATACCCGACTGCGATGATGTTTGCGACTCGACTTCGCTACGCCAAATCTCGATACGATTGCGTGCTATATCTGGCATTTTGAGTACAGCTCGAAGGTAATGTCCAACTATTGGTTTTGAGGTACTGTGAAGGAAAGGAAGACTTGCAAGTGGCGCATATTGACTCTGAGAGACGAAATGTTGTTTTTGAAGAGAAATCTGGAATATGGTAATCGTGATATTTAAGGTCAGCTGCCATTTGCGAGCTGATTGAAGCGGGTGATAAGTGGTGAATTTTGGTGTGTGAATTATAACCCTGGAAATGCTGTGTGAGCTTAGTGAATGAGTTGTACTCAAATTGAAGGGAGTGTGGTGAAGTATAAATGGTTGGAAACGGTCGCAGAGGCTTCAAGGTTTAGTAGGGGAGCAGATGATCCATCAGTGCCGACTCGGTTCAGCTCGAGATGCATGATTTGAACGACATGCCGTTTTCTCGTGCCTCTTCCTCTTTGTTGATCACAACGTTTGTCAAATATAATTATTCCTTACCAAGTATTTTTATTTTCGAAGGAAATTGTTACTTCCTATAAGGCTTTAAGAACTCTTTTTTACCAAGTGGTATCCGATTATCTGATTATCATTGTCCACTGTGCCAAGATTTCTTAAGTTTATAGTTTCGATCGATAATATATCGACAGCCAGGAACCTCATTGCGATCTCTAGTGATGCTCGCAATCATCTCTCATTATGGAATTATATAGTGATGAGTTTCAAGGCTCATATGTTAGTTAGCTTGAGATGTGTTATCATACTAACACTCTAGAAACTAATACTCGAGTACTAATTGGACTATCGATCGTCAAGCCCTATCCAAGTTCTTTTAGCCTCTAAATTTCCACACTCTACAATTTAAATATTTTTTCCTCATTACGGACTTCTCTTCATCTCTACCTTCAATTTAAACCCTAAAAGAGATCAAAGAGGCTTATTTCCAAAAAAAAAAAACCTCTTTCGCAGCCGGCACCAACAAAACTACACCTTCTCAACATCGTCATTGTACGCACTATAAAAAAATGAACATAGAAATTAGGGATGGATTCCAGCTCACAAACTTATGCTTGGGCAAGCCCGAAGCACCTCTTTCAGTTCACGGGCTAGCATGCTTTGTGCTTGCCGGCATGCTAATCAGTGCTGTCGTTCTCATAGCGACGTACTATATCGAATATTATGGTATTGCAGAAAATCTTGAGGATATTCTCGTCGATGGACTCACCGATGGATTCGTCGAAGTATATCTATGGATTAAGTACGATTTAAAACCGATGCTTCGAGTTCTGTATGTATTCCTGTTCAAATTTGATCAGTTCCAATTTGATCAGGATGACATGCCTCAACTGGAATAGGGATGTGAAAAGACGGTCTTTTCTTCAAAACGTGTGTCATATCATATCACGTTAGCCTGCTTTTCTCGTGTCAGTGGTCTTTTCGATAAATTTGTTAGAGATGAAAACAAAGGGAAAAGGGAAAAGTCAAGAATTGTAATAACCATGTGATTTAATTGACGGTAGAGCTCTTTGGGCTTGTCGGTCATGTGGTGTCAGTTCAAGTCTTTTAAAATGTCGGTCACATCAATTTTACAACCGGTCACTAGAATGGATGCGGACGGAGGTACGGCGTGGCGATGATACGGATATAGATGATCGATTTCGCAAACAACGATACGGACTAGGAATGATGAGGGATTTATGGAGTGGTGATGTCTGCTCTTCGGATGGGAGCATTTTTCGGGATGGATCTAGGGTTGAGGAGTTTGATATGGAGTTTGATATGGGGTTTGATGTGGGGATTTCGGAGGAGCAAGTACTTTGGAGGCATGATTTATTCGAGGTGGATTATTCTTGGTGGTGTTTCAAAATATTGAGCGGCTGGATGGATATTGAGGCCGTTATACGAGTATATGCCAACTGGTTACAAGCTTCACATGGTCTAGGAGAATGGGGAATTATCTTATTTTACAAATATATCTTCCCTTGGAGGTATGTGTCGATATGTAATATATTATTGGGGGAGCAACCATCAAAGATAGATTCGGAAATCCTAAAGTATTGAGCTATGTCGTAGCGTTTATCAGTGACTATTGCTGGACTACATCAAATTGCTATAGGCACATATCACTTAATGAGTAGCGTAGGGCCTGCTCCCTATCATAATAATCCCATAGCCCTTCCACCACAAACTCGACATCTACATCCTGACCATCCCTTAACCCCTCACTCAATCACCATCATCACCATCATCATCCCAACTATCCGAAAAACCCCCCATACCCAAACCCCCCCACAACCCAAACCCCACCGACAACCCCCACCACCCCCACACCCCCCTCAACCTCCACAACCCCACACACCCCACCGCCACCATGCCCCCCAGCACCGCCTCCTTAACCAGCACCTTCACCCTCTCCTTCCTCTCTCCATCCCTCCACATGAAAACCCCCCAGCGCGTCACTAACCCTTTCTCCCGAGCCCTACGTTCCCACCTTCGATTCCTCTTCTTCGATCTCTTGCGACAGGACTCGCACCGTCGATCCCGCGCATGTGATTGCGATGACGGAGGGGAGTTTTCTAAATCTGGGATTAGGAAGGTGGAACAGGCGCATTCGTAGAACATGGTTGCCGAGAGTCGGGTGACGAGGAGGAGCAGGAGCCAGCCGCTGCGTTGGAGCACGAAGTGCTCGCTGTTAGGCTTGGTTGTGGGCATGGTTGTGGGTGAGGTTGGAGGGTGTGTGATGGATGATTTTGGGGGGTTTGGAGGGGTGATGTTTGTGGTGCAGTATGAATACTGCTTCTCCCTAATCGGAACCCCGACGAAAAGTGCCGTGGTTTTACTTATTATCGTCGAGAAATTGCCAATATATGCCTAACGCAATTCCTTATTCGACGGTCCGATCCACAGTTTGAATGAAATTTCAGCCACGGCGTTGATGAGATATTCAAGCTCAAGAGAGAACTTATCCCCAAGCAAGTGATCTAATAGAATATTCTAGAGACCAGGTATCAAAAGCTGCAAATCAAACGTGGAATAAAAGTCTAAAGAGATTCCGAGTTTGAAAAAAAGTGGTGGAGCATGACACACACAAGAAGAAATATGATGACTAAGCATGATAGCATGGGTATATTGCATTCCTAACATCACTCTTTCATCCTCTCAGAACGTCGAACACATATCAAAGATACCTATGATCCGTTATTTTATTATCATGTACCCATAGTTATTACTTTGAAGGTACTCTGAGTCTGTGAGGTTGATGTGTATTCAATTCCAATTCACAATCTTTAGACTTAATTCCATTATTCGACTCCAACTCCAACTCCCCGTTACTCTCGCTCTCTACAATCGAGGCATCCACCTAGCCTTGTCCAATGCAGACTCACATATCCTGCACCAATGGTCTGGTATTTCTGTTGTCCACTTCTAATTCCAACTCACTTTGGTTGCTCCTTAGTACATACAGTATTTGGGTAGTTTGAGCATAAGGCACACTCAGAAGATAACACTAGACCCTCATGACCAGGGTGACTTGATCAGTTGAGTTTCAATACATTGTATTTACACATACTAGTAGATATATATATATATATAATCCTTCTAAAACATCAATCAAAGTCAAATAGCAGAATCAACTCACCTCACCTCTTACGAATCTCTAATATAACCCTCCCTTTCTTCTCCATTATATCATGTTATTTTCAGCGCACCATTATTAAATCACTCCCACTCATATCGCATCGGCATCGCAGCAAGTGCATAATTAGTATGCATTCCTTTCTTTTCCGATATATTACATCTTAATCATTATTGATCTCATCGGTCGGAAACAAGCTTGAGACATGACATGACCTACTATCTCTGACTTAAAAATCATTAACACTTGTATATAAAATCCATGGACATTGTACTAAGAAGTGAGAGTCCCGGATATGTATTGCAAGTAATAGAAGTTAAAAGATTTTCTACCGCACTATATAAATCGACTCTGTATGCTTCCACTCTGCACTCTCCTATCTATCCCGCTTTCCCATCCAATCACCTCACCTCCATCCCTAAATGACAGCTCTACTCCTCCAACACCTTCTTCACTCTGCCCAACATAATCTTCACACTCTCGTTTCTTTCCCCTTCCAACGCCTCACCCAGCGCCTTCCCCATTCCCTCCTTCACCTCATCTCTACCCTCCCCCCACATACCAAACACCCCCCCCTTCCACGCCGCAACAATCATTTCCGCCGCCTCTCCCCTCTTGATTCGAATGCTCTCACTTCCAGCTCCGCTACCTAATTCCAATACCGCAAAAAATCCAGCACACATCTTATAGTTATTCGCTTTCTGCGTATGCGTTCTCTTTCTCAACCCATCAAACAAAGCTTTGATGCGTTCGTAAAGTACGGCACGCGTAGCGATCGTTGTCAGAGGTGATTTGAGAAGCGGAGTAACAGTATCGAGGAGTTTTGAAAGATGAGTGAGAGGTGATGGATCGAGATATTTAATGTTAATCCCGCGGAACAGAGCTTCAATTCCGGCAGTGATAGTCGCCGATTCTGTCGATTCGCCTCCCTTACTGACCCCGTCTTTCTTCCTGGAATCAGAAGTTGAAGTAGATGTACTTGTATCCATGTGATCTTCGCTACTCAGATCTTCCAATGTAGGTACAATGATATTGTGTACCTCATCCCACATATCTACATCCGTTCTCGCTTCTGCGTATTTGCCTAATGCTGCGAATGCGAATGGTCGATAGATATCATTGTTGCGTTTAGCTTCTCTTATTGCAATTTTCTTCGTCTGGGCTGCGATACTAGGCTCGGCTTCCAGGAATGCAGTAGATTCTTTTACAAATTTTATGAAACTCGCCAATACGGTTTCCTTTCCTACGAAAGTTTTAAGCGCGAGGGCTTTCTCGAGAGCAGGCCAAATGAGTGCGGATGTTACGACAGGAATCGTGGGCGAGGTGGTGGAGGTTGTGGATGTGACAACGTTGGCAATGGTCAGAGCCGCGGTGTGTTTGATAGTCCATTTGGGGGAATCAATGTGTTTGAGTACCATCTCATTGATTTCTCTTGCATATAATAAGACTGCTCTACTTCCACCTACATTTTCATCCCAGGTTTTTTCAAATTGCTTTTTAGTTGCATCGTCAAAATCGTGTTTGGCAAAGAAGACGAACGGGACTGCAATATCGGGAGTTAGTAATTATCTATCACTAAATTGAACTTTTAAAGAGAGCTGAGAATTCAAGCTAAGCTAGACATTGGGGAGCATGACAAGAAAGAACCATGTCAAACTTACGGAAATCGGAGGCTAGCGAGTTAAAATGATCGGTGGCAAACTTGGAGACAGCATAGATCAAATCGGAAGATACCTGGCGGCGAGTTTCATCTTCGGCATTGAAGTAGAGATCTTGAGAAAATGTGAGAAGTCTGAGAAGTGCTTTATCGGAGGCTAGTCGAGAGACATAGCCAGCCGCACGGGCATAGGATGCGCTGACAGCATTATTGCGATCCAGAACGGATTTTTCAAGGATTTTGAGAAAGTGGTCGGCATGAGGCCGGAAGGTAAGGCTATGGCGGGTTGAGAGACTGACGAGAACACCACCACACCCAACTTTGGAGGGCATGCCAACGGTGGTTCTGATGACATTTTCGAGGTGGGGAACGAATTCTTTCATGGTAGATTCGTCAATTATATCAAGGCAGCGTTCGATGGCTTCCATGAGTGGAGATTGAGTAACGGCATTTGTGCGGGCACTATCGATTTTCTCTTCGGTGAGATTGTAATGGGCAGCACGTAGATATATGTAGTCGATACCTTCCATTTCCATTGTGCTCAAAAGGCCCAAGAGTCGTTCGACGAGATTGGGTACGAATGGGAGAAGAGATTTGCCGCCACTCTTGATGAGTTTGAGCACGGTAATGGTTGCAAAGGCTCTGACTTCTTCCGCCGAGCTTTCTAGACCTTGATCTGAAAGTAAGAATGGTAAGACGTCTTTTAGCATTGCTTGTGCATGCTTTGAAGATGTGCCTGCCTCTACCTGTCGGACAAGTATACCGGTAAGAGCCATACTAGAACGTCGGAAGTCAGTAATTGTCAAGTAAAGAATCGTTTTAGAGTATGATAAAAAATCAAAGCTGTATAGAGAAGTGTAAAGATGCAGGGGTTCCAAGAGTCTACCGCAGCCCGACAATGAAGGATTCTTGGTTGTATGATATTCAAGAAACCAAAGTTTATCGAATATTAATTGAACTTTGGGATCTGGATCACAGTACTATTGGAACCCTGAGACCATGTAGACGATTAAACATCCAGAGTCGAACTAGGGGGAGTATAAAAAAGTACCGTTCAAACTCACCTAAGCGACAGAGCAGCCTTCCGAACAGAGCCTTTGATATCATCAAGAACCTTAAAAGCAACATGCCAAATGTCATGAAGATGTTTCTCATACTTCTCAAAGTCTCTACCTTGTACGAGATCAGCAATAGCAGCACAACTCGCCTCTCTCGTTCGCCATTCCTTTCCCACGATGCTCTTCAAAAGATCAGTGAGAATCTCGTCAAAATTTTGGTTGACAGTAGCATTTGAATCTTTGACAAGAGCGCTCCAGATATCATTCATGGACCGCTGAACATTAGGATTTGGGTCAAATCGATAGCGGTACAATTTGGGGTACAATTTGGGGTCAATCTCGGATTCGGAGAGAATGTTGCTTAAGCCAAACCTACAACATCAGTGGATTAGTGTTTGATCTAATTAGAATAGGGCGTTTAAACAGTGTTGAATGTCCACACATAGTTGTTCATTGGGGAAGCTTACCGGCCAAATGCTGCTCGGGTAGACCAAGTAGCTGCATTTGTAGCAAGTGACATGAATTTATATACTAAGCTTTGATCCCCAACTTCGTTGGCAAGGCTTACAATATCCTTGTAAGAGGTAATAGATTTACCCTCCCCAGTGGGCAGTGCACCAGGCTCAAACAGTTCAGTTTCTTCATGGACTTTGATCTGGGTGCTTGTGCCTGTGAAACTTGCAACAAGATCTTTGACGAGTTTCTCTCTAAGCTCTGTATCGCCCTGCTCATAGACAAGACTCAAGCCTCGAGAAGCAGTCTCTTGTACAATTTCCTCGCGTGCCGAGAGTAATCCCATGAACGCAGCTTGACACTCTCGTAATCGTGCTTGGATTTGCTCCAAATGACCACTGTATTGAATCAAGCTGAAGAGCCAGATACCAGATGCCTTCTTGAGCGAGGGCTTCGTGGTTTTACAATCCTTTAGAAGCTTCTCAACGATGCTTTCGAAAGTATGAGATCGTTTAGGACATCCAATATACCCACTGGCGTCAACGTCTAGGCTGATCTGTAAGACTTCCGAGTCCCAACAAGCACCAGCGCAGCTGAGAGCTTCACCAATAGTGAAGTGGATTTCAGGCTGCTTTAGCTCATACAGGTCATAAAGACCTTTGATGATAGCATTAAGTGGACCATCTTCTGTGGAAATTTCAGGTTCATCAAAGATGATAGAAAGTCGTCCTAGAGTTGACATTGCCTTTTCATTACCTTTTTTGGCCTCCGTAAGCAGAAGTTTAATGAGGCCATCGACCTTAAGTGATGACTTTTCCACAATATTGGGCGTCAAAACTCCCGAAGCGCTCGTCTGACCAATGGCATTCAATACAGCTTCTCTCATCGATGCATCCCTGACACCTTCAATCATGGAGATGAATCGTGCGAGGACATCTCCAACAATGTCCCCTTGAACAAAGCTACCGCGACCATAATAGGATGCCCTACTCAACACATAACCAAGTGCAAGAGTCGATCCGTGCACCTTATTTGCATCACCACCTACAGCCGTTGACCAAGGTTCCACGTCGGTCATAAGTGTCTCTATGAGCTTCTTGAGAGACTCTTCGTCTCTATCGGGATGAGCTGCAAGTATACCGATAGCCTGAGCTGCAAGGAATCGAGTTGCAACATTGTTAGATCTAATGCACGGTAAAATCTCAATAGCCCTATCTGCAAGTCGGCCAATCACACTCCTGGGCGAGATTGAAGCGACTTCTACGAAGCATTTGCCGCATTCTCCTAATCCATTTCCATCATTACGCAACATACCTTCAAAAGCTGCTGACAGATAAGTGTGTAGTGCATCCTGATCGACAGACATGATATGCTCTTTCATGGCTTTTCTTGAATCTTTGTCGGACCGAAAAAGCACGTCTAGTTGACGTTCCCAGTCTGCATCGATTCCAAGAGGTGTGTCGGTCTTTTCTAAGGCACGTAACAATAGTATCCTCCTACTATAATTTATAGCTGCCGGGAAAGCATTAATCCTCGGCCCAGAGAAATTCCCAAACACAGACACGCTGTCGACTTCCATCCCAGTTTTCATGGTATTGGCAATATTTGAGTTCTCGACTAAAGCTTGGGTACCAAAGAATATATTGATCATCTCGCTCCATTCAGGGAGGGGACATTCGACCGAGGCACCAGTAGAATTGAGGAGTCGATACCAGTACGGATCCTAGATAGAATCAGCTTTAGTTATGAATACAGGTTTCCAATAATCCGGACTGCAAGTCCAAATCCGAAAGCTTTCTCGAAAAGCTGTGAATCTCTGAAAATAGCTTGACAATTTGAATGGATTCAGTGTACCAAACAAGTTCAGTGCATGTATGAAAAAGAAGCAAGAATCAAGAATCTTTCAGTGAGACTGCAGTTCGGAGTATTGGAAACCCTCTCTGGATATAAAAAGGACAGACTTACCAAGCCCTTTGAACCTTCCTCGATAACATCACTGCGCTCATCTGTGCGTGCACTTAGTGCGAGGACATCTATCCAACGTGCCACAATATCACTGTACTCTAGGCATCGGTTTGCCCAGCGAACGGTCGCAAAACGAGCACTTCGGACGATCTCGCCACCTTCATTGAGTGTCATATACTTAAGGAGTAACAATCTAAGTTCATCTCGGAGATTCGAAGACAGAGGTGCTTTGAAAGCACTCAACAAACTCGCCAGTGCTCCATCTATACTGACAAATATATCATCAGATGACCCTTCCTCGGTGAGTGATCGAAATAGCCATCGAATCAGAGAAAGATTCTCTTCAACAACGATAGATGGGGTAGTCTTAGCGAGCGAACCAAGGGTTTCGTAAGCTAAAGCACGTAGAGAAGCGGCGTCTGAAGATCTCTCGTGAGGTACTGGCCAGCCTTGATCCTCTATATAAGTTCTCAAAAATTCAACAAGTTGTGGGGCGACCTGACTAAGATCATGAACTGACCCCATGCGAGAAACCCAGTTCATGTAATTGAACAATGCATTTCGGAATTTAATAGTCTCTAAGCCTGGCGCAGGAAGGTTTGTATTGTCATCAGGCTGAATCCCATCTTGCACAATTTTGACAATATCTGTAGGAAATGTAGTTGATATAGCGGACTTTGTTAAAAGTACAAGCACCCTCGTCTTCAATGCAGGTCTGAGAGTGAAGTAGATGTCTAGCAAACTGCGCACCAATTCAGGATTTTCCAATGAAACGCTTGAACGCTTCACTAGGTCATCGCCAATGCTCGAAATCCGAGAGTTAGTGTCGGCAGATGCGAACAACGCAGGTAAGAATCGCTCTTCATCAACGAAAGTACCACTGGCAAGGAAATTTAGAACTGCGATTTTTGTTTGCGTAAGGTTCAATCCTTCTTTTGAGCTCGGATCCCATACTTCCTGCTTTCCATTGAGTGTTAAGAATTCGTATTCTTTAACGGTAAGTCCTGGGCACGTTACTCCCGATGGCGCTGCTCGTACGATTGATAGCAGTACAAGCTTTCCAAACCATGATGCTATAAACTTTGAGTCTTCTTGGTGTTCATCGAGGCCGAGCTGATGCCTCAATTCTGTATCTTCTTTACTTCCACGAGAAGGTACTTTGAATTCCGGTAAAAGACGAAGAAATAGATTAAATATGGTAGCACAAGTTGGCTTCTCAGCATCTTCAGACAACCCATGGATCAGTGTAGGTATCAAATCCATTTGCTCCTAGACCATAATTAGATGGGCCGTCCTGTACAAATGACATGGTTTGGTACACACCTTAGAAGACAGCTTGCCCACACTTTGTTGAATGAACATAAGATCAAAATGCCGTAACATCGATGACTCGGGATGTTCTTTATATTGTTTTAAAAGAGCTGCCACGGGCAAGACAATATCCCTAAAAAAGTAATTAGTATACAATCAAGAGTATTGAGCAGGGACCACCAACTTGTTGCCAGCAAGGCGGATTTTGATATGTTGACATGTTGAAATAACCTACGATCATCAAATCAGCGAATATCCTCACCCAAGTTCACTCACATATAGCAAGAGTCACGAAGTCTATGGATGGCATACCTTGTTTCGCACACTTTGATGGTCGCTAGCAAGTTTGAGGAGGAGAGGCGGCAAATAAGGCTTTAAGATCGATTCGAGTTTATTATCTTCAGCCAAGGCAATGCGCATTTCGACTTTGCCCACGAGCTCCAACTCTTTGGCTTCTGTTGATGTAGCCATTTTGATAAAGTCTAATGGATGGTTGTATTATTGTTGTTTAGTTCATGAAGTTAGAGAATGTTGACTATCGGTACATGTGAGTGTTCAACGGTTCTTATAGTTACTGTGTGGCGAAATAGTCAGCAAATTCGATCCACATCATCTTGAAATGAATGAAACGTTTTGAGGTTACGAATTTGTTCGCGCCTTCCAACTCTTGCGCGCGTCAAATCTGCCTTGAGGTAACGGCCATTTATCGATTGTTCCACGCCGATGTGATATGATCACGTGATACGCGTATAGATTGGCATAAATCGGGAACAAAAGCTCACCGGGAGCATGTACATGGAAATTACTATCTCGAGAACAACGCAACTTTATACTCAGAGGAGCCCTCTAAGTGATTTCTTCATATGACCATAAGGATTCTCTCACATTACTTTCCTCGTGGATATAAATGTGGTGAGCATCGGGAGGTCATCCATCGCCCCTTCCCAAAAATGAGTGCACGTATCTCGATCCAGAGTCCCAAGATGAAATGATACCGTCAGATTTCTAGACTACAAATACGCGTTCTCTCTTTTTTTTACAATTATATCCCATAAATATAGGTATCATAAGGATGGATGTTCAACCAAATATCAGCTATCAGACTTAGAAGCATAGGTCAAATTTGATGGGATGGAAAGAGTAGATGGCTTTTTCGGGGGGTGCGGGGGGGAGACAAATAAATAGAATTGAGATCAAGAATTAGTTGAGTTTGTAGAGTATAGTATAGTATTTCCTTAAGAAACACCATCTCACTATTCCCCCTCTCTCCCACACCATTCCATCACCAGCAAGCATCCTGTCCTACTCAACATCCCCATCCTCCGCTTTCCCATCCTCATTATATACTCAAAGTAGGTATATATCACTAATTACCCCAATCATCAATCATCAACCATCAATAATAAACCGCATCCCCATCCCTATCCCTATCTCCCCAAAAACATCATCACCTAGGTAAGTCTACGTTATATTATGAGAAGATGATGTGAGGACTCGAGAAGGATCATCATACTGTACGAGTATACCTACCTATCTATTCATGAGAACACTTCCTTGTGTCATATTACCATACAAATGCTTGAATGACACCTACATACTACCTACACACTTACTTACTACCCCTTACCCAATTACTGGTCGCATATCAATATACATAACATATCACAATCACAATCACAATAACAATCACAAAACCTTCCTTACAAAGACCATTCAATTTCTGCCATGCGATTGCATTTTATTGAGACAACAATAAGATATTGTTAAGTGAGTACGTTAGGCTATTTCGCTATGACAACATTGGGATGTAAGAAATCCGAGGGATATCTAAACCAGAAAAGCACGCCATCACAGAGTACGCAAGCTCCCCAATTTGTAAAAACTTCGATAGAGATTACGAAATGGGTGATCCATTGTGCTGCCGTTGAGGCACTGTGTTCTGAGGGGAAATATGCATTCAGTTGAGCAGAGGCTTGTGCGTTTAAACCTTGAGAACCTTATCCCTTCAGATGAGGAGAATAGGTAACCATGTGTTTAAGAAGACAAGCAACTGACGTGAGAATGACCGCAAGGAAACATCGCAATCAGAAAAGAAAAACATTGATCATCAGGATTCACAAAATCTTGGTGCCTTTGACAAATCGCAGGTATTTGCAAATATGCACCTAATTCTGCTTTTCATATCAACTCCCATCCCCTAGCCATCATGCTGCGATCACTCCACCGGCAAGCTAGGTATATTCCAGCCACTCCAGAAGATGAACAACATTTAAGAACGAAGACGAAGAGGTTCCGAAACAGTTAAGAGATCTAAGATTCAGGTGCAGGGGCGGTTTCGGTAGCTGGCTCGTCTGCCTTGGTCTCAGGCTCAACTGCCTTCTCGGCCTCTTTTGGTGCGTCACCAGCAGCGGCAGCCTCGGGCTCGCCGTTATCAGATGAGGTCCAGAGGGTCAAGTTGTCTCGGAGAAGTTGCATGATGAGGGTGCTGTCGCGGTAAGACTCCTCGGAAAGCGAATCGAGCTCGGCGATAGCATCATCGAATGCTTGCTTGGCAAGATGGCATGCACGGTCTGGAGAGTTCAAGATCTCGTAGTAGAAGACGGAGAAGTTGAGGGCCAAACCAAGACGGATAGGGTGAGTGGGGGTGAGCTCAGTTTGTGCGACATCGGTAGCGTTCTGTTCGTGTGATCAGACCTTGAAACTCATTGGACTGAGATTGTAACATACCTTGTAAGCCTCGTGGGCGGCGGTGGCAGCGACCTTGCGCTTCTCACCGGAAGCGAACTCAGCCAAATAACGGTGGTAATCACCCTTCCTATGATAATTGTCAGCCAGAACCAAGAGAAGTCGTTTGGCTAGGCGCAAAGTTATATGCACCGATAAGACTTACATCTTGTGATAGAAGACCTTTGACTCTCCGGACTCAGCCTTTGGAATCAAAGACTCATCCAATACGTCGAGGACATCTTGGCAGACCTTCTCCAACTCGGTCTCGATCTTTTGACGGTAATCACGGATGGTGGAAACGTGCTTATCAGTACCCTTGGACTCCTCTTTCTGTTCGATTGAGGAGATGATGCGCCAAGAAGCACGTCTGGTGCCGACAACGTTCTTGTAGGCGACAGATAAGAGGTTTCGCTCGTCAACGGTGAGTTCCCCGCCCAACTGCATCACGCGTCATCAGTATTTCTTTCGCGCCGCAATCTGCAAACAAACAACAAATAGATTCGAGGGCCGCATACCTTGGCCACCTCCTTCATGTATGTAACCATCTCATCGTAGCGCTCAGCCTGCTCGCAGAGCCTAGCAAGGAAAGTCTTGCTGTAGGGCGGTCGTTAGTACCACATACGTAGGTAAAGGAGTCTTTGAGAGCCGCATGGAAACATATCAAATCATACCTTTCACGCTATAATCATCACAGTATTAGCAAATGTCCAATAATAGAAAGTAAGTCGGACATCAACAGACAAGCAACCTTTGATGGGGGTTGGAGTAAGATGGTGCGTATTGGCAGACGATGGAGGGGAAACAAAATAAAGGGAAAAGTGAAATTCAAACACAAGCACAGTAAGGGTAAATAGATTTGAACTTACTTCAGTGGTCATATTTTCTGATGTTTGAAGAGTTGATTTTATTGTAGAGAGAATTAAATGTAGAGAGAGTGGGAATGGTTAGATGGAAAGAAGGTTTGGTGGTTGGGTTTGGGTGGTGGTTTATTAGAGAAAGATGGGAAGTTTGCAAGTGCAAGAGATGGTGTAAGTGCGAGGAGATCAATCATACATCTGGTGTGAAGGTAATAATGGAGAAACCAACGCTAAATTGTGATTGAGTCAATAGCCGAGTGGTTGATATTTGTTGGTACTGCTACTTTTGATCGATGAGTGAATGAATATTATCGGAAACTTAGCAAAAAGAAATAAAATTACAGGTAATTTAAACTCCTTGAATAAGTGAATATGACAGACTGTGTTATAGTCTATGTATAGGACTTTGATCTAAACTGGTTATTTAATCTGTATCAAATTCAAAATATACTGTAGCGTGGGCATATCAAACCAGGGAGCTCTTCTATTGAGTATGTATACAGCAGTATGTATGGAGTTACCTTTGAGATACATTATAGGAAGGATACTACAGGAAATCAAAGAAGAGTCAAAATCATTACATCTTGAAGGTTTCTAGAAAAGAAAATAATGCAGTACATATCATTATATTGTTAACCAGTAATCATTGTTTTCATTGGTTTTCATTGAATGAGGGGTTCAATACTAGGTAGGTATCTACCTAGTTATCTATGTATGGCCTCCATCTCACATCCTATCAGAGACTTGAAAGTTGACTTGGTGTAAATTAACTGTACTATAAATGAATGAGAATGAATCAATTCACACTTCCTTACAGATACGCTGATTTGCACCCAGACATTGACATTCGTATAGAATAAATATAAAGAGATTCTGGAGAAACATAAAGGTCAGTCTGGCCTCAACTTTTGAATCCTACCAGTATGAGTAGAGGATATTGTTCATTCTTATTCTACTTGTTAAATATGCCCCACATAGATGCGGATTCCTTTGTGACAGCTGGAAAGCTAACAACAACCTCAAAGGCTTAAAGACAACACGCAACATTGTTCTTGTCTGGGTATAATCGAGTAGAGTAATTAAGAGATTAGACTTTATTAGCTATAGAACTTTTTGCCAATAATTGTCTTATTACTCCGAGTAGTTGAAGGCTGCTATCGATTAGTTGCAATCTAAGAGATCTAAGGGGGAGGGAAGTAGTGAAGGAGGTACTTCCGGTAACCCAATATAAGGAATTATCAGACCATCAAGGGTTCATGTCTCAAGTCTATTTCCTTAGATATATTGGGTCAAGAACAGGTTATCCATCCTTCTATTTGATCGAGATCGACAAATCCCCTGTCCTTCCAATTCCATGCATTCAATATTGCTGTCGGCTCAAGTCAACGTCTTCGGAAGTTATATCTTACCTCTCTGAAGTCTATATATGGCAACAAATTTAGTTCTCAAGATGGTGGGGAAACTGTGCTTAGAAGTCTTGTACAGCTGGCGGGTACCGGTATTATTGTAGAAGCTAAAAGATGCCAGCGCCTATGTTCCTCCCGTTCCATAAGAGAGTGGGTGACGAACGGTAAATTCTACCTACCTCGTGGTAAGCAAGGATTGCACATTGTGGCCAATCGGGAACCGGTTGGTTATTGATATTGGAATGGAGTAAATGGAAATGGGAATCTTCATAATAGTAGGATCCAGAAACAAACAAGGCTGCATGCCAATAAAGCTAAACATGAGGTTATCGAGGTGCAACAACTTCATAAGGCTATTCTTCTGTAAATGCACTGGATACCAAACTCATCGGTGAATACAATCATTCATACGGAGAATTAGAGTTCGGGTACTAAAAGTATTGTGCTGACTCTGCTTATGGTAATAAACAGATGCTAGCTATGCTATGAAATGAAATGATTTGAAAAGTTACGGTCTAGGCTGTTGTTGTTGTTGGGTAGCAGGTAACTGATTGTCTTATCAGATACATTAGGATTTGATTGAAGTTATACTTAAGCATTAATGCGGTAACTTCGAGTACCTATTCTTTATACTCGAATAGAAATGATTCATATATAGGTACTTTTGAGAAGTTGACTAAATTCTACTCAATATTCCAGAAGATAAAGTTAAATATATATGAGTTAATAATCAATTATCGATAACAATACCAACCAATATTATAAATTTCTAAGTGATAAGTAACACAAGCAAGCTTCCCTTCCGCTGCTTTCGCGCTGACCAATCATATCAACAAGCAAGCTTCACTATAAACCATTCTCGGCATAAAACACCCGTTTCGTTTCACCAGGCGACTTTTATTAAGAGAGAGAGATAAAAAATCTAACGAATCAGATTACAAATTCACATCTAAAGAGCTACCCAGAAGGACACTTGTTAAGTTAATATTTAACAATCAGATCTCTTTTTGAAATAGAATTCCTGTTTTGTGTTCTTGTCCTCTTGTCATCTTGTTCTCTTTTTTAATTGAGATCTGTCCATAAGTTCTCCTTATTTAGATGAGACAATCAATTTGAACGAAGTGGCTATTATCGCTACAATCCCTTCTACAGTACATACTGCCCCACGTTGTCTTCAACATCACATCTAGCCATGGATAGTGCATTTGCCCAGTCGACCTCTGAGGTCTTGGGGCATTTCTCGGTATTAGAATTACAAGGTCTCACAGATGCTCAAATTGTAGCATCAAGGGAGAAACATGGTCGCAATGGTAAGCAATATCTCCCTGGATCCTTTGCGCCAGGACAACTAGGGCCCTAACTAATCCTGTAACAGCTATCGCAGAAGAGCCTCCAACTCCCATTTGGGAGCTTATACTCGAACAATTCAAAGATCAACTCGTCATTATCTTACTCGGTTCCGCGGCCATATCTTTCATTTTAGCAATTTTCGAAGATGGCGGAGGATGGACTGCTTTTGTGGATCCCGCTGTCGTACGTATTGAATCTTCCGTAAAAGTTATCTGTGATACTAATGAATAGATATAGATTCTCACCATCTTAATTCTCAATGCCGTCGTCGGTGTATCGCAAGAAAGTAGCGCAGAGAAAGCGATTGCAGCCCTTCAAGAATACTCGGCGAACGAAGCCAAGGTTGTTCGAAATGGCCATGTCAATCGAGTTCGTGCGGAAGAGTTGGTTCCAGGAGATATTATTACAATCGCAGTTGGAGATAGAATCCCCGCAGACTGCAGGGTTATCGCAATTCAAAGCAACAGTTTCTCGGTCGACCAAGCCATTCTTACAGGAGAGAGCGAAAGCGTTGGAAAAAGCACCACAGCTGTCGATGACTTGAAGGCCGTGAAGCAAGATCAAGTAAATATGCTTTTCTCTGGAACTACCGTCGTCACCGGACATGCAACTGCAATTGTCGTTCTTACCGGATCTTCTACAGCCATTGGCGACATTCACGAAAGCATTGCGGCCCAAATCTCGGAGCCAACCCCCCTCAAGCAAAAGCTCAACGATTTTGGAGACACTTTAGCAAAGGTCATCTCAGTCATCTGTATCGCGGTCTGGCTTATCAATATTCCTCATTTCAGTGATCCTTCTCACGGAAGTTTTGCGAAGGGTGCGATTTACTACCTGAAGATTGCTGTATCCCTCGGAGTCGCAGCTATTCCGGAAGGTCTTGCTGTTGTTATCACAACTTGTCTGGCTCTCGGTACCCGTAAAATGGCTGCTAAGAATGCCGTTGTTAGAAGTCTGCCTTCAGTAGAAACTCTAGGTAGCTGCAGCGTGATTTGCTCGGACAAAACTGGTACCTTGACTACAAATCAAATGAGTGTCAACAAGGTTGTCTATATCAATGAAGCAGGCTCTGATCTCGAGGAGTTGGAAGTCGAGGGAACTACATTTTCTCCCAATGGAAAAGTCCTTTCAAATGGCACTGTGGTGACAGATGTGGCCACAAAGTCAAACACCATCTTCCAAATGGCCGAGGTAGCAGCTCTTTGTAACGAATCCGCACTTGCATTTGATGCTAAGTCTGGCACCTATTCAAATGTTGGAGAACCTACTGAAGGCGCTCTACGTGTTTTGGTAGAGAAAATTGGAACTCTAGATCCGGCCCACAACCAGGCAAAAGCCAAGATCGCTGCTGGCGATTGTCTTCATCACGCAAGCTCTTGGTATGAAAAAAGAACTCCTCATCTTGCCACTTATGAGTTCTCTCGTGACAGAAAGAGCATGTCTGTTCTTGTCGGCAAAGGCAAACAACAAAAATTACTTGTCAAAGGAGCCCCGGAAAATATTATAAATCGTTGCACTCATACTTTGGTCGGATCCAACGGCAAGAGAGTTCCACTTACAGAGACTCTTGAGAAGCTTTTGTTGAAAGAGGTCGTCGAATATGGTAACAGAGGTCTCCGTGTCATTGCGCTTGCCAGTGTGGAAGATGTCGGATCCAATCCATTATTGAAGTCTGCAACCACTACTACCGAATATACTCAACTTGAGCAGAAATTGACACTCCTTGGTCTCGTCGGTATGCTTGATCCTCCTCGCCCAGAGGTAGCAGGGTCCATCCGAAAATGTAAGGAAGCTGGAATTCGAGTCATTGTCATTACTGGTGATAACCGCAACACTGCCGAAGCAATTTGCAAACAAATTGGCATTTTCGGAGAATATGAAGATCTTAAAGGCAAGAGTTACACTGGACGAGAATTCGATAATCTCAGCGAAAGCGAACAATTGGTCGCTGCTAAGACAGCTTCATTGTTCTCTCGGGTTGAACCAAGCCACAAGTCTAAGCTCGTAGATCTTCTACAATCCGCTGGCGAAGTGGTAGCTATGACTGGCGATGGTGTCAATGATGCCCCGGCTCTCAAGAAAGCTGATATTGGTGTTGCTATGGGTTCTGGTACTGATGTGTCTAAGCTGGCTTCCGATATGGTTCTTGCCGATAACAACTTTGCTACGATTGAAGTTGCTATTGAAGAAGGTCGATCCATCTACAACAACACTCAACAATTCATCCGTTATCTTATCTCGTCCAATATTGGCGAGGTTGTTTCTATCTTCTTAACAGCTGCAGTCGGTATGCCGGAGGCTCTGATTCCAGTTCAACTCTTGTGGGTCAATCTTGTCACCGACGGACTTCCAGCCACAGCTCTATCATTCAACCCACCGGATCACGATATCATGAAAAGACAACCAAGGAAGCGTGATGAACCCTTGATCGGTGGCTGGCTTTTCTTCCGTTACATGGTAATTGGTATCTATGTTGGTCTTGCCACAGTAGCTGGTTATGCATGGTGGTTCATGTATAACTTAGAAGGACCTCAAATCACCTTCTGGCAACTATCTCACTTCCATCGCTGTTCCTCCCAATTCCCGGAAATTGGCTGCCAAATGTTCTCCAACGATATGGCCAAATCGGCATCCACCGTCTCCCTCTCAATTCTCGTCGTCATCGAAATGTTCAATGCCGTCAACGCCCTCTCCTCTAGCGAATCCCTTCTAACTCTTCCGCTCTGGAAAAATATGATGCTGGTCTACGCTATTACCTTGTCCATGGCTCTTCACTTTGCACTTCTCTATACCCCTATCTTGCAAACTCTCTTCTCGATTCTTCCAATGAATTGGAATGAGTGGCAGGCAGTCCTTATCATTAGTGCACCTGTTATGTAAGTTATCTCCCTTTTGATGATTGCGGTTGTATGAAACAAATTGCTAACGATAAATTTAGTATCATTGATGAAGGTCTCAAATTCTTAGAGAGACAATTCTTCATGCAAACGTCGGCTATCGAGGATCAAAGACCAAAGAAGGAATAGATGTTGGCGTGAACACGGATTTGGATTCGGATTCGGTTGGACAGGCTGGAACATGGTGGTGGTGTAAACTCATAGACATCGGTAAATATTAGAATAACATAAATGTACGATATCCCAGATCAAGAATAAAACAGATTTTCAGAAAATACATCTTTCACGCTTAACAGCTTCATGACTTTGGGCTTGCAGTAATGAATTTTTGCAATGGAAACGCCATACGTAAATGTGTCATTCATGCTCGTTTTTGTATCTATCAAACCCTTGATACCTGCGTGCCAGATCTAATACTACAAGTCATGCCTGCTATCTGCAAGCATCTTCACGACTTCCTCCGCACCCGCGAGCATTGTCATCATACCATACCGTCGTCGTATCCATCCATCCATCATCATGCACCATTTAATCTTGTCTACCCTTCAATAACCTCTTGGTCACCTTATCCTTCTCAATGATGTAAACGTGAGCACCCCAACCTGACAAGGCATCTCTATCAACGGCGTTTAAGAGTGCTTGTGATATTGTCTCGAAGAGATCTTCTGGTGCCTTTGTTGGGGGTGGGTTGTTAGTATGTTTTTCATATATATATATCTCTCTCTCTCCTCCCGCCAAAACATGTGTTTACTACCGCCAAACCAGCAAACGCAAAGACATCAAGCACAAACTCACCAAATCTGGTTCCCACAAACCCTCACAAGTACCAAACAACTGATCACTCGCAGTCCCACTAACGATAAAATCCTTTGCAAAATCAATACAGCCAATACTATCAAAGCCACAAATAAACGGCTTTCCAGTCTTAGGATCCAACCCCGCAATAACCGGGCTCACAAAGAAGGGGCCGAAGCGGCGCTCGTACAGAGAACTCGAGACGAGGTTCGCCATGGTTGTGGGGGAGATGTTGCGCTCCTCGCGGAGTCGGTACATGTTTACTTTGTAGCGGAACAGATCTGAGACCGTCGAGACGTCTGTGGCGAGACCGGTAAGTCCAAGGTATACGGAGGGTCCGTAGGGGAATATCTTGGGGAAATTGTTGGATACGGTGAGGGATTGGAGGCCGAGGCGGAGATCGCAGGCGATGGCTACGCAGTCTTTGCCGACCATGGCGACGCAGGCACCGCCATCTGTGGGGGGAATGATTAGTGTTTGGTTTTAATTTTGATTTCGATTTGAAAGCTGGAGAATATGAGGGAGGAAGAGGGATTTGTACTGATGGAGAATGGGGAGCTCTAAAGTAAAATGTATTAGCTAGTTGTTCATAGATAGATAATACATATTTAATGTATGGATGTATGTCATAGCAAACTTACCATTGTAGATGAAGTATACGAATTGGGGGAATCAGAAGCTGGGTATCAAGAAACGGCAGAATTACTCTGATTGAACAAGAGCTTCGCAGATGGGAAATTGGGAGGTGGATGTTGAGGTGGTCTGGGTTTGTGATATCGAGGTTGTGTATATGGACAAGGTAGACAACGGCTGGCGCGTCGATGCGAGCTCTGGAGCTCGGACTTACTAGGCACCGGTTAGGTATGAGGTGTGATTCTCCGCCGCGTTATTTTTCTGGTACAAGGTATTTGTTTATATTTGTTCTCAAATGGTGAAACTGAAGTGAAGTGAATACCTACCTCCTACTGTTCCTTCTAGATTTGTTTATGTTTATGTTTTTTTGATGATTTGATTCCATGTCCTAACTTACAAACTACAGTACCTACAAGCTTGCTTGTCAACACCCCGCCACAAACTTCCCAACGCCTTACAAATATCGCGGAAATTCATAGAAGGTTTCGAACATAATATTACAACTCAAAGTCTTCATATCTTAACTACTTGAGACTTGGATACGCATCATTTTTTACACCTCGAGGTTGTCATACATTCATACTTCTATTGCGACAATTACAAATCATGGCTTCCAACGTGGTAGTCATCGATAAGTTCTTCAACAGAGCAACCATAAAAGTTACTCCCGGAACTTATATGAGTGAAGTTGTTTCTGAAGCATGCAAGAAGCTTGGAAAGAATACCACCAACTATGATCTCAAAAGGTAAATATAATCTCCAAAAGTCTATCCCCTCACCCAACATATCTCTAATATCTACGAATAGAAGTAACGACAAAGCTGTGGATCTTTCCCAAACATACCGTCAAACAGGTCTCAGCACCGGCGCAAAACTCACTCTCGTCGAAGCCTCCCGCTCTCCCGCTCCAGTCTCCATTGCCCTCCAATTACCACAAGATCTCGCATCTGCGGTTCCCGGCGGTAGATTAAAGGATACTTTTCCCAGCGACACAACATTATGGCTTATTCTCCGCAAACTCGAGTCCAGTAACGAGACTGCGAATCTGAACTTTACAGGCAGAGGAGTAGCGCAGCTACAAAATGGCGATTCGGGAGCTGGACGTATGGTGTATGAAATGCCGGTGCTGAATGTAATGGGGAGAGAGATGGCCACATTTGGAGATTTACAGAAGACGCTTGCGAATTTGGGGTTGAATAAGGGGACAGGATTGCTTAGACTTACGTTTAGACAGACGGATCAACCGATTGAGGAGGCTATGAAGGATATTGGAGAGTACTTTAAGGAGGAAATACCTCAGCCTGAAGTTACTGCGCAAGCACCACAGCAAGTCGAATCTGTGACGGATGCTATTGCGAAGCTTCCTTCTGCAGAACAGCAAAACGAGGATGTGGATGTGGATTCAGATCCCTCCGATACCACTCCATATTCGACGCCTACCCCTGCCGGCGCATCCACAAACACCACACCCTCCACCCTACCAGCTTCCTCATCCAGCAACCCCTCGACGGACCCCCCAACCCTCGGCCCCGACGGCCTCCCTCTAACCATCTTCTCCGCCCCCAGCAACGACACGCCCCTCGCAGCCCTCGCCTCCCACCACGAAGAAGACTACATCCCCACAATCCGACACGCCAAACTCGTTCAAAGCCGTCTCCAAAACAGCACTCAAAACACCAAACTCCTCTCCTACGACGAAGAAGTCGCCCGCGAATTCGAAAAACTCAATCGTCTAACTAAAATCAAAGAAATCCCCCTCCGAATCCGATTTCCCGATCAGATGGCCGTCAGCAAATCCATTACCAGTGAAAATCACGGAAAATGGCTCCACGAATATGTACGCGGACTAATCGTTTCCGAAAACGAACCGTTTAAATTAATATATCAGGGCAACAAGGGGCGAAAAATAATACCCAATGAAGATACGAAATTCCTGATCAAGGATCTGGGGATCCAGGGCCCGACGGTCATCAATTTAGCGTGGGATGATGGAGCAAATAGTGAGGAGTTGAAGGGAAAACCGGTGTTGAAGGATATATATAGGGAGAAAGCTATGAAACAGCCGGTTCCGGTTGTGGAGAGCGAGGTTGAGGTTGAGAAAGGAGAGGGAGAGGAGAAGAAGATAGAGGAGGGAAATAAGGATGAGGGTGGTGGGGAGAAGAAGAAGAGGGGGTTGCATAATCTTATTATGAAGAATTTGAAGAAGAGGTAGATGAGGAAGAGAGAGGGGAAGAGAGAACGGGGGAGGTAGAAGGTGATTCTGAGGATGGTCAATGATATGTTCATGTTCTTCATGATGGTTGAGGTTTTACTTGGTTGATAAGTAGAAAAGGGGTGGTGCAGAAAAGTGATGACTTATGACGGTGTTGAAGGAATGGGTGGCCAGGCTTCTTAGCGTTGAGACACGATATATACAACCAGGGTGATAGGAAAGGAAAGCATAGCGTTAGGCGTATTTATTGCTTGATTTCTCATTACCTCAGCGTTCAGATGCACATTGACGACAATGACGAATTCACACAGCGGATGAATATTGAGGTCGGTGAAAGTGATTGTGAAAATTTATTTTAATTTTGACTTAATGTCTTGAATGCTAGTACTTCTAGACACTCAATTCCCAGAATCATAGTAACCCATGAGATTTTCATTGTTACAACTCCAATTGCCATGTGCTTGACTTGTGTAGGTGTGGAGATCCATCATAAATCCATATATCGATCCATTGTATTGGAGGGACGAGATATGATTTTTTCGTGGTAGGAGGGTATGATATTGGGAATTTAGTGACCAGCTCTTCTGGACTCAGCAATGACACCTTGGAGTTCATCAACCTTCGCCTTGGCGCGTCCGAAGGTACCTAACTGTTATGTATGTTAGTATTTGATTCCGTGTAGAACGTGTGAAGGTGGGAGAAAAACGTACCCTCTTCTTTGCGAGCTTACGGGCACGCTTGTCCTTGCTGTTACGGAGCAATTCGATGACTCTGCGCTCGTATGGTGCGAGACTATTGGGTAGACAATTAGCTTTTGATCGATCTTGAAAAAAGTGAAAGGTGAAAAAATCATACCCAGAAACCTCCTTGACGATGTCTCTGACAAACGCAGTGCGCTTGCTCAAGTGACCCTTGGTTCTGCTAACTCTGGGCTTGGAGACACGAGCCTCGGTTTTCTATCACATTTCATAATTCATCAGCCGGTCCATCTTCTAACTGTGATGTTTTTTTTTCATCACACAATTGCGAAAAGAAGATCCTCCAAGAGGTGAGACGGGCAAGGTTTTTTTTTCATGAACATACGTGTCCTTTGTTGAGACCGACGGCGAGGCCGGTACGGGCTTGCTTCTCGGCAGCCATTTTGGATATTATGGCGTTGAGGTTGTCGTGGTTGTCGATATAATTGATGAGCGCGAGGGAGAAAAATGTTCGAGGTGGTAGAATTGGAAAAAATTGTGATCCGGAAGTGCGTCACGTGTAAGGCTAGTGGAGGCTAAGCGAATGTGAAATCTTGGCATTGGTGTGGAGAAGTGTTGGAGCAACTTTCGAAGCGAGAACTTCATTTATCATCCTCACGGCAGAAAGAATTTTGTATTCGACTTTCATGGTTGTGTTGATACTATCTACTAAATTCCCTGGAAAATTCTGGTAGTAATAATTTCCTAGAATATTCTCCAACCTTGAATCTTCGTATTGGGATCATTGTCAATGTTTCAATCGGCAATGTTCCAACCTCACCAGTTGAATGTCAAAGATACTGACAGATGAATTAGCAAATAATTTGGTAATCTCTGGAAGTCGCAGAACTGATATTACAAGCATGCGAACATGTCATTGATGACTTTCTTGATCCATCTCTATCAGCTGAGTACTTAAAGTCAGGCCTTTCAATGGCAGTCGCCATTCAATGTTTCACAATATGGCGTGGCCAAATCCAATCAAATAGCATGATTTGTCTATTACTTGGATCGCCAATGAATAATATAAAGTTTTGCCCTGCTCTTGAAAACTTTGACACCTCTAAGTATGCAGTACACAAGTGTGCCCAAACAACTCTCAAATTTCTTCCGTATATGCATTGTTCTACACATCAATTGAAGATCACCTCGTTTACTTCGTTCTCGTGTATCGCAATCACGAAGAAGCATTGTCGTTACGGAATGTTAGGTAGTGTCTTCGTTCCTGATACGAAGTCGTCCTAGATCAAGAAACTTATATGTGAAGTTGTGCATTGAACCCTCCCCTCACCATGTCTACTACATCTCAATCTCTTCTACTATGGACTTCAATTTCATAGTTGATTGAAGGTTGTGTTTGCAGTGCAACTGTCGCCCTTGCACCATTAGTCGACATTTTGAACTTCCACTTTTATATGAGCATTCAAGGGGGCGTCATGGTAATGTCTGATCCTTTTCCTGCACTCAAAAGGTGTGTATCCGAATTTTGCCTCTAGCAAACTATCAGTTTCCTGGGCTCGTCCAAAGAATCGAAATGTGTCTGGCAACAGCATTTGTCGTCTTGGCACTTATCCTCTTTACTACCGCTCTTCTATCCCCTCCATACGTATGGAAGAACACTACATCTTCCAGACCTAAGCCTATGAGTTTTACTGTATGGAATTGACAAGGAATCAACCTGTCGGATAATCTTTCGCCCCATACAGTACTTGTTTTCTAATATATCGATATTTTAACAAACATCACCAAGACCTGCAGAATGTCTTTCAATAGTCCGCTTGGGGATGATCTTTGCAACAGCTGCTCGTGTGTTGGAGAGCAATACAAAACAAAACCTATGCTCAAGAGTAGGTTTACTCCTTAATGTAATCCTATGCGATCTGACCCTCTAGTGCCTCCTATAACCCTACCACACGGTCTCACTCTCCTTCAACCACTTGGATTGGTGGTGGCATACACTTCGGTGATGGCACATGGGGATGCTCTGATCTGGATGATGGCTATCCTTAGGTGCAGGGCATCTTTGTCAGTCACCTACACGAGAGATATGTTTTATCCTTCAGTCGTACAATTTCGTCAGGACGCCATCCTGCATTAGCAAATCCAGAGGGTCGATTTCTCCATTGAATAGGCGCTCTGTTGCCTTGAAAATGCGCACCGCAGCTATTCCCACGGAAGTTTGAACGTCCATCGCAGTGCCAATTAATTTCTCTTATTGTGGATACGCAAATTCTTAGGCTTAAAGATGTGGTAAATCTTCTGACAATGACTTGCTCACTCGAGGAATACGGAGAATACATAGTCAGATCGAACATACCAAGCTTACTGTGAAACTACTCTCACGACTTTCAAACATACATAACATGATATTTATATCGTCTTTTAACCCTCCTATGATGTGACCTTGAAACGCAATGTAAATGGACCGCACTAAAAGCAACATGGAGAAGACCATATATGCTTACCCAAACCATCAGTCCAGACCACTCACATTTCTAACGAATGTTAAAAATCATACTCATCCCTGAATATCTTGATCTCAAATTTAACAGTTCTAGAAACATAAATGTACCCCGCTCACATAATACATATTCATATTACACACATCCAAAAGTCGGATGATAACCGCATTTCACAGGAGGGCGAAGACTCAACACCTGTACGCGGTGCCCTCTACAAACCTCCAGCTCTCTTTTGAGAGTCTGCAAAGCTAAGATTGAGTCATTTGATGGAATTGAACACATTGGAAGAAAGAGAGATACCTGATCATAATGTTTTTTCATGGCAAAGAATTATATTACAACTTTTACAACAACAATATCTACAAAAAGATAAATACCAGCCCAATACACAGACGAAGGCTACAGAGAACCCCGGTTAGATTCAATATCTGCCATCGACTATTATCTCAGATAATGAGATATGATACACAGAGTAAATCTCTTTTATTCTTAAAAGAATCTTTTCGACACAGAACTTGTTATTGTTCTATTCGCAATTACGATCGATTTTACATGTTTTTTTGACAATCGACTATCGGAACACATTTACCTTAACACTACAACTATCACGACACAGAGAATACTATCTACTTCAATTAAATGCTATGCTCTGGGCATCAATACAATAAAACGTTTTTTTTCCTTGATTTTTCGAAAATGATATTTGTGTGTGTATAGATAGGGCTTGGGCAACACCCCACTATCACCACATTCAGAAAAACATATTCCATTTAACAATTTTGACCATACACATCTGAACAGAGCTGAAGGACATCGCACTTATAAAGGCATACAAGGAACTGGTGAACAGGACTGAAAAGAGTAATACCCTTCTACTGCCATTCACTAGCGTAAGGACCCTTTACTATGCTAAAGATAACCTTGACAGAGGTGACTTTTGACCTTTGTAGAGAATGATAGGTAAAATAGCAGATTGGATTGGAGCAGAATATTATATCAATAGAATACTTTAATTAGTAAGAGATAGGAGGAGAGCGAAAAAGGAAAGGTCTCAGAGGAAAAAGACAATATTTTTATCCCTACTTGCATGCCGAGTAGAGATCAGGCTTTGTTCCCCAACATTTGTTTTCACTTCCCCAATTTGAATATTTCTATCTTTAGAAAAACCAACAATGAATCGCTAGTGCCCTTAAGGCATAGCCGTCCTATATAGTCTTGGACTGAGAAAGGACGTAAATTAAATCAATCAATCAATCAATCAACCGCACTTCACACATGGGTGTTCCGCAACTCGGAGCTATAAAAAAAAACCCTCCAAAAATCAACCAATAGGAATTAACCGAGTTTAGCTGACCACCAATGATGTTTTTTACATTTTGGACCCCTTCTTCCCAAACAAAATCAATTCAGCCTCTTGAGTGGCGTTCAGCCTTACCATAGAAAAGTCGATGATGCATAGTACAAGAAAAAATCAAATGAATTTGTGATTGATAAAATGATGAAATTGTCATTCAACGTTAAACGTTGAACAAACAAACAAAATAAGAAAAAATCATGATTCAGGTTTCCGTAAACTCTTCACAAGTTTACAACAAACCCAAATATATGCCAATTTGTCAAACCGAACAATCCAGAAGAAGTCATGTTCAACATATCTGTTCTCAGATTCTTAAAAATGCGTGAATTCTTATTGGTCAATTTATTTCATGATTGATAAGATGGTAAATCAAGTGGGTCTATATTCTTCGTTATCGTGGGTTCTTGGTAAGAGCACGGCGAGGCATGGCGACAATTTGCGGCAACCACCTAGCTTGAAAGGTGATAGAGACTAGAGAGACTAGAGAGACTAGAAACGGAAGACGGTGAAAACCTGTGGGCATTTCTAATCTGAACTAGCTGAATGAGGAAATTTGATGCAGAAATCAATGGGTGAAATTTGTAAATTGGTGAAATTTAGGGCGGGCGTTGGGGACGGGTCGATCTGTGAGGAAGTGAAGTGGATCGGATGTTAAATACATGATCTTTTATAAGCTGTAAGCTGTTCTTTTTATTTTGCTGAGAAAGTGAGAAATTTAAATCTTATCATCTTTTTTGAACTTCAACTTTAGAATATTAGAGATTTGTTCGGTTCTGGTCTCTATCTTAATTAATATTCTGTAAGTTTCTATTTCTTCTATTCTACGATATTTCCCCCCCTCGAGATCTCTTTGGTTTGCTTGTTTTGTTTCATACATATAACAATAAGAGAGTGGGGGAAGACAGTTCTAAAAGATTACTTACTTACTCTTCAAATTCAGTTTTTGACTCTATACAATACCCATTCGCCACACACATAATAATATACAAACGAACCATTTACAAAATGGCATCCACAACTCGAATCTTCGCTCGCGCAGGCGCTGCACTTAAATCAACACCTTTCAGACCCGCCACCCGCACTGCTATAAGTGCTCCTCGTCAAGCCTTCCGTCAACAATCTCGTCGTGGTTATGCTTCTCAAGGACCTCCCAAAAAGAACTTCTTCCCTCTCTCTTTCGGTGTTGTTGCTTTGGTCATTACTGGAGGTGCTGGATACTACTTTGTATCTAAAGGCAATGGATCACTCTTGAGTGGTTCTGCCAAGGAAACCACCGGTCTCTTCACTCCTAAGAGTGAGGATTACCAAAAGGTCTATAATGAGATTGCCGAGAGATTGGAGGAGAAAGATGATTATGATGATGGTTCTTATGGACCAGTCTTGGTCAGATTGGCGTGGCATTGTAGTGGAACTTTCGATAAGGAGACTGGTACTGGTGGAAGTAATGGTGCCACTATGAGATTCGCCCCTGAGGGTGATCATGGTGCCAATGCTGGTTTGGTTGCTGCTAGAGACTTCTTGGCTCCAATCAAGGGTACGTTACTCATATTCATTCTCAATAGATGAAACAAACCAAGAAAGAAAAACTTGCTAATAATTTCATAGCGAAGTACCCATGGATCTCTTACTCCGATCTCTGGATTATGGCTGGTATCTGCGCTATCCAGGAAATGCAAGGTCCAGTCATTCCTTTCCGACCAGGTAGACAAGATAAGGAAGTTGCTGCTTGCACACCTGACGGACGTCTCCCAGATGCTTCCCAAGGTAACAAGCACTTGAGAGCTATCTTTGGTCGTATGGGATTCAATGATCAAGAAATCGTCGCTTTGAGTGGCGCCCATGCTCTTGGTCGTTGCCACAATGATCGTAGTGGATTTGAGGGTCCTTGGACTTTCTCTCCAACTGTTGTCACCAATGACTACTACAAGCTCTTATTGAATGAGAAGTGGGGCTGGAAGAAATGGAATGGTCCTAAACAGGTATGCATGATTCCTACTCAACCTCCATTTACAACGCAACATAGAGAAATCAACTAACACATTATTCAATCAACTAGTACGAAGACAAGACTACCAAGTCCCTCATGATGCTCCCCACCGACATGGCCCTTGTCTCAGACAAATCCTTCCGCTCCCACGTCGAGAAATACGCCAAGGATGAGTCTCTCTTCATGAAAGACTTCGCAGCCGTCATCACCAAGCTCTTTGAACTAGGTGTTCCTTTCGCCGAGACTACCGAGCAAGCTCCTATTAAATTCAAGTCAACTGCTGCTTAGATACCCCATATCCTCGTCCCGATAGATACAGAGTTGGTGCATAGATAGATGGATGGATGTATACATTTACTTGCTTTTTTGCAATGTGGTGCGGTGCGGGAGTTTGGTGGATTTAGATATTTAAGTTAAGATACGTAGTCATAGTAGATGGGATGGTGCTGTAGCTGTACTTGAAAAAAAGATGAATACTTTTTTCTTTGGTAGGTGAGGTGGTGGTTGATACATGATATATGTGTGCGATCTGGCTTTGTCTAGATAGTTGCATGTCCACTTGCGAGGCGAGGAGAGACGATGCGATGAGATGCGATGTAAATTAGTCAGATTAGACGTTTATTAGCTAGCTATATGGGCTACATGGCGAGAGAACAAATGAACAAGAACACATGGATAAATGAATGAATGAATAAATATTCTATACAATGTCTAGGTTTACTTGTAATGTAATGCAATGCAGTGCAGTATGTTTCTGAACAGAATATTTAAAATGAGAGAGAGAAGTAGGAAGAGAGGGTTTCATATAAGGTAATGGATGCACAGGGAGGGACAAGACAAGGGATATGGGATATGGGGGTCCCCGCTTCTACTGTATGTAAGGTTAATGTTGTAATGTTGTATTCGGGCCCGGTTAGGGTTAGATGGGATGGGGTTGGATTGGGTGTGAAATGGTTGGTTGGATCAACGAAGGGGTAGATGGAGTTGATTTTGATTTTGATTTTGGGAATTTGGGAATTTGGGAATTAGAAATTGGGAGATAGGAATATTAAATAATAAATAGTAAATAATCTTTCCAAAAATAAAAGTTATGTGATAATAATAATTAGATTAGATTAGAGGGGGAGATTCAGAAAGGGGGAATATTTTGGGTATTTATATACTTGGTATATACTCGAGTTGTAAATAGTATATAGTAGTATACTCCAGTATAGTGTCTAAAATAAGTAAAGTTTTGGAGTATTGGAGATTTGGAGTTTTGGGGGTTTGAAGTTTTGGATGTTTTGGGGTATTGGGGTATTGGGGTATTGGAGGTTTGGATGGATATGAGTATTGAAGTGATTTGCATTTGCAAATCGTAGTTGATTTCTGTGGGTGTACCGTGTAGGGGAAGAGGGGCGAGGGGGAGGATGTTAGAGGAGAGGAAAGGAAAGGAGAGGGGAGGGGAGGGGAGAGAAGGAATTTGGATTGAGTAAATTAGATGCATTAGATGGATAGATTGATGGGTATGGATTAGATTGATTATATGAATGAGTATACTCGTACAGTGAGGGAGAGAGGAGGAGAGGGGAAGATCGAAAGGTCGAAAGGTTGAAAGGTCGAAAGTTTGAACGATATTAATACTAGGTTTGCTTTATTTTGTAAATTTAAACTAAATCATATATGTTCTTGGAAATTAAGGTGTTGATAGTACTCTACTAGAGTATGTAAATTCATATTTATAAAACTTATTGATATTATGTAACAAGGTTAGGAAATATAGGAATTTATATCGGCTATGCTATGCTATGCGTATACTGGATCTGGATATGGAGAGGGGAAAGGAGAGAGGAGAGGGGAAAAGAGAGAGGAAGGATTTATGTATGAGTAGGAGGTTAGGAGCGAAAGCTGGTGATGGGATATATATTGAGGGTGAGGGTGAGGGTAGGATGGATTGTATAATTTGTGTGATTTGTAGGCGGGTTGTTGATTTTGATGTTGATGTTGATATTGATGTTGATATTAGTAGAGGTGAAAGTTGTTGCGGAAGTTGTTGTAGAAGTTGATGCTTAAAAGGTATGTGTGTAGCTAATATTAGCTATAGTATAGATTGGTAATGTTAGTGAGTCAGTGATTGGATACTAAGGAAGAGGGAAAGAGGAAGAGAAATAAAAGGAAGTGCGGATTGTATGTATGTATGCTTTTGGTGAGGGAACTTGAACTTTGAAAGGGTGCGGGAAGAGGGTAGAGTTTGATGGGAATGAGGATGGGAATGAGGATGGGGAGGAGGGTACTGGATTTGTGGGGTTAACAAGTTAGTAGGGATATGTAGAGAGCTGTGAGTTACGAGTTACGAGTTATGAGTAGAGGATGAGTATAAGGATTTATTTGTATAGATGAGTATTAGGGGGGGAGAATACCATCTGAAGTTACCTAACTGAGTTTAGAGCGAACTGTACTCGAGTATTTGGATAAAGTTAGGCTATGTATACTCTAGTTCTAATCGCTTAAAATCGCTAATGTATAAATATATATGGAATCAGAATGAATTACATTTTCCAGATTCTTTTAATTGAATAGTCTATTTAGCTTTTGATATGATTTATAGCTAGACTAATATAGTTCGTTCCAAACTTAGTTAGATGAGTTAAGATGATATTATTGTTAGAGGTAAGAAATGTGAATTGAGAGTTACTAGCTAATAGTCGGCTCTTCATAGAGCATGGAAAAAGGCCGCGAAATCAACAACCAAACACATAACTTGGAGGAACCAATACCACAAAGATGACACTTTATTACAGTCTTGTATGTACACACTCTCTGCCATCTGGCAATATACCTACCTACCTCACCCGTGCCTTTCCGGGAACTCCATTTGCGTGCGAAGGAAGGGAACTTGGTACCGAATCGAGATGTGAGTCCGTTTAATGGCGATTCGTTTCCTCTTTAGACTCTAGATGAAAACTTTGAAATACTTGTATTGAAATCGTCCATTGGACAATTGTATCATCACATTAACTATCTACGAGTGATTTCTAATCAGAGAAAACAAATATCTCTTTTAAGTACTATATATTCTCTTTTCAATTTATAAAATACAAATAAATTATTTCAAAATAAAATTCTAATATTATAATTTAGTAATGTTTTCAACAAATTTCAAGTTATATTATTCGAAAAAAAGAATTTGTTTATAAAGGATATTTACTTTCTCCAATTGAAAACCAGATAGCTGCTCTACAAAGAGCCGATTATTAACATCTATTATTCGAGAAAAGTCTTACAATCGAGTCTTTACAGATCTAAGTGGTTATCCCGTTATTCATAACTTAGCAATATCTCAATCTATAGCTATTATACCATTGTTCCTCCAAAATATACATGTATAGCATGACTTTCTATAGACTATTTGGCAGTACAGGCTGATTAGAACTTTCTTCCTCACTCTAGAGAGTTGGAGATATTGGCTTGGTAGTGCGGGACTAGAACAGGGGAACTATGCCCTGAAAAAATCACCCCTCTTGATTCTCAATCTATTAAAAATCTATCTATCTATCTACTCGAGTATAAGAATTCTATATCTATAGATATAACTTATCTCTATCTCTACCTCTACCTCATTACTAGGATCAATTTCCAAGATAACATAACTGTTGGTATCAACGGGAACACCTTTCAGGTCTACGATGGTAGAAAGCCCGACGAGTGTTCGGTGTTGATAATATCGCAGTCTGGTTCTTGAAAGCTATTCTACATAGTGGAGACTATATGCGTATTGAGGCCCTTGCGCTAGTACGGCGCCGGTGCTCCGGTATAGTAGATGACTATACCGACAATAACACAATTTACTCAACTACCTCTAGATATCTTCTTATATCTTATATTGTATATCATATATCATATAGCATATAGCATATAGCATATATACCCTCTCTAATCATTTACAAAACACTAAACAGAAATTCAGACTCCACTTTAGAAGATATCTATCTAATCATCCATTGATCATCCCCATTCTCATCCCCATTCTTATCCTCATCCCTAATTCCCAAGTCACTGTATAGTATATCAAACACATACATATCAAACAATTCCAATTCCAATATTAAATGCTTATCCTCAAAAACACCATACTACACCACACTTTTTTAAACGGTTAAACCTCAATCCTCAATCAGACTAGTACGATATTACTACTCGTAATTAGTCTCTAGCTTATATGCTCTGATGCTTATACTCGAGTATGCTCATAAATACTTGTGGCTGCGGCTTGCACTTCCATCACTACATCCAATCTAATAATCCCAATCTAATCCAATCCAATCCAAGTCAGTTAGTAAGTAGATCGGTTAGTTAGTAAGTCAATTAGTCAATTAGTTAGTTAGTAAGTTAGTTAGTTGATATAACTTATTACAACCTACGAGTCTACGACCTACTTACAACTTACAACTCACAACTCACAATTCATAACAAAATCTAATAAACAATCAAATAAGCAAACAACTCTAAATTTCAAGTTCTCACTAATGAACCAAAAAAAGAAAAAAGAAATCAAGAATCGAGAAACAAGTTGGATTTGGTTGAACTATAGATGAGGATAAGAGTGAGAATGAGAATGTTATTAGAATATTTATAAGAATATTTATAAGAATATATATACGGATATTAGTACAATGTGAGACTACAAGTCTACAACTGTTACCTAATTATTCTGAGCTTTCCTCGTCTCATAGAGACTCTGATATCAAACTACTGTAGGGGTTCATATACACTGGCAGGCTATGCTATATCGAATACGTAGTTTTCAAAGTCTTGAAGGTGGTTTTTCCGATCCGAATCTGAAGACTACACATTCGATTAGATCAGAAATCTTTTAAGGTTTTGATATAATCACGATTAGGATATTTTTATAATTACATTATCAGAATTACTCAATCTATCCGGTTAGACCTTAATTCTATACGGTAAATTACTCTCATACCAATTAAAAAAAATGAAATATATTACTCTCATACCACGAAAATCATACCTATTTTACTCTTATACCATTTAGATTCTAATGGTAGAATCTATGGTGGGGGAGAGAAGGTGGTGTATAATAGGAGGGTAGATATGGTAGATGAGTGAATATAGTAGAGTGAATATGGTGGGAGAATAGAATCTATAGTAGAAGAAGGGTAGAATCTATAATATAGAATCTAACTATTCAAGACTAGATTCTAAGTAGCATAAGAATAAAAGAGCTCTGATTTTTGTAGTATAAGAGTAATATCATATTTCACTTTTGATAGCATGAGAGTAAATTGCCG